GATTTGGACTGCAGACTCATCAAGACAAGAAGAATGAGCAAGAAACTTGTGTGTTGCTCTTTTAAACCTAAGTAAAATTTATACCTAGTAGTAGTTATTCATATCTCAAACCTTATAATAACTCATTAAACTATATTATAATTAAACATTCCTATTTTTAACAGTAATAATTATATTATTACTTAACAAATAAAATTTAAAAAAAAATTGTGTAATCTAATTTGCTCAAAATCATTAGTAACTAATAATATTTATAAACCTTTCATACCTTTGTCATAAAGTACTAAGTACGCAATTGCACCTACAATTCATAATGGAGTTAGCAAGCACTAAAGTATGTATATATATTTTAGAGATTATTACGCAAACAAATACCTAAGTATTTACTAGAGCTGTGCGAAGCATGCTGGCCTCGGTTAATAAACTAGATCATGTTAGATATACCCAACTATACTACAATCATGCTAGTTGGTAGATAAAATAGTAGTGTCCTTTCGCTGTCTACCTAACGTTTAAAATATAATTGTAGATTAGTTCCACAATAATATTAAACTTATAAGGTAGGGTAGACACAATAAAGAGGTACTTATTTAATACAGTACTTATCTATTGGCATTTATATTATGTGGTAAATCATTCATGAATTTTATTTCCTTATAGGTACATAATACAAATTTTAAATTGTGGTTTTCCGGCTAAATGCTTCACTAGTCTAAGTACCTAGCTATCAATTGAATAATACAGCAAATAAACAATGGCCGATTAATTTTCTACTTAGACTGAAATTTGTAGTTTTTAATATGAGTTTATAACATACACGGAACACATATCGATTAATTTACGAACTTTAAAACATACTTCAAATACAATTCATAAATGTATATTGATGCATATGTATGCAATCGGTAGAGTTATAGGACCAACTAGCTAGTATTTATCCTAGGTATATCTATATAGCAATTATTGTTGTGTTTTTTAATATATAAATACATGAATTTAAGATTACTAAACTAATTATGAAGTACTTATCCGTAACCAGAAATGTTATATTTAGTTATTTCAATTCTGCACTTTCTTTTCAAAACAGATAGGTACTTAATAACACGGTTATTTTTTTATACGGTAGGTATAGAAATCTTATCGACCACGTTCTTTTAGAAAACTGGTCAAGTTAGTGCTAGATGTGTGCACATAACAACAAACATATAGAAGTAAGTAGGCACACATTATACATAACACCATTTATATTATATAAATATTGTTATGGATCACAATTATAGTGAAAAAATTGTATATATAACATATAAAATTTTTGGTCTCGTTAGTGTTAGCAATGTTAATAATATGTAATATTATGTTATCTGTAGTACAGTAAAACTTAAACGGAGGTATAATATTAGTTACATATCTACCTGACTATTTATTTCCTGTAATATAAACTTAAGAGCAGCTTTTAAGGTATTTTATGTTGGTACATAACAACGAACGATGCAGGTACACAAAAAAAATTACCTTGGACTATTCACACAGGGCTAACTAGTCCCGAACTAATCAAAGCTTGTGTTATGGGTTTTAGACAACAGATGTTTGCTGGAGGAATATTCCAATGTTTAAGTTCTTGTATTCTATTGAAGTAAATTTTTTTTAGAATATATTTTACACTAAATTTAATAGTGACGCCATGAATGTTCAAGAAGAAGTGCTAAATGTAGGTAATGGTAATGTACCTATAGAAAGTTAAACAAAACAACATCGATGTTCCATGCGTGACGTTCCAAATTTGAATTTTATAATTTTATTTTTAAATATATTAAATGGCTATTTGCGATCGTAAACAACTGATATAAATATATAATTAAATATTTATTTATATATACAACACATACATAAACCAATATAAACAATCTTTCTGATGAATACAAATGTTTCCATTATGAGACTGATCGATCCCGCGACCATCGGAAATAAAGGCTAAGTACTAAACCGCTAGAGCACCGATGCCGCTAGAATATCTTACCATTATATTTTATCTAAGTACTGTGTTTGTATTTACGAATATGTTAGGTAAAATATGGGTTCATTCATTTTTTAGATTGTATCAGACAGTGTTCGCGGATGTTTGTTCCGCCATCATATTATCTACCTATCCTAGCAGACACAACGTTATTACTATATACTATACAAGGTCTCATTGAGATTATAAATATATAGGTAACTATTATTTTTTTAATAATTAATAACTAATTATCAATATTCTATTAGGTTTCTTTACAAGCCATCTAAATAATAATTGTATATCAAATAATTTTACACCAAATGTGTTACCAAGTACTGCTACTACTACTAATCGAGAATGGGAATTAATTTTTATTAATAAAAATGCAAAAATAATATCATACGATAGACAGTTTAACAACATTGGTGGTCTAGTGATTTAACACAGCGCCTTCAATCCCTCCGATCGATCCCCCGTCCAATTCAAACGGGAATCGAAATTACAGAGCAGAGGATCAAACCCTTAGCAATGCCCTCAGACTATAGTCGTGTCCTGAGGCGGGAGTTGACCTTCAGCCGCTCCATAACTCCTTCCGCGGGTTTAAAGTGCCATCTGTACTCGCCCCCTATCGTCCGCTGAAGCTCTAAAGGCCAGCTTTGGTAAACAGCATTAAAGTGTTGGAAAAAAAAGCGCCTTCCATGGTCGCGGGTTCCAGTCCTCGTATAATGCAAACACCTATATACATGAGTACAAGTCTTTGTATTAGTCTGGGTATTTTCTATATATATCGTAAGTATTTACAAAACAAATGTATTTAAGTATTTGTCACTTGTCTAGTACCTACCCAGAACATAAGGTCTGCTTTACCTTGGGACTAGATGGTGGTGTGTGAAATAGCCATGGTTGTTATTATTATAGTTGTCTTAGATTGTATTCCAGAAGGCTAAACATTCTATAAATTAGTTCACTTAACCGCCTATACATTTTAGTAATCATGAATTACTTAAGATACCGGACTTGACACTTATTAAGTAATACTGCATTGACATTAATTGATACCAACACTCCATAATGACTCTAACTTTACGAAATGTAGCATGATTAAATTATCTACTCGTATTTAGTTTCCCGAGTCAACCCGTTTAAGATTAAAAAAGAAATTGCAAACTGCAACTGTTCTCTTTTCGAAATTTAAGAGTTTTCCTTATTACTGCTTATTTATAACAATTAATTCAATTACAATAGTTAAATGTTCGTAAACTAAAATTCTATTTAATATATAAAGCAGTCAGTTCTTGTCAATAATAAGTAAATACTTAATCGGTTACCAATAATTCAATACAATACATACCAACTAAAACAAAATACAATACACACAAAAAATATAATTAATTATTACTAAACAATAATGCACACTTCAAGTTTACTCAGTAGAAATATTGAAAATAAAATAAACACTCCGTACGTATTGCAGATACTTGTACATATTTGCTATTCAACAATTTTACTTCGCTATCGCACATAACAAAATTATGTAAGTATTTGGACAACGCAAACACAATGTAGTTAGACGTATTTATTATACGTACTTCAGAGCACTTACCACAAGAAGTTAAACATCTAAACATCTATAAATAAATTTTTATTGCTGTTCTAGCCTTAAGTGGGACAAACGTAAATAATACAAGTGAATCATAATTCAATTAGTTATATTTAATTTCAATATAGTCACATAAATGCTTCTTTAATTGGATACGTGATTATGTACTCACGTCTTGTCATTTATAAATAGCAACTCCAACCTATTAAACCTACTTTATACATATATCTAAGACGCATTGGAGATTTTAGAAACAATAAAATGTAACCTTGCCGATAATATTTTTTTATTTACACTTATTCACTGTTTACATTTACGGGTATATAAAATACATATGATAAAGATATAAAAAGAAACTTGACAAATTTTCATTGTAAAAAATTAAATATTATTCTTAAGTTCGTAAAAATAACGAGCAATAGAAACTAGAGGTGATAGAATCTTTAAATAAATACTTAGTTATACATAAAATTAGACATACACATAGACGTAAGTCTCCATATTTGTAAATTAACCGTAAAATTAAAGTGTGTAAATACACGCAACACTCTAGTGAAAATGTCCGTGAGAGTACCAGCTCTTGATAAATAACTGGTAGGCTATAAATTCAAACAAAACAATAATAATTGTTATTATCTGTCAATATTTATTTTCACTACTATTTGCTATTCGTTACACCAAGCCCCCTTAAAAATAATTTGTTAAAGTAATGTATTATTTTTTGTTATTTTATCACATTACAGGTTCAATCATTATTATGTCAATGCCACAATCATATGTTGCACTAGCGGTACTCGCGACTTCGTCTTATAACTTTATTTTTTTTAAATAAAATTAGCCTAAGTTACTCCTTAATAAATCTACCTGCCAAAAAAAACTCGACAAAATCGGTCCAGCCATTTCAGAGATTAGCCGGAACAAACAGACAGACAAAAATTGTAAAAAATGTTAGTTTGGTGTACGTACCGTATTTATATTCATGTAGTAAAAAACAGTTACTTCAATATTACAAACAGGCACTCCAATTTGATTTATGTATATAGACATAGATAAAAGCTGCTATTAAAATTGCTATTTGCAATAAATAATTTTACATCAAAGTTTGTTCATAATTGCTGAAGAAATAGCGTAGAGATTACCTTATGCTATTTACTGATATAACGATTGAGTGTGTTACAATGTAAAATACACTAATTAAGAACCTGTTCTTCGAAGCTGGTTTAAAAAATATTTCATTGTTCTGGTTTTAACCTGCGTCTTCGATCCCGCAATAGAGTTGAAATATCTACCTATCTCCTACTCTGTCCCAAATGCTAAACACTTGTCTTCTAAACTTATTGATAATAAAGATATTAGTAAGAATTCGTCTAGTGTGTGTGTAAGCAAAAATTTTTATTATTGCAGGTTGTTGTGAATGCCGGGCCGCATGGATGGCGAGGCACATCTGGCGTTCGCTCGCCGTATTCCTGGCGGCCGCCACACTCGTGCTGGCTAAATGTGAGTATCACAAACATACAAACAATATTTTATAAATCGACCGATAAACAAATAGATGGAAAGTCCCTCCTATTGTCACTTATACAGGAACTAGATCATGGACATGTTAGTACGTTGCGATAAATTCAAATACATAGACATGCACATGCACATTAACGTGTCTATTTTTTTAAGCCTATTTGGATTCTATGTATATAGCTTTTTATACACAAAAATGTTGGGAAGTATTTAGATGATTGACAGAACAACTAAGCTATAGTAACTTCGAAAGTGTTTGTTGTAATAATATTTTTGTTATTATCTAGTTGTCAGTTTTCATAGAAATAGCTATTTACGTAATCTATACTATTTAAACAAGACGAAGGCACCACGTAGCTACGGTTGACAGTAAAATGTATTGGTGTACACCAGTTTATTTAATTCAATATTTAATTGCAACATTCGCCACTATTTTAAATAATGTAATAGCGCTTATATTAAACTATTATTATTTTGCATTTTCGTAGTTAATAATAATTGTAATATTTTCCATACTGCAAAGGTTTTTGGCATAAGTGTTTTACGGCCGGCCGCCTGCCTGACACCAACCCTCCTTGGGAACGCTATTGTTGGTTGTTTAACGCCCACCATAAAGGCGCCCGTTTGTGCTAGTTGTTATTGCCCCGGGATTTCTTTAAACTCCTTTGTTGTCCTTTTACAACAAGGTATTCTTTGCCTAAGTTTGATTTGGCATGCTAACCCAGTTCTAAGTTTTTTCTTCGCTCCCCAGTTAGCAAAGGAGATATAATAATGGGATAAAGGCAAGGCAATGATGAATAATAATTGTAATATTGTTATAACCCAGGATAATTCCTTTAGCGTCATATAGTCCTAAACTTGCAGAACTTGTGTTATGGACACTAAACAACTAATAGCTGTACTTACATAAATACATACGTATATTTGTACATATGTATACATAGAAAAAACCTTACATGAATTATATTAATGAATCCAATTCTTAGTACCTACTGTGCGAGGCGTAGACCACCAAGACCGTCAATTCATATTCTTACTAAGGTATAAGTGCGCATTAATCAGCTTTTTGTTTTGCATTTTTTTGGATAATACGAGAACCTACTGAACAGATTTGAATGAAATTAAGCCAAATATTATCCAATTACTAATTGTTTACCTTCACATAGTATGATACAAAATAATGTCGTTTCCGCTTAAACTACGGAACGGATTTTAATGCCGTTTTTATCGGTAGATATAGAGATTCAAGAGGACAGTTTATATGTATAATATATATACACCTGTGCGAAGCCGGGGCGGGTACCTAGTCTATAATATGATAGTATATATCATATACATAGATAAACAGCAAAACAAAATACTTCCTTCCGTAGAAAATGGCCTACTCTTTCACCCAATATATAAATATTGGTATAGGTACGTTGTACTCTTATGTAAGTTTTAACAAGTTATGTATGTATATATAGGTAGTTGACAAAATATTCCATTCTTCTACATTAGGTAACATCCAACGCACTTTGCATTTATTTGTCCAATCTAGTCAAGATGTAGTAAAATGGTTGACCTCCTTTGATACCTACTTCAGAAAAATTTCATATTCATTATTTGATAATTAATAATACCAGTAACGGCCACTAGTGAAAGAGTCAATTTTATTACAAATTAACATTTAATTTTTCTCTCTTAATAGCCGTACCTACTATTATATATATTATAAAATCAAAATAATTTCATTCAATTATTAATTAATTTGTACTATAGAATAGATTTTAATATATTATTGAATTGTTTTAATAAATACTAAAACATTAAAACTTAAATAGTAGTCGATAAAAGTTAGTCGATCTTTACAAGAACCTTCTATTTTTTGAAGTCGTTTAAAACGTGACGTAGATATAAATCATCCGTGGTCATTCGCACGCTGCTTATGTTAACTGAACCATGAAGTAGACCTCCAGTTTCCCACCATTCTCGTGACTGGGAGCGGCCTGCTTTCAACCATAGCAGATCAACATTCGAGCTACATACTGTCCTAGAAGCCTGGCAAAAGAAGGTCACAAGTACCGCAAAAAGCAGTCCACAGTTGTACAGCACACCCGGAAACAACTGTAGCATTTAGGTTACCTACTGATTTTCGAAGAAACAAAATACATAGAACTTCTACCTTACTTTGTGTCAAAATAATTACGCAGAAACATATTCATTTAGAATGGTGAAATATACCTACATATTGGGTTAAGTACTTAATGAGTACCTAATCTTAATTTTTATATGACAGCGGACGGTGTGTTGAACATCACCACGAACACACAAAATACTTACATTATTTCACCCAATAAAGCGTTGCCATTCTGCGGACTAAGTTATAATTTTTGAAAGGATTTATATAATTTGACAACAGTTTGTTATATCATATCACGTCCCGAAACTCCGGTTATCGTGAGATATTTACAGTCGAAAACCAGTTCTTTGAGTCAAGTTTGCAATATTGCATGATAATTAAACAAACAACAATAATTTTAACAAGCTTAACTCGTAAACCTTCCTTTTGTTTGATTAAATCGTCAGTAAATAGAGAATGTCGACTATTTTATTCATATAAATGTAGCCAATTACGAGCAAGGTAAATTTATTCTAACTCAAGTAGTAGTATGTTTTATAATTGCGCGTGCAAGTATTCACTTGCTTATATTACTTGTACAATATAAATCTCCATTGCTTATTTAAGAGACACTTCTTTAAATAAGAAATATATCGCTCGAATAACCAAGCATTTGTTCAAGAGTGGCAAATATATTGTATTCGTATGTGCATTATGTTACTGTAATAAATTCCTCCCCGTCCTTAAAATACTGTAAATGGCGAATGAGACAAATAAGTCCATGAAACGAAAAATTCAATGTAAAACTCTGTATAAAACCTCTTGATGGTGGGGTAATATCCTAATCCATCATATCATATCATCAATATCATCAAATTGTCTCAATGAGACATACAGGAATGGCTCATTGAGACAAATTGATGTCCTGCAGGGATAAATTAATAAATGGTCACCTGGTAGGGTTTTTATTACGATTACTATTGTTATAAAACAAGTTACTTAAGGAAGTGTTATGATAAAATCTTATAAATATCTTAAAACACAGATTCATTGAATATTTACTCATTTTGAAACTTTTTCTTAAGTTTAACTTATAAATATTTGATATAAACTATATAATAATTATTATATTATCTGTGGTTAAACTTAAAACCAAGTTTGCCTTTTGTTATGATAATTACTGTATAACTTTTAGTGTTATTAAAAAGATTATATCATAATAATTTCGCGACAGATGCAGAGTTGCAGCCATGGCGTGGCGCGGGACACCCATTGTCACTTGCACAGGAGGCGGAAGACGAACGTCACGATGCCGAGTTGCTGGCCGCCGTCAGGTCTTCAATGCAACAATGGGAACAAAAGCGGGCTCGTACAAGGTTGGACATATGATAATGATAATTTATGAGATAAGAATAATTCTTAGATTTTTTCTATGTCTTAGAAAATAATTTTAACTTTTTTTTCTAAGATTATATCTAAAGAAGATAATTAATTATTTCATAAGCAAATAAACTCGGGGTTCTTTATTCTTTATTCTCTTACCTCAGCTCAGAGCTATAGATACCACAATACTTAGGTAGTTTAGTATTTTTACTACATGTTTGCTAGTCAATCCTGTAGTAATAGTTTCTATTTTAGTTGATTTGCTTTAACGTTATCAATTTTATTATACGATACGTTAGAAAGGATCAAGAATTACTTAAGAGATTTATATTATGTTCAGGTATGCTATATTATACCTATCATATAAGAAAAACCGTATCATTTCATTCTAGATTCTATATTCCGATTCAAAACCACATGTTAAAACTAATTCCTACACAACCATGTCAGTATATTTGTACAGAAATAATTATAAATGCTAAGAAAATGTTAAGAAATAATTTGCGACAAAAATTTGTTTGAAGAAAAACCATTGTGTAGTCACAATTCGTAACATTGATGTCACTCATACACGTTTCTTTTATTTATTTATTGGTTTTAAAATGTAAAATCACCGTATATAATGCGAACATTACTGCATGAAAAATATGATGGCTTACTTTAATTTTTCGGCCATGCTGGTTATTTATTCTGTTAGGGTACAGTACTTATAATAATATAATTATTCATACTATCATGGATGACGTATAACCTAATTATATAATCGATTGTAATATACTCAAATACACCGTAGACTTTGTAATAAGTTCTTCTGACACCTGTTGCAGCCGCTAAGCAGCTTGCATTGTAAGCTGTATTTTGGTTGGGGAGTGAGATATGGCACTGAAATTACAGGGAGCGGAGGTATAATATCTTAGTTCTCCAGAATAGTACCAAATGAGGAGTACCATGGACATAACATGATAACGGCATGGCCATGGTGCTCTTTATGTATATAGGTAATCATCGACCGACCTCAGGTATCCGGCATCAGCCGTATGATAAATTTATTTAGTATTCTAATTACATAACAAATACAGGAATTTACTATATTGATATCCAGAGGGTATTGCTTAGAGGTAAAGAGAAAAGAAGGACAATAGGTATCTTTCATTATTCGTAACAGATTTCAGATAAGAATAAATGTGATAGCTAAGTAAGTATAGATAGCTTTCACTTCCAGTTTCACTTTTGTATAAACTTTCTATAGTACAAAATCATTAATTTCACAGCAGACTACAATTTAATTGTCCGAATGCACCCACATTCATATGTTGACACCCCACTTAGAACTGCGCCTATTGAAAAGAAATTAATTCTAAAGGTGAGCATTTGTATTCGCTCACCGTATCAAATTATTATAGTTTCAAAGATAACTCTATTATGTTAAATATTCACACGCTTTCGTACAATAGTTTCATTGTTTTGTAAGTGTATAAAGTACATTACTGAAGTGGTATAAATGCATTTAAAGATACAGCATTTCAGTACAATAATATAAAAATAGACAACTTCTTTTTCACTTATAATTAAAATAATGGGTATAAAGAAATTTCGAAATTAATTAATATTAAAACATTTTAAGAACTAAAATACGAAATTACAAGTTTCCCTCCATTTATAAATAATATGCTATCCGCCCTGGCTTGGCAGGGGTATTCCTGTATTATACATATAAACCTTCCTCTTGAATCACTCAACTATTGCTAAAAACTGCAATAAAATCCGTTGCGTAGTTTATAAGATCTAAGCGGCAGAAGCGACTTCTTTTCATACTAGGTATGTAAAGATAGACGTAACAACCTTGAAAGTAGGTATACTTGACCTACGTTAATATTCAATTGCATTTATAGTGCTAAATTTTAAGTACTTAACTATTATATATGGTATACCTACTACCTATATAAAAAGTTACTGTATTATTTATTACGTATTATTCTTGTATCTATTCATAATATATTAATAACCAGGTATTTTCATTGTAACTCATTAAGATGCAGTTATTTCATTGTAATTGTAGAAAGTCAGGGATATCCATACGTAAAAGAAAATGTTTCTTCACCAAGAAAATAGAAATATTTATAATAAAATAAATACATCTATGAATAGTTGTGTAAATATAGCTTCAAGTGGTCTACTGGAAGTTAGTAGTCAATGCAAATAACATGCTTTCGTTTTAATAGGTAAGTTATGGCACTAATAAAGTTATTGGATATCGAGAAAATACATATTAATCCTCAGGAATAAAAAATAATTGCCTGACAACTACCATCCACGCATGACGTGTTGTGTTATCCATGGGAGTCTTCATGTATATAAGCCATAATTACCACCTACCGTCAATTGAACTACCATGTAATTTGTAGCAATAATATATAATTTTATGACATCACTATTACTATTTAATTATTGAAAAAAAAAATGGAAATATAGATTAAAATCTGTAAAAACGTTATTTCAGGAGTAAAAGATCACAAGGCAGCGTTTGTTATGGAGAATTTGGGTGCTTTGAGGATGCAGGCCCTTTCGCATACCTCGAGACACTGCCCAGCCCTCCACAGGAGGTCGGCACGCACTTCCTCTTGTACTCTACTATTAACAGGTATTTTATTTAACTAATTAAATCATTTAAAGCAAATTAACATATAATAAAATATTTAGTACGTTCATTTTATTATTGAAATGCAAATTTGAAATAATAATATTCCGAAATAATATTATTACACTATAAAAATATTAAAAATGGGTACTATATTAATTTTTAAGTGTTTTCCTTGGATCGTGTGAGTTAAGATAAAACTACCTATGTTTAATATATTAGAATACTTGAATGTGCCTTAAGATTTAAATTTATATTAGGGCACATTCTAGTATTCTAGATTAGTTTACATACAATGCAATAGTTTATGAAGATGAGTTAAATAGATGAAGAAGAAGATGTGATCTTAAAATATTTATTTTATTGTCAATTTTTTATTCAATAATTTTTAAATATATATTTTAATAGATATAAATTAGCAAGTTTAGTTAACACACATGCTAATTAATTATACTTTTTAAACGCTCTAAACCAAATTTTGTAATCTTTGGCCTAACCTAATGAAAATATGGATTGATTGATTGATTTTATATATAGCATATCAGAATCCTGCGTGAACTTTAGATACAACCAAGATACTGCTACTGTACATACGAAATGTTATGTGGTGAATTGGTGATGAATTTTATAGAGGAGATCAACCGTTGTTGGCGGTATCGGCTAGCAACATGTCGGCAGCGTGGGGTTGGGCCGCACGAGCATTCGACTCCTCACGGCCCACACGCATCATAGTACACGGATTCGGTTCCAACTGTGACAATGTCTGGGTGTACGAGATGCGCTCTGCTTTAATGGCTGTTGTAAGTATCGAATTGATAGATCTACGAGTATATTTCATTTCATTGTCAAGAGGGGTGATAGAGGTATAGATATTTTTAACTCTACGGTATGCTCTCGCTTTATGGTTGTTGTAACAAATTCTTAGTGTCATTTTAGTCATTTTTTATTAAAGATAGTTAATAAAATATTTGTTTAATGTAATTTAAATAACAAATGAGCTGATGGTAACTGTCAATTGAATTTGGCAAACAGCATAATAGTTACCAAAAAATACATTATGGCACCATTGGTAATTACCATATGTTGCTATTTTTGCATAAGGTCTAATACATATGTTATACCTCAGTCAGTTGATTCATCCTTAATCTTTACATTAAAACATGAATACAATACTAGATCGCCAGTTACCAGTCATCTTCTAAACATCCCGGTATATTTTTTTGTCAGTTTACTACTTGCAAACATGAACTGGGATTTATTTCACTTAAGTTAATTGAAAGCATGATCTGTGATATAACTAGTTTCAATTTCACAGGAGGAATGCAATGTAGTATGCGTGGACTGGGAAGGCGGCGCGTCCATGCCCAATTACCTTCGAGCCGCCGCTAATACGCGACTCGTTGGTAAGCAGTTGGCAATGCTGTTACAAGGTAATCGATTATTATAATAAATATTTATAGATCTTATTCTAGAATATATATGTAGGTCAAGTAACTTGCGGAAATTAAATCAATGTTTTAGTCATTAGTTGCTCTGCTCGATGTTATATAGTATGCGAGTATATTCAATCGAATAGAATTGAAGAAGGTAACTGTTTGTAAAGTGACATGTTATTAATTATTTTTTAAGTAAAATTAGTATTTCCGTCTACACTATTTACTATTTACATGTAGGTACTAATTACGTAAGAACAAAAGTTAGTTTCGTTTTGTAAAAGCTTGAATAATTTTTATTCAACAGGTTTAGCAAAGCACATAGATCTGCGGTTCGAAGACGTGCATTTTATTGGATTTAGTTTGGGCGCTCATGTCGCCGGCTTCGCAGGCTCTGAACTTCGAAATATAAGCCGCATTACAGGTAATCCATTCTTTATAACTTGTAACTATCGATTTAGAGGTAATTATTAATTACCTCTCTTAATTTAGTACACTATTATTCATGGTCCCATCTCATTACACTGGCGGGGCACCAGTGAAGGATGGTAAAATGAGCATGAAGTCAGGTCAGTTGGCATCTGGGCAAATAACAAATTACTACGATGGTTTCCAAACTGTGTGAAGGCCAACCTGACAGGGTCCACGTTACTGACAATTCCCTTCCTCCCACCATATAAGAATAAAATAATTTAGTTATTACTTAAACCCGACAGGTGATAGGTACTTAGTTATCATTTAGACAATATAGTGGCTTGCAGTACTAGTTACCAATACTATTCATGTTCCATCAATACTATTATATATATCCAACATATTTATATTACAGGTCTAGACCCAGCAGGTCCGCTTTTCGAATTCCAAGACCCGAGAGCTCGATTGGATCGCAGTGATGCTAAATTCGTAGACGTAATTCATTCGAATGGTGAAACCCTAATTCTAGGCGGGCTAGGCGCCGCGCAGCCTCTGGGTCATGTTGACTTTTATCCAAACGGCGGCAGAGTACAACATGGCTGTTCTAACTTGTAAGTAAATTTTTTTAGTGCTAGTTTTTTATGCAACTGTAATACAAACAATCTGCCTACCTGATGGTAAGTGGCAACCTAACATACACATGTACAGCTACACAGATATATACATGAAGCCAGGCGTTGCCTTTTCACGCTGTATTATGCCTCCAAATACCAACTTATTGTAACTAACTCTCTCTCCCTAATTATCGTGAAATAAAAGCGCTAATCTATATAAGCTAATAATAATATCATTGGACAATTTACATAGCGCCATCTAGTCCCAAGCTAAGCAGAGCTTATGTTATGAATACTAAACAACTGATAATGTGCTGGCCGCTGCCCCCGGGAGTCGGAAGGCGCGTCGGCAGGCACCGAGTCGCTGGTACGCCCGGACGTCAATCTATCCTCCTCGAGGTGAGAGAGTGCCCTTTTCAAAGCACTCCCTACCTGAAGGGCCTCAATCAACGCCGCGGGCGCGTTGCGGGTGAAGGACCAGGTGCCTCTTTATAGGCACCACGATGATTCGTCCTGAGAAGGACGTTTAAACGATGCTGATGCGACGGTGACACGATGCGATGACACGATGCGTGAAAAGGGTTGTGACGACTATGCTTGACGATGGCGATGATGGACGGGCAGTAAATGAGAAAACGGTTCTTGTGGTTCAGAATGCAGAGGCGAGGAGAATTTCTTCAGTGGTTGATTTCTTTTCCGGTTGAATTCGCTATTCTGAGGTCAGATTCGCTCTTCAGAGATCTATTTCGCTATGCTGAGGTCAGATTCGCTATGATTTGTAGCGCTTTTGGACGCTACTTATATACGATTTTTGGCTACTAGCCAGCGGACCCTTGGCCGCCCTATTCTCCTCACCCCTTTATATAATTTTTATTATATTTTATCAATCTTACATTTTGTGTTTACAATTTGTGCATCAAACGTCAATACCATCTTTAATTTACATTTTTATTATGATGTGTGCGCTGCGCGACGTGCGGTTTAGGAATAATTCGCGATTTCGCGGATCGCGCCTTTTATATGACCTCGCTCCCCTTCCCCCTCATATATATATAGCGCGGGAGAGCGAGGTCGCGCGTCAGTCGAACGAATGCTGCCGCGCAACGCACATTACAATTATTATTACATATCTACAAATGAAATGATACTATAAAAAGATCCCTATGTATTTTGGGATCTATTTTTTATACTATATTCTATTCTGTTTCTATTTGCCGACCTATTTATTTTTAGGGGATTGAAACCACAACCATTATAATCATTTATTTGTCAAGTATTTTTGTAAATAATAACATAAAGTACTTAAATCTCTATAAACTTATCCCTATCAAATCTACTATTCTTAAGGTGTTACTATGTAACAATTGTACTATTTATAAATTTGCTATATCTAATCGAACTTATTTCTACAAACTATGACTATATATAATCTTTAAGCGGTGGTCCGGAACATTATTCTCCCGCCGCTGCAGCGGTCGTCGAGGGCGCTGCAGGAGCCTTGTCTGGTTCCGGAGCCCGCTCTTCACTATCAGCAACTCCCGTTGGCAGGACCACGAGTCGTTTGGTTGGCCTCCTCAGCACGCCATTCTTGGTCTGGATGTCGGCCACTCGGATGACGCCGTCTGGGCCGGGAAACACTGCTATTACTCTCCCGCGCGGCCATGTGTTGCGCGGGAGATTGGAGTCGACGATCAGGACTAAGTCTCCGATGCGCAGAGGTTGCCCCGTGCCGCGGGGCTCCCGCCGGTGTTGAAGTTCCGGTAGGTACTCCCGGAGCCATCGGCTCCAGAAGTGGTCTGCTAGCCGCTGCGCTCTCTTCCAGTGACTCCGGCTATCGATATCGGTGTCTTCAAAGCTTCCCGGAGTTTGCACTTTGCCCGATCCTCCCAGTAGAAAGTGGTTAGGCGTGAGGGCTTCCTCGTCGTCCGGTTCAGTTGACACATGTGTGAGCGGACGGCTATTCACGGTATATTCCGCCTCACACAGCAGTGTAACTAATGTTTCTTCCGAAGGGTGCCGCTCATGCAGTGTGGCGGCTAATGCTGTTTTCACGGAGCGGACGAGACGTTCCCACGCTCCGCCCATGAATGGTGCGCTGGGGCTGATGAACCGCCAGCGTATACGATGATTAGCCGCGTCTTCGCGACTTGCTTCTATGGCGGCGCGACGTAGCTCTGCGTCTGCGCCGTGGAAGTTGGTCCCATTGTCGGACCAGATCTCGGTTGGCTTCCCTCGTCGGGCCATCATCCGCCTGAGTGCGGATATTGCGGAGTCTGTAGACAATGAGGTGGTTAACTCTAAATGTACTGCTCGCGTTGTCAAGCATGTGAACAACGCGACGTAGCGTTTGTGGTGTTGTCGCCCCACGGTGACACTAAGAGGCCCGAAGAAGTCCACGCCTGTGTATGTGAACGGCCTCTGGTGATGGGCGAGTCGGCTGACCGGATGGTCTCCGGTGGGCGGGATCGATGCTGTTCCTAGTGGGTCGAAGAGAGACATGACCGTCCGGAGGGCTTCTCTCTTCGTCGGTGTGCGACTTCCGTTGACTATCTCTTGCGGAATTCGGGCTATATTTAAGTTGAAGCCCAATGTGTCCGTGGCGGGCCTCCATGTGAGGCCTAATATTTTCTCTTCTTTGTCGGCTCTATCTATGGAGACGGTCCTATCTTCTATTCTTGTGCTGTTGTATTTTTCTTGTAGTTGTGGGCTGTTCGATGTCCACTTCCTTAAATGGAATTTTGCTTTCCTATGTACGGTGTCAACTTCATGGGTGATTCTCATAGCTTCTTCCTCCGTTTGGAAACTTTGAAGGTAATCATCCATATAGTGGTTATGGATAATTGCGTCGGCTGCTCTTGGATATTGTTCCTTGTGTTGTTCTGCGTTGTGGTTCTTGATGTACAAAGCGATGCACGGTGAGCAGGCGGCGCCGAAGATCACTGCCTTCATTCTATATTCGCGGGGTGGTCCCTCCCGCCGGTGTTGTCGCCACAGGAACCGCAGGACATCTCTATCTTCTTCGTTGATTTCTATTCGTAGAAACATTTCTTCTATATCTGCGGCGACGGCTATTGGATGTTGTCTGAATCGCATTAACACCCCTGGTAACGATTGAAGTAAGTCCGGACCGGTCAGCAGATGATCGTTGAGTGACGTCCCCCTGGCGCGAGCGGCTGCATCGAAGACTGGACGAACTTTCCCCGGCTTAGCTGGATGAAGCACGGGAAAGTGCGGAAGATACCAGGTGCGGGCGTCCGATGGGGTGGTGGCGGCTTCTTCTGCGTAGCCTTTTTCTATTAGGAGCGCTATTTGTCGCTCGTATTCTTCTTTCAGCTGTGGATTCCTATCTATTTTCTTCTCTGTGCTGTACAGCCTGTTGAGCGCCGCATCGTAGTTGTTCGGCAACTCGACTTTATCTGTTTTCCACAGTAGCGATGTACTATATCCCCCATCTGGCAGAGCGCGAGTCTTCTTCTGTAGTATCTGTAGTGCTCGCTCTTGAGGGTCGGCGCGTGTCTTTCTTGGCAGCACGCCTAGTGATTCTATAGGGAAATATCTTCTTAATTCCTCTTCTATTCTATCCTCGGCCCCCTCACGTATATGATATACATGGTGGACTTGATGGCCGAGACTGCGAGTGGACGCTCCATGCAGCACCCATCCGAGCGGAGTTTTCGATGCGACTGGTTGTGACGAAGATCCTCGGCGAACTTCTATGGCCAGTAACAGTTCCCAATTGTCTTGGCCGATGAGGATCGTTGGTGTGGCGTCGTGGTAACACAGTATCTTCTTGATGCCAGCCAGGTGTTGACATCGTCGGATATCTCTTTCTTCTATTTGTTGTTTGGCGAGTTTGAGTCCCTTCATTGTCCTGGCGGAGATCTCATACTCCTCTTCTGAACCGCATAACGTTAGAGTTACGCGTCTCGAGCTATTTGTTCGAACCGTTGCGCCGGCCAGTGCTTCTATTTTCAGTGGTTCTGTCGGCCCCTCCGCGCCGACTCTTGTGGCTATTTCCTCATCTATGAGGGTGACGGTAGATCCATCGTCGAGGAGGGCGAAAGTGTCGATGCTGGCCCGAGGTCCGACTATTTTCACCGGCAGTATTTTGAGATAACTGCGCGGTGAACGTGTGAGCGAGACGCCTGTCGATACTGTTGCTGTCTCTGTCTTCTGTGTCTCGCTCGTTGCCCTGTAGTGCAACAATTTGTGATGCATACGTGGACAGTCATCTATTCCGCAAGTCTTCGTCTTGCAGTTATGTGTCTGTGTTCGATATTGTAGGCATCGGAAACACAGACGTTGTGCCTTCGCTATTTCCCAACGCCCGTAGCTATTTTCTTTCTTGAATTTTTCACACTGTTGCGCCGCCGTGTGCGAATTTGATTTGCACACGGGACACGTTGGCTTGTGGCGGGGTGGGCTGTCCGTCTTACTCGCTGTATGTGTTCGCTGCGGACGGATTTGAACACGACTTTCCGACGGCTTCGGTTTGTCGTCCATGCTTGCTATCTTCATGGGTTCGGCGCTTACGCTATAAATTTCAGCTTCTATCTTCACGAAGTTGTAGTACTGTACTAAATCCGGTACGTCTTCGTGGGCTTGTTGCTGGCAGTAAACATACCACCTATGTCGAATGTTCGGCGGTAGTTTTTCTATTAATAACTTCGCCACTTCCGGGTTGTATAGGAAGTTGATCTTCTTCAACGTCTTCAATGACACGATGCTATTCTTGACGGCTGTGGCGAATCTGCAGAACTCCCCCGGTGTGTCCTTCGGTGGTGGAAGACTCCGCAGGTTTGCTATTTCGACTTCTGCTATGTTGTTCGGTCGACCGAAGGTGAGCTCCAACTCGTGCATGATCTCTTCGGCCGGCGTGTTTGCTATTAGGAGGCTCTTCATTGCTGACCTAGCCTCCCCTCGTAAGGCTCTCCGGAGCCTTTCTATGTTCTGCGACGGCGTTAGATACCCCGCAGATTCTTCGTAGGCTGCCTTGAAGGCCAGCCAATCTGTATGCGCCCCGTAGAACGGTGTGAGTTCCCCTCTATACTGTGCTGCTAGGGGACCCGACGTTGACGCTTGTGGGTGCGGCGCGACGGCCGCTAGCGACGATGTAGTCGCCCTGACGATTTCGGTTACTGCAGTTGCGAGATCACCAACTTGAATGGTGTCTGTGGGTGCCAATCGTTGGTGAGTTTCTATGGTACCCCGAAGCGGCTCCTCTATTCTCGCCGGTGTGGGCCTCTTCGGTGGATTCGGTGGTGCTTTTGGTGGAGGTGGTGGTGGCTCGGACCGCTGCTCGAGCCATTCGACGACCCTATTGTGGCCGTCTTGCGATGCTGGTTCCGACGGTTCTTCGTCTTCTTCTCCGAAGGCTTCCAGTCGGGCTAGCTTGGCCTCCGCCAACTGTAATCGATAGCGAATGACCTCTTCTCGGGCGATAGCGATTTGTTTCTGTCTCTCCTTTTCTCTATCGGAGAGCTGTGATCGCGCCGTTGTTTGTTGAACGACGGTTTCTTCGACGTCTTGTGTCCCTTGTGGCGACCTCGGCGGTATGCTATGTCGAATAGGGAACGGGTTTTCCCTCCGCGGTGGGTCTGGGACCTGTTCTGCATCTGTTTGATGCTCTTCTGTCTTCTCCTCTTGCATTTTGCCAGTTCTGCGTCGTGTGACGGGCATCTTCTATTCTTCTTGATCCGGCTCGAAGGACCAGCAGATGTGCTGGCCGCTGCCCCCGGGAGTCGGAAGGCGCGTCGGCAGGCACCGAGTCGCTGGTACGCCCGGACGTCAATCTATCCTCCTCGAGGTGAGAGAGTGCCCTTTTCAAAGCACTCCCTACCTGAAGGGCCTCAATCAACGCCGCGGGCGCGTTGCGGGTGAAGGACCAGGTGCCTCTTTATAGGCACCACGATGATTCGTCCTGAGAAGGACGTTTAAACGATGCTGATGCGACGGTGACACGATGCGATGACACGATGCGTGAAAAGGGTTGTGACGACTATGCTTGACGATGGCGATGATGGACGGGCAGTAAATGAGAAAACGGTTCTTGTGGTTCAGAATGCAGAGGCGAGGAGAATTTCTTCAGTGGTTGATTTCTTTTCCGGTTGAATTCGCTATTCTGAGGTCAGATTCGCTCTTCAGAGATCTATTTCGCTATGCTGAGGTCAGATTCGCTATGATTTGTAGCGCTTTTGGACGCTACTTATATACGATTTTTGGCTACTAGCCAGCGGACCCTTGGCCGCCCTATTCTCCTCACCCCTTTATATAATTTTTATTATATTTTATCAATCTTACATTTTGTGTTTACAATTTGTGCATCAAACGTCAATACCATCTTTAATTTACATTTTTATTATGATGTGTGCGCTGCGCGACGTGCGGTTTAGGAATAATTCGCGATTTCGCGGATCGCGCCTTTTATATGACCTCGCTCCCCTTCCCCCTCATATATATATAGCGCGGGAGAGCGAGGTCGCGCGTCAGTCGAACGAATGCTGCCGCGCAACGCACATTACAATTATTATTACATATCTACAAATGAAATGATACTATAAAAAGATCCCTATGTATTTTGGGATCTATTTTTTATACTATATTCTATTCTGTTTCTATTTGCCGACCTATTTATTTTTAGGGGATTGAAACCACAACCATTATAATCATTTATTTGTCAAGTATTTTTGTAAATAATAACATAAAGTACTTAAATCTCTATAAACTTATCCCTATCAAATCTACTATTCTTAAGGTGTTACTATGTAACAATTGTACTATTTATAAATTTGCTATATCTAATCGAACTTATTTCTACAAACTATGACTATATATAATCTTTAAGCGGTGGTCCGGAACAGATAAATATATACATAGAAAACACCCAGATCAATATACCATAAACATACTCATAAGTACCTAAAAACGTTTGTACCGTGGTATTAATAAAGTTTTCAACAAGCAATTTTCAATTCTTTCAAATTTTAATAACTGAAGTTCTCTAAAATATACCACATGTTGTGTCATGTACCTGATACTCTTGTTATGCACTACAAGTGCGATGTTCCTGGAAGATTAAAAGTACAATAATAATTTACTAGGACCACAGATAACATAATATTACATACTAGGACGAAAGTCTTCTGCCTAAAACGTAAGTCGAAAACATAAATCGAAACGAAACATAAGTCACTTTTTTGGATATTTTCGTAAGGTTCGTGGGCGCAGTGTCAGATCTAGTGTTGCCGTGGGCGGCGCCGTCACCCGAAGGCCGCTCGTTGTGCAACCACCGTCGTGCCTACAAGTTCTTCACGGATTCAGTCTCACCTAAATGCCACTTCCCTGCTTTTCCATGTACAAATTACGACACTTTCTTAGAGGTAAATATGAGTTTAATATAATGTCGATGTTATAAACTAAATCATAAGTTGTACTCACCATTTGACATAAAACTATAATGCTTCATGTAACTGTATAAACAGTTACATTCGTTTTAGTTCATTGTTTAGGATCAGAACGACAAAAAAACTAACAGCATACATGTCATATATACTGTTGTAGGTTTATTATTATACTCGTATGTATATGTATATAGGTAAATAGAAAATAGAAGAAAAATATTATATACGATCGATAGTCAAGAATTTGAAGTAGGTATAAACAAAACGTACAATAACAGAATTATACTTTTAAATACAAGCTTAGTATAAAAAATACATTTCTGATTAGCCAATACAGTGTACAACACATACACTGTCACCTTATTCCATTGTTTATTATATCACTACATGACAATCAATCTAACTACCATACAATAAACCTGATGAAAAAATTTGCCATCGACTAAAGCACTGTGACTGTACAAAACTATTCTGTAGTAGGTATATACGTCTCCACAATTTAACCAAATAATAACGGAACTTATTTGGACATGACAGGGTCGATGTTTCCCTTGCGACTCACAAAGGCGTTGCGGCAACATGGGCTACTACGCCGACCGATCACTCGGTCGCGGCCAACTGTACTTACTCACCAGGGAAGAGGAGCCTTTTTGTGGTGAATACATTATTATCACACCTAGTACCTTACACAATCAGAATTTGTTATTTTAACAGTGTGTATAAACATAATATAACTATATGTTGTTTATAGCCCACCAGTACTATGTGTCGGTGTGGGCGGGCAGCGAGACGGGCGAGAAGGTGAACTACGGCAGAGTGACGCTCACACTGCACGGAGACACGGGCCTCAATGAATCCTTCCCTATGACCAAGTACGTACAAATTACATTTCAACTCACGCTCATGCAGTGCATTATTTTACAAAAATGACATTAGTTATATAGTTTTTTTCATCTACTCTGTTAAGGAGCGGGATTTATCAAGTATTGATTCAACAAATTTCCTATATTTTAAAAGACAGTTTATTTACATTGTTTAGTTATATAGGTGTCCATATCCAATATTAACTTATTGTTACAGACGCGAGGAGAGAAGCGTAAGTGCTGGTGCCAACATGAGCGTGGGCGGTGCGGGGTCGCACGCTCGATTCACGCGTGTGTTGGTCCCGCACCCGGCGCTAGGAGTGCCACTACGTGCATCCCTACACTACGCCGCATACTCAGGGTGGCTCAGTGCCGGCGCTAACACCATTCTACTCGACAAACTGCTCATAGCTGACAGCTTCGCTAAGACGTAACTTACATATCATATTTCTTCTACTCAATATATGTATTCATAACTAACAACCCGCCCCGCCTTCTCACGGGCCAATTGTTGAAGTTCTTATTTTATTAAAACTAAGATATGAATATTTGAAACATAATTTAGAGAGATTCAATATTACCCCAACAAACAAACTCTCATCTTTTATAATATTAGTATAGATGATGGAATGGGGAATGATATTTCACCAGCGGTAAAAGTTTATACTGTTAATTTATCTAATTTTAATCATTAGGAGACTGTGTTGCGATTAAACTGATGAAGCCACTAATCCACATTATTAACAATACATTAATTCTCGTAGGAGGTAGGTTCTCTATTTATCCCAATATTGAACATAGTGATATAAATAGAACCTACTATTTTACAATTTCATTGTAATGTTAAAAACTTTGAATATTTTTTATTTTTTACAAAATGGCATTTTTATTACAGATCCTCATTCTGTAAAAAAGGGATGGTACTTCATTCTGATGAATCTATCGAACTACCGCTCTACCCTGGGGACTGCCAAATACAAGAAGTAAGGAACCATGTTACACATATTCAGTTATTTTCTATGGGTTATAAGAAATGCCTGTATATATAAATATATATATTTTTTTTTATTTTCGTTTAAGGACGTTGATACACCAAACGCGACAAGCAATGACAATACAATTCAAGATAATGTAACGAACAGACCATTAGTAGATCCTCTCGATAATGAGCTGCCGGAAGACACACCGCAGCGGCCTTTCGCACTCGTCGATACTTACGAATTCACCGGCGGAGCTGACAGTGGTCGCGCTTTCGGGATGACCAATACCAAAATAGCCGCGAGTGGACTTGTCGAAATCGCAGAACCAGTCTTAAAACCGCGACCTCGGAAAACACCACGACATAAAGCGGATTCACCCGACGATTTGCCTGAAATATCAGAACCTCTATTGAGAGCTACGCAACCTCCACGCCCGACTACTCAGCAGCCATTAAGAAAAGGAAAGAACTACGACATGTCTACGACGCCAACTTACGAAGCTATGTCGTGGAGCGATAAAACTGAGGAGGAATCCAGTTTCGCAGTTCAATTTTTACCGGCGCGATTGGCATCCTTTATTTCGAGGGCTGAAAGGTACGCTCGAGATACTCTCCTACCTTTGGTGTCAGCATACGCACCTCGATTGCCCATTTTCGGATCTAGAGAAGTTCCTAAACCAACTGCTAGGTATATACCTATGGACGATTTAAATGTTACAAGTTCGGTACCTGTACCAACTCCTACATTGGAAATGAAAATAGAGTCACTCCGAGCAGTAGGTCCACCTGGAGAAAAGAGAGACATGGAATCGCCTGAAGATCCAGATATTCCTGTTGTGATATCAACTACAACTACCACTACTACAACGACAACACCATCGACTACCACTGTGGAACTTCGGGCAGCACCTACAGAAATGTTGAAGGTGGTGAATGGACCCGCTGCGTCCACTAGCACGGCATTACCACCGATGGCTTTAAGAAGTGAAGGGCAGAAAATTGTGATAGTATACCCGAGCAACGCTAGAGATGAGCGAAAGATTCGATCGCATTCATATCCAGAGGAGCTTCAGTTTGAAGCGTTGTACCGTCACACAGCGTCGCCGTCCGAAGTGCGGGTGGATTTGCCTACATTTAGCCCGCCCACGTCAACTGCTGAGCCTAGTTCCACGTCACCCACACACACCGCTGATGCTAGATACATACCGGTATTATATCAAAAGCCTGATGATAAATTAACGGAATCTAATTCTTACCCCACATGAAAGACATTTTTTAGTTTTTATCGAATTTATATTTTGCATGGTGTAAATAATGCCAAGATGATGATTGTAAAGAAAAATTACAAATTACTAATGTAATTGTATACTATCTCTGTGATCTGTGTTGTAGTTACTTCTCCTACATCATTAAAATAATGTATAGTAGGAAATTTATTTTCCGCATCCATGCCGTCCAGTGTATAGATTGTAAGTCGTAACATTGGTATTTTTTTAAACTAATGTCATGTAAATAAATCTAGATTTTAATTGAATTTATAATAGGATAGAATTTTTTGTAAAATAAAATATTTATTACGTCATGTCCTTATTTATTTTTAAAACTTAAAATATTACTTTTTTGGCCATAAATCAACATTGCTTGGAATTGAACGGAATGCTCTGCATAATACAAAATTAGAAAATGATTACACAATCCAATTTAGATGAAAATAGAATTAGTTGTACCTAGTAATCATAAAGTTATATCCTAATCTAGGTACTTAGTGACAAAATTAATGTAAAATAAAAGTAAATGTGTAGACAATAACAACCGAGACTCGAGACTTAAAGTCTAAATTATCGTGCATCGCTCGAGGCATGACAGCATCTAAACCGGCTTTACAAATGGCACAAATTAATGCACGGTTCATGGAGTCGGCCAGCAGTGTCAAATCGTGTTTAATTTTAAGGTGGATTTAGACTAGAAGAACATAGACTAAGAATGTAGAATCAATAAAATATGAGGCAAAAACAAAATTATCATCGAATATATAATAAGCAACTACGTAGCAGATTTTCGCTTTGAATTGGTGATACCCAAATAATTCGACCGCCTCGTCTCAGCGATGACGTAACTGGTGGTCGCAGATAATGCATGTCATATCGTGATTTTAATTTTGAATGCAATAATCCACATATAAACTAAAATACCCTCCTAATATTTCCGAACCGATACAATATTGAAACCTTCAAAGGCCAACAACTCATTTGCTACCCTGGTATTGCAGGTGGGGGTGGGGGTACAATTAATACATCGCAATTGTTTAACAAAATAATAAAAATTCGTTCGCTGTAGTATAAGATCCACCTCAAGAAATAAAAAGTTTGATCAAAAGAGATCCGACCTGTAGAATCCTTTCTACCTGTGCACGTGACGTATCTACTTCATGTACTTGTCGGAGTGCTGCGTGAGGATGCGAGCTGAGGACTTAGCGTCGAGGAAGAGTTCGTGTACGGACTGCACGTGCGGTGGGCCCACGCGATTTGCGCCGGCCGCGCGGGCAGCCAGCGCCGCCGGCGACAGCAACTGCGCTGCGTACCTGCACGTAAACACGTTGCCGTTATATCCGTCATCATTATTAACATCCTCAACATAACCGAATCGAGATGGAATATTACATATAGAAAAGAAGCTAAAAAACTACACAAAAATACATCTATTCATGAAATTACAAAAATTAATTTTATTATAGAAAAAAAGTTCCATTACTACAAATTACATTATTGCGGCTATTAAATACTATAAAAGTAAAACTAAAACTATACACAATAAATCTGTTCAGGAAATATAATGTGACAAAAAAATTAAAAACGTTAAATTACTACAAATTCATCCTTTTTAAAAATATCAATGTATATTAATTTTATTTTTTATTTTATCACTTCATTAAGAAATCGTATAAGTAGATATATAGATATAGACCAACAGTTACGAGCGCTTACCTCAAAGTACTATTTGCGCCGATTTCTGAAAGAGCAGACAATGCTTCGTCTTCTATAGATATGCCTTCAGTCGACGCTCGTAATTTTAATATCTAAAAACAATAATCATTCTGATCTTCCTTACATAGTCAACAAATTTATAACAAAGAAGAAAAAGATTATTGGTGAGTTAGTAGTAGTCTTAAAAGTATCATGAAAAATTTGCCTCTGTTTATTAGATGTCCACTATTTATTAAAGTACACTAAAATAACGAATATACTAGTTATAACTTAATATTATTAATTATAACAATTTACAAATTTTGTAGTCATATGTGATCTATTATTCCGTATAAGATTTGGTTGGTAACCACTCATGGCTAAGATAATTTTATTGTAAAGAAAAGTTACCTGTAATAATTCCGACTTATTGTATGGTAATGTGCGGATAATTAATAGCCTATCCAAAAGATCTAACGGGATTCCATGTGGTGATACAATATCCTCAGTCCCTCTGAAAAAATAACAGACAAATGTACACATTCATATAAGTAATGATTGATATAAATGAAATTACAAAGCAAACCTGAGTTAGCAGTTATATTTAACATTAATTATTATACTACAACACATGAACATTACACAACAAAAAAATTAATATTCAGGTACACACCTTATTTGGCAGCGACCTCTGTTGGTTGCGAAAATAACTATTGGTGCTATAGCAGACTCCAAGGCACGATGTAAATATGTGAAAGTCTCGATATCCAACATGTGCACCTATAACATATGACAAAGCTTCAAACTATCAAAAGCTACAAGTAATAATTTTGTTTTTATGTAATTCAAAAATTCTTAAATCAACCACTTTTAAAAATATTATTGTATTAGTAGTAGTAGTACTATACAACAAAAATAAAATATTAATAGTATAATTCAACCAACCTCATCAATGAATAACACTCCAGGCACCAATTCTGCTATACCTTGATCTATGTATTTGTTTACAACTTTGTTAATTTCTTTTCTCAACTTATCTGAAACATACAGTAATGCTAAAAAATTTGACGCGAAATATCATAACGAGGGACAAAGTCTATCTTTTATCTACTTTTACTGCGACAAAGTTGCAGGTAACAGCTAGTAGGAAATAAAATTAAAATATAAAAGATAAAATAAATGGACCAACCTGTAATCTCTGTCTTCTTTGGCTTCATTAACTGGCCCATCATAGACATAATATCATGTCCACCCTGTGGTCTTGCATTGGCACAATCTAGATCATGCAGTGTTACATCTTGTACTACTTCTTTCTTCTTGTGAACATCACCTTTTGGCAATGGAACATACTCTTCGGCCTATAAAATATCCAATTATATTTAGTAATACCAGTGGCAATCCGTGAGGAACTAGCCATTATTATTGCTAAAAGTTGCATATAGATGGCGTGATTGGTATCGATGGAATTCTTCATAGTTTTGCAAACGTTTTAAAAAACAAAACTGTGTTTACAAAAATGTTTAATCAATTTTTAAAAAGTTATATATACATGTTAAAATGAAATAATGCGTTTAGAAAAGTAATTTTCATATATTTACTCATTTTGTTATTTTCCAGTACTTAATTAATTTAATCAGTGCTAATACGGGGCTCAATGTTTTCAAAATGCTTTCATAGATGGCATTGTTGTCATTTGTATCGGCCTAATTAAATGTCTTTTTTATATTTTCCAATAATAAGCACTTAATATATCATTATTGTAAATTAAACATATAAAAAAATTTTAAGTAAATTAAAAATAGCCGAACAAGCAAGTAATACTATTTCCAATAATACTTATGTATGAAGTGTTGTCATATTAAAAATAAATACATGTATTATCGATTTTTTTGAATAATCGATAACAGGATTTTATTACAGCGCATTATTCGATGATGCTTTTAATGAGTCGTTGTGAACAGTAAATTTTCATTATTTTGTATTATAGCAGTGTTCCGTTTCAAAGAACGGAATATAGTAGTACATTATTAGTGTCGTTGGTTATTTACATTTGTACTAAAAATCGATTACATAATAATTTAAAATATCGAGTACGAATCGTAGTTGTCTTTGAATACTGGCAAGATTAAAATAGTATTTAAAAAAAAGAGAGAAATCGACCCTAACTCGAATACCATAAAGTTGATTTTCCTTTCTCATTAATATCATAGCAGTTTGTTTTTAACTTGCGTATGACTCTGTGGTATGATGTTTAACGTGTATTGTTATTGTACGGTGCATACATTTCAAAAATTATATTTTAATGTAGGTACATACATTTCTTTCATACATTTCATACATTTAAAAAATGAACTTTTTATGTAGGTACATACATTTCATACATGTCAAAAATTATCTTTTAATGTAGGTACATTCATTTCTTTCATACATTTCAAAAATGAACTTTTTATGTAGGTACATACATTTCTTTCATACATTTCAAAAATTATATTTTAATGTAGGTTCATACATTTCTTTCATACATTTCATACATGTCAAAAATTATCTTTTAATGTAGGTACATACATTTCTTTCATACATTTCATACATGTCAAAAATTATCTTTTAATGTAGGTACATACATTTCTTTCATACATCAAAGATATTATTATTGTAGATATCGAAAGTTATGTATACAAGTAATTCTGAATATTATCAAGTTCAAAATAAGCACACATTACTGGCTTAGATAATAGACTAATATTACTTGTAATAAAAACATTTGTGACACCCATATGTATACATATTACATAGTAAGTACTTACGCCCGTGCCGTGAGACTCATCTAAGCGTACAGCGCATGCGCGTCGTGCGGTAACCGCACCGACGGACCAATAGGAGCGCGCCTCTCGCGCATCCAGAAAGTTCGCGACTAATGGACGGTATAGTAGTAAAGCAATGAGTGTTCCAGTGACATCATTATAATATTTTCTCGTTAAGTTTTATTGTAATATACATAATTTCGTACTAAGTAACGTGTTCCCCCGTTACACATTTCTAACGTGTAACGGGCGTGAAAGCGAGACAAACAGACAGAGTTACTTTAGCATTTATAATATTTGTAAGAATATCGCTATTAAAAATAGGGGTTGGTGAAAGACGGGCCAAAATTTAGGCGTGTATGTAACATTATAAATAAATAAAAAATTGTCCATAATACAAAAAAAAAAATTCAGGGTAGGCCACCCCTATGACTTAGGGGTATAAAAAATAGATAACAACCCTACCTCAGACCTAGCAAGTATACATATCAAATTTCATCAAAATGTGGGAGAAATATGGCAACTAACACTGTGATACGAAGTTTATATATAAGGTATAGCGGAATTCTCATTAGGGAAAAGAGGGGTACATCGTAGAATACATGAGGTATATACCAGTAAATTCATTGTAGCTAAAACCAGTCTCTTACACATAACGATTGAAATGAAAAATCATATAGCCCGATGTTGATACGTACGAGTATAAACGTATCAAAATCGGGCTATACGTATAGCGCAGACGCGTTACAACATATCTTCGTCGAGAGAAAAAAATAGGCATGGAATGTAGAATAAACTATAACATAATATATACATTGGCACATAAGCCATATCTGCAGGGTATCGGCTAACGATATTATACCTACACATTTACATTGAATCTTGAATCGTCCCTAATGAGGTACACGATACAGTTACCTACACCTACATATCTTGTATATACCTATCTTTGCAAAACAGATGTCATGTAGACTGAATTGACTGCCATCTATTTTCGTGCTTTGTTACTAAGCACCCACTAGTAATCCGAACTGCTTCAGATCTAGAGACATCTAGCGGCTACGGCGGCGAAATAAAATAGCCCGAAGAATAGCCCGAGTTAGGAAGGAACCATTTTCTTGTATGGGATGGGGTATCTGTATGTAATATTATGTTATCTGTGGTAATACTGAGGCGAGAGATGGAGTTTGCCTGTCAACATGACTATTGTTAGTAACACAGAATTTTGTAATCTAATACACATATGAACAAATAATATAAATATATTATTTGTTCATATGTGTAAAGGTCATCATTTCCTAAAATATTTCCGGGAACAAGAATTGAATTTTGTCGGTAACACACACCTAACACCCTAAGTGTTTTAGGCATCTATAGGGTACTTAATCATTTACCATCAGATGTCATAGCCTGTAATTTCACTGATAAATCACTCTTTAAACTAAGCTCATTACAAAGAGGTAATTATATATATACTTTATTGCTTCCAAAAACCAACAATAATCATACCTCAAGGTCAAACTCTGTGGCAAATGTGTCACTCCTGCCTTGTCTTTTCACTGCACCAGAATTGGCTTCAATGTAAATAACATCCCCAACTTCCACCTTCTCCTTCTGCAGAGATTCATATATAGTGGGATCCAACTTCAACTGTTTTGTACCCTTTGCAGTTTTAAGGCCAATAATAACATGGGATACAGTTTTTCCATACCCTGAAAAACAATAAAAAATAATTAATATAAAAATTATAAGTGTCGTAGTACATTTGACATTGGTTCTCTGGTGGAAATATGCTATAGTGAAATTATACAGCTAAAGGAATAGAAGAATAAATGTAATATGTGGTCTAAACAACAAAATATGTTTGGTATTATTTAGTACAGGTTTACAACTATATTATGTATACAATGAATAATATAATAAGTATACAGTAATAAAATAAGTGTTATTTACAATATATGTATGTGTATGGTAGATACTTTGCTTTTAATGTATATTAAATACAAAACAATACCTCCAGCTGGATTCTCTGTTTCAACAGGTGTGAGTTCCGTAACTTCACCCTCATATACTTCCTTGGTCTCTCGGATTCGCAAACCAATAGCACGGCGGAAATTCTCCATTAATACTTCTGTTTTCTTTATTTCCGTACTATACACTTCACTGCCAACCATGGGGCAAAATGGTACCTAACAAATATTTTGTTAATTACTATTAGTTCCCTACATATTTTATCGAGAATATTTCTTATTTCAATAACAGTATTACTTAAGAGGCCTTTCACATTTTTTGGCCTAAAAGCAGTGTCTTTGGGGTTCTGGTTCTAAGAAATTAAGAGTCGGATATACATTTTGATTCCTGAATTATATAGATAGATATCTAATCTTAAAAACAACATCTTTGAAATGTTAATTTTCTCTTTGTTAGTCTTCCTAATTTCTAAAATAGTTTATTCAAAAACGCTAAATGACAGAAGTTTGGGGTCGTCGTTCATTAATAAACAACCATAAATTGATATGATATTTGTACTAAAACTTGATAATTACTTTATAAATTGAGACAGCATCGTCCTTTTTTTCATTTTCAACTTAAATATCTAAAAAATTGATCATAATGAAACCCGAAATTTCAACAAAACTTTGCCATAATCATTTCTAATTTTCTCATAAATACAACGAAATTTTTGCATAAAAAAAACATAATAATAAAGTTAATATACTTGTAAATTAGAAATATGAAAAAAATATATAAGTTTCTAAGAAAAAAATAAACAATAATAATAATTTAAAGTTGTATAAATTCCGTTGCGCCAAAAGTAAATTCTCAGTGCTGCGCTAGCGCTCGTCGAGGTAGGACCTATGCTATTTTTTACAACACCGCTAAGATAAGACATTCGTCAGTGAACATTAGTATAGAGCGACTAAACCATTTTGATAATTTAAGTAATATTTAATTAATTTTGCTAATATATACTTATTTCTACGAATATTAATTTAAAGTTGTTGTTAAATATATATATACATATATATATATGTAATAATAATATTTATTTTAGCATGCCAAGACAAAAGTACAGTTATGCTACAAATAAAACCTACCTACCCTGCTGGACTATGAAAAGCACAAGAGCATGGTATTTCGTCACACTAATGGCAATTAATTGTTAAAATTAAAAAAGAGAACATGTTAGTATTTTTAAAAATAACGCTTATCTGAGAGAAAAATGTAAACCAATTTTACTCTATGTTTATTTTGTAGTTTTTTTCTAAATTAAAATAGGGTTATTGTTCATAAAAATACCATTATTATTTTTACGTACATTTGTCTTGTGTTATATAGTGTATATCATCTAGTATGCAATGTGGATTGTAAATAAATTACCAAATTATATATAAATTATATTCCTTAATGTTTAGAGATATTTTATCCAATTTTATTTTATTTTACACAATACAGATATTTCTAAATTGCAGCTATTCTGTTATTATACTCGTTGGACTTTCATTACTGTACAGTTATGTCAAATAATTATGCGTGTTTGGGTGAAAAGTCAACAACATTATAAATGTTTTTATTTAGAGACTAGCTTTACGCTCGGCTTCGCCCGCGTGAATATGGGATATATAGGTTATCGCGCGTTTAAAGATCCGTGTACAGTATTGGGACGTTATATATAAACCTTCCTCTTGAGTCTATCTATTCTGTCTATTAAATAACAACGAATCAAAATCTGCGTAGTTTTTTAAGATCAAAACATACATAGATCTATTACATGTGTAGATGATATTTTAACCGGAAATTGAAGCCGTTAAAATGGTATTGGCAGATCAGTTGGAATCATCGGTATTCTTGGTATATAAGCTGGTTGCCCAGCTAACGTACCGGTTATAATGGTCTACAATTAAATTGTCTTTCAATTCTTTAGTAAGCAATATATCCAATGGGACGCATTGCACATGTTCGGCGGGCTTAAATTTCATGACTGGATCATGCTTTTGAGAAATTCCTTCCTCAAGTTTGAGCATTTAGTGTGGGAAATCACTATCTGTGCTTCCATAAAAATGAGCTCTCAAATTTGTCAGTAGTTTTAAACTTTCAATTAAAGTCCATAAGGGAGACGATGTTAATGACACAGAGAGTCTTTCAGAAATCTCCAGCAAAAGTATAAAAGTAATCCCGCCAATGAGAGCAGAGGTGTTTCTAAGGTCTTTTAAGGTTCTGTCCAAAATCTCTATAGCTCATGGTGATTTCATTACATATAATCAATGAGGCGTCTTATAATAATTTATAAAAAGGTTTGACATTAACAATTAATTATTTATCAAGAATCAAGAATCGGCCAACCAAGAACGAGAAGCTGCAATATCAGCCAATATCATGCGGCGACGTCAATGATGCAGGAACAGCAATGATAGCAGTTGAAGCTTTTTTTTTACAACTTAGAATGGCAAACAAGCTGACGGCTCTCCTGATGGAAAGGGGTAACCGTCGCCTATATACATGAGCAGTACCTGCCATGTTCATATCAGCACATTGTTTCCCTCATGCGTTGCCATTCCTGAAAACTCGGGTGTTATTCCCCTGTACCTTGTAAATTCACTACCATATATATACACAGGTAGTCTATATAGATAGATATACATATACACAGATAGTATACCCTGAGAAAGGTCATAGACTACTTTATAGTGCGAAAAAAGTATTGTAAGGGATTAAAAGCGGAGATGAAAGGTTGTATAAAAGTATCGTCATTGTTTAATTGAAACAAAGAAACTTTTTTAGGTTATAATCTAAATATATTTCCTTTATTTGGTCAATTTCATTATACCACGCTGACGAAGTCGCGGACACACCTAATATACATATAAGGATGGGACCTTTAAATCAAAACAAAGCCTTGAAAACACAACTATTATATATAAATAAAATAATTATTTGCTAAGTATAATATTTAGAACAAGTGAATATGGCAATAATATATCCGACTCTTATAATAAATTATATTGTATCTATTAATAAATAAACTGAATTAATATGTAAGAAGAATTAATTAGTAAATTTATGTTATAGTAATTTCATCTTCCTGTCCTTATCCCAATTATTTGTTACTCATATTACTTAAGGTTTTGGCTTTTAGTTGTACAATCAGCCAGCATCCTGACATCAACCCTCTAGGAATAATATAATAAAAATATATGGTCATTATTAGCACTTTGATAATTAAGATAAATAACGTTATTTAAAAAAATCCAATAAGTAGTCTCAGTTAAGTAGAAACATATCACATTATTAATTAAAATATTACAAGGATCAAAATGGTTCATACTAAATCCACACCGATTGAGCTACACGGTTATTTGCGTCTGTGTGCGTGTATTGCTGTGTGTGTGCGTAAATCCATGCGATTAAACCTAAAGTTGAGTGGCATCATTTTGTAATAGTCCTCTTAATATGTACACATGTTATATGGGAATCAATTATTTTAACAGTTTATTATTTTTACAATACACCATTTACTTCTTCATTGTCACCACATACAGAGTTCTTCTAAATTCTATCTAATCTTATATGTGTATAATAAATTGCAATCCTCTGGGAATGTTTGTGATTATGTATTTTTTTATAACATAATAACATATGGATAGTTCTGCTAAACTAAAAGGAGTATTATTTAATCAATAATAATATGTACATTCAACCATTCTGAGGTTATGTATAAGTCACATTATTAATAACTTAATATTTTCTATTTCTATTTATACTTTATTGCACTATTAAAACTGTGTTAATGCCATTTCATTCTCGAGCAGCTTACAATTGAGAAGGAATCTATTCTATGTTAATATTATATAGTAAATTGATATTCATATTTATAATGAAAACTTACCTTGTTGCCTAATTCCTGGGCAATTGCTAATGCAATAGCTGTTTTGCCTGTACCTGGTGGACCTGCCAGCAGCAAGGCGCGGCCGGCCATTTTTTTACTTCTAATCATATCCACTACTACACCGGCAGCCTGCGACATTATGAAATTATTACATTTAATTACTGCATAATAGTGACTTGACCAACAACTGTGGCACATGTAATAAGACCATTTCCTGTAGTAAAATTATTATAAATAGTATATATAATAGTAAATATATTTGAAATTAGACCTTCAGAAATGTAATAATAACCTTAAGTCTGATGATCACAAATTTGATTCTGGCGCGATACAGTATTTTCTACCGATATTGTGTTTATAAAAAACTTAAGTATCCAAATTCATATAAATTACATTTCTATCAGTAGTCTATGTCTAGTACCCATAGTACAAGCTTTGCTTATTTTGGGACTAGCTGGTGCTGTATAAATAGTCCTTGTATAATAGGCCGTGTTATTATCATAACATGAATGTATGAAATTGTAAGTTACACACAATAGTTTAAGGTTATAATCTAAATGCTATTGAAACAGTAGAACATCGTGTTATGAGCAGTTAATCGTTAGCCGAATCATACATTTAATTATATGCTAGCTATTTTGAAGAGCACTACAATTTCATATACATACTTCTCTTGCTGTTTCTTGGCCCACGAGACCGGCTGCCATTTGAATAGGAATTCCATTTTCATCCAGCCCTAAACCTTTTATGTGGCTATGAGCGGAAATTCTTTGTGTCTTCGCTGTACTTTTAACCTCCTCTATTTTCATCTTAAGAAAATTGTATTTGTTTTAGCAAAGCAGTATAATTTATCGACAAAACAAGAAAACTGATAGGTAACGAACGAATGAAAATCAACGAGGAGAAAGAAAATAATACAAATAATGAATGAATGAAGGAAACAAATGAACCCATCAATGACGTAATGAACGAATATTCCAAGAATAGGAATGAAATGGAGCAGCTCTTTCAAATGTTACCAGATTTTAATATTAATTGTACCCATTTACTATCAAAATTAATTCCGTATATACGTAAGATATATTTTTGTTCCTTGTATATCCGCAATCAGTAAATACACTATAATCGAATTGGTTGGTAAATGACAATGATGCCTCCGTCGTTATGTCAAGACATCAAGAACTGTGGTCTACTTAACCAACTCCGGTATTACTATCCTTTTCAGGCGTTTTAGCGCATGAGGGCTAGCTCATTAGGGTGGACACTAAGACGAGGCTTATATTTTGAGCCTGTGCCATAGATAATATACTATACTCTTGTGCAATGTGCTAGCAAACTTGTCTTGATACATATGTATAAATGTATTTTAACTAATATCAAATCCTTTAAAATCTAACTCATATCACTCAAAATATCTCCCAATTCAATATTTAACTAAAACATGCTTTTCGGCTTTAAACACATATACATACAAAAATCGTTTATATCGTGAGTAGGTTACTAAACATTATTTCTCCCATTAGCACCGGCAAGACTAGCGGAATAGTAAATGAGTTGCCGGCCTTTTAAGAAGAAATTAAAACATACAGAAAAAAATTTTTTTTTTTGGTGGCAAATATATTATTGCAATAAATTAAGTTTTTATTTATTAATAGCTAGTAATTGTATGAGATTTTAATAACGAAATAGCTTTCCAATATTTTCTTTTATATTAATCTAATCGGCGACGCGCCGCCCGGGGCACCTTGAATTTAATTTATCCTTCCCTTGAAAACTAATTTCCCATGAAATTTTTATATTCGTAATATAACGCAACACTGATAAAAATTCCAAGCAGATACATGTATTTATTTATATATTCACACTCCACAGATGTAAAATATAATCCTATAAATGTTAATAGGTAGGCACATTGTTCCGGTTGTCTCTTTTTATCTCTCATATTTCTGCTCTCATTTACTTTGTCATATGAAGTACATAACATGGAGTTTTTTTTACCTATCGTATCCATATCTATACTTCTAGCTCAGCTGAATATTTGACATTTAATAATATACTTTTATTTTAATATTTAAAGAAACTCGGTTTACTTCTCAATGTTACAACATTTATAGGTTTAAATTATATCACAGTGAATGTAGTTCATCTTCTGTGCTAATGTAATAAGAAGGTTATTGCTCAGTTTGAAAGAGTCGAACTCAAACAGTTGGGTAAAATTAGCAACTCAGCTGTGATGGAGTATACACCACAGAACTTGGAATTTGCGGTATCAGTATTCTATAATGGTGAACAAGCTGAGAGAGCTAAAGCCCACGCGTGGCTTACAACTGCTCAACGAGTCCCTGAAGCTTGGAAATTCGTTTGGGAATTATTACAACCCACCAAGGTGAGAGCACTTGAATTTAGACATCTACATTTTTATGTATTACTTATAAATACTAGGTATTAGTAAAATTAGTATTTATTATTCAACTAGAATGCCCAAGATGCAGATAGTCAAATTAATAGAAAATGATAAATATGTCCTATAGATTTATACAACTCATGTATCACATAATTCATAATGCCTTGATTGAAATTTATATGTTACCAATCATATACAATACTGAAGAAACTATCATATTTACTTATTTGACAAATTCAAAATGAATGGAGATGAATTGGGAATATTAAGAATATATTTTTTTGTTTTGTTCCAAGCACAGATTGTGTATAAACACAATATATGACATATTCTTAAAATAAATTATATGTAATCAATGTAATTTTTTGTAAATATATGTCACAGAATTTTAAAATATTTTAGGGCACCGAAATTCAGTTTTATGCAGCAACTACTCTGCATACTAAGATACTTAGATGCTGGAATGAGGTACCACCAGAGAGCTATGAAGAATTGAAGGAAAAACTATTGCAAGCAGTATTTACATATTCAAAGGGCCCAAAAATTGTTACAAATAGATTATGTATAAGTGTGAGTATTGTTATAGAAATAAATATGAACAATTGTCTTTGTCCATTCTAATGTTTGAAACGTGAAAGTGTGTATTGGTCTGTGTGTCATTTCCTCAAAACTACAATGGCCGAGTGGATTTTAAAGAATCTCATTGAAATTAATAAGTTATAACATGAGGACTATTATTATATGAAACTATTTTTATTTCAAATCAATCTGACAAAGTAACTGTTAAAGGTTATTTTTTGTTTTTTATATGCATTTTAATTTACATTTATGACTGTATTTTTCGAAACTTTTTATGCTTTGATACATTGTCAATTTTTTAATGTGTAATAATAATGTTACAGTTGGCTGCCTTCATTCTCCAACAAGGTACTGTAGATTTAGGCACTGTACTAAGACCATTGTCGACAGTAGAAAACACATCTTTACTTCTAGAAGTACTAACTGTGATACCAGAAGAAGTGAGTAGTTATTTTTATTCTATTTAATAATTGTTTGGTTTACAGAATGAGAATCTTATGTTTTCATATAATTTTATTGCAGTACAATAGCATGACAATGGGATCAGCCCTTCGATCTAAAAACCGCACTGCACTTCAGCAGGCATGTCCAGCAGTTCTTGATGATATGTTAAGATATTTACACACTGTATACAAGTAAGTATGTTGTATTGTACTTATGATATATTGTAATATTGTACTTTATTTTATTCCACTTGCACCAGCTTACATGTTTAGTTTTCACCTGATTGAAAGTAGTAAACTGTAGACATGGCCAAAAATATATGTATAATTTCAGAATTTATTGTATCATACTTATACATACATATACCGTTCCTGATTACTAGAAGGTATCCTTGTTGTATTCATTTTCCAGTTAATCTGTTATACCTTGTACCTTATGATATAGGAAATCTATAACCAATACATCCAACACATTAATTAATGTAAGTATGCCCTGCCACCTTAGGCTTTTGGATATAAATTTGAAAACAACCCAGCCTAGAATATTACTAGTTTAATTTATGTCTAAGTATATTTATATAACATGTTATGAGCACATCTTACATTTTGTCTCTAAATATAAAAACCAAGTAATATTACAATTTTACTTTTATTTGTGGTAAATTTGCATTATGGTAAAACTTTATTTAACATTTTGTATGTGTATAATAAGTACATGGTAAGTTACAGTATATAATAAATTCAATGTTGTTGTTAAATATAATGTTTGTTAAAAAAGACTATTTTGAATTTTATTATAGTGAATATGGAGAAGACGGGCCTCCAGAGGCGACGGTGCAGACTTGGTTGAGTGCAGCGAGCTGCGCGTGCAGCTGGCTGACGCTGGGTGGCGAGGAGTCGCCTGAGGCAGGCGGTTCGCTGCCTGACCGATTGCCACTGTGTAATGCTCTACTCACTCTTGTTCGGGTGCTCTACACGTGGGTATTGGTCAAGTATTATTTTTATATAAATGGTAAACAAACCTAAGATACCCTAACTGACAGAATGTAGCAACTGTGTCCCTATGTAACTTAAGCAGTACCATGTAAGTACCATGGAAATAATGTTGCTACGGAATGCCCGTGATTGTGCAGTGATAATATTTAGTTGTCTTACTAGTTTAGTTGATTACATTACATACAAGTATTACATTGACGTATCTAAGTAACTCTGTACCGTATAGACAACATTGTACAAAATTGCCTCGGTGAAAGCTGATGAATGCAGTGAGTTTCGCGTGTAAGAAGTTTAGCGAGGTGAATGTGTACAAGGAGATATGTGGCCTGTTCAGGTGTTCAGATGCGGTGAGCGACACGGCGCTGGAAGCGTGCGAGGCGGCGCTGGTGGCGTTGCGGGCTGCGGGCGCGGCGCCGGACGCTGCACGTCAGCCGGCGGCAGCGCTGCAGCTGCTTGCCGATCTGCTCGCGCTCACTACGCCCGTAATCGCGCGCGATAACGTGCCCAACTCTATTAATGAGGTACCTATGCTATTCGTGATTTAAATATTTGGTTTTGAGGTCTTAAAAAGCACCTTTTTTTAATGAGGAGAAATAGATCCGACCACCCTTTACGGGACGGGAGCTATCCCAGTACTTTTTGAATTTGAATTTGAAAATGCATGAGTAACTGATACCTCGATTCGATTATTAAACTAATCCTTAGTTTCCTATCAAATATCTAAGTTCTGTTCTACCGTGTACATTCATACATGCGTGAGAACAGACACTTCGCAGTAGTGTCTTTTATATTGTCAATGAGCATGACTTATAGTAGCAGTATATTTTTTTAATTGAGTGGCTTTTGTTATAACTGTACATTAATAAACCTAAGCATGGTCATGCAGTACAGTTCAGTAGTATCGTTACAGCTACCGCACTTTCCCATATTGCCTCATTTAATTTCATATTAATCTATGGTCAGTGTAACACGCTATATACTTGCAGGAGTTGGTGTCAGCGCTAATAACGTGCTGCGTGGCGTTGGGCGAGTGCCACACGCAGGCGATCGTGCAGGCGGCGGAGGGCTCGGGCGGCGCGGGGGGCGCGGGGGGCGCGGGCGGCGCGGGCGGCGCGGGCGGCGAGGCGGCGGCGCGGCAGCTGGTGGAGGCGCTGCTGGCCGCGCAGGCCGCGCCCGGACACTACCCGCTGCACGAGACGCGCTCCAACCTCGTCTTCGGCTTCTGGTATACGTTGCAGGTAACAGCGATTTCACGGAACAATAAACAGCATTATTTAAATGCCGAAAAGAGGCTGCCGCTAGCCTCGGGATGTGGGATCTCCCCAAATTCATCCTAAATCCTGGAGTTTAACGGAGTGTGGTTTGTATTTGGGGAACAAAAGTCATTTCTGTAGACTATTATTTATAGCACAGTTAAGATGCACATATACTGATGTGCTGTAGCGGAGGTCAATCTGCACGCCGTGGACGAGAAAAGAGTGTGTTTCCACCGACGCAGTCTGGACGGCTGTGGCTGTATGCCGCTATGAACTTATGGCGTTATGAACGCTGGAATTACGAGAACTAGTGTTGTGCTGCGAATTATTGTAATTGATCATTACAATAGAGTTTTAATTCTATGCCATGATAAATTTAAGCAGGTGGAGATGGAGCATTTCTTTTACAATAAAGATTGATTAAATCCGTTGTACTCATATACGGTGCTGCCTGTAGGGACTTGTCTGCTCTGATAACTATGACTGACTTATTTTTTTATTCAAAAAACTATTTATTTATTTAAATCTACTTTGCTATTTGGCAGTTCGTATTCACACAAAATTCTTAAAAATGTAATTCTGAACAGCATTTATTTAGAAGAGCAACACGCAATTTTTTTATTCTATCTTATTATGATGAGTCTGTATTCCGAATGAGTGGTAGAATAAAAAAATATGACCATTCAAAAGCGTTTATATTAAGATTATTTGTATTCTAAAATAAATTCTTATTAACAATCATATCAATGATGAATGAATCGTCCACAGGATCAAGTATTAAACGTCCCAAGCGAGAAGCAACTGAATCCGATGTGGCGAGAAGTGTTTTCGCGGCTGCTGACTACCCTCGTTTGCAAATCCGAGGCGCCCGCAGACTTGGCGCTCTCTAGAGATGATATGGAGTTGTTGCGGTGTTATCGACAGGATATCGCCGATACAGTGGTGAGCAAAATGTGTGTAAGGCGTTTTAAAACGCTGTATGCGTATGTGCAAAACGGACTAAGTGATAAATAGATAGATTCTAATTCGGTCTTTATTTTTCATTTATTCTTCATTTTTTTGCTATATGTATAATTAATTCTTTTTATAAACAGGAGCTTTTATTTAATGTTACTATTTATTTAGTACTACTACTGTGTACTTACTACACGACATTATTGACATCACGCTTCAACCAATAAGAGTGGAACTGAAATACTGAACCAATGTTGCAAAGACGGGGAAAATGTTTCAAAAAAGTTTGAACATTATTAAGGTTTTTTTGTAAAAGACTTCACTTCTATGCGTGTGTGTGTCAAGTACATAGTTTTGTGTATAATATTTTTTATGAATAATTAAAAATAAATATTCGTAATCTCTACTCCGTCTCTACATATGCCAAATTTCATACAGCTCTGTCCGCGCAATTTTTGTAAAAGCAATACAAAGTTTTTGTTTCACGTATTAATGTAATGAAAATATATATGTATACAATTTTTGTCTGGAACAGATGTACTGCTTCGGCATCTTGGGTGACTGGTGTTGGACGACGGTGGAGACGGCGTACCTGGCGGCGGACACGGACGTGCGGCGCGAGGCCGCCCTGCACGTGTTCGTGGCGCTGGCGGACGCGGCGCCCCCGCAGCGCGCGCCCGACGCCCTCGTGTCGCTACTCCAGCGCGCCGTCACAGTCGCGCGAGATGCAGCTGCCCCCGAACCGCCGCCGCCAGCGCTCCTATCCACCGCGCTCGACGCTTTAGGTACTTGAACATTTATAATACCCGGCTCAAAATGAGTAGTGCTGTAAAGTTAACGTAGCGCTGCAGTGCGCTCCCGACACGCTCGTGTCGCACCGTCGAAGTTGCGCGCGCCGCAGCTGCTATCCACCGCGCTCGACGCTGGACATTTATAATACCCAACGCAAAATGAGGGGTGTTGCTGCAGCTTCATCCGAACCGCCGCCGCCGCCAGCGCTCACCACGCTCGACGCTTTAGTTATTTAGACTTTTATAATTACGCCCTCGTATCGCTTCTGCGGCGCGCCGTCGCGCGAGATGCAGCTGCCCTCGAGCCTCCGCCACCAGCGTTCCTATTCACCGCGCTCGACACTTTAAAGGTATATGCTACGGGTGTAGGCCAGTTAAAACATTGTGGTGAATTCTCCACTGACCTTTACAGTAGTCCCAGGTAAAAATGGGAGCGAGTGTTCCATTTATACCATTTATAAATAAAGAATTGATGCGTATTAAACTAATGGGGTGAAATGGTTGTGCACATAACAGGCGCTTACGCGGCATGGTTGAGCACGGTGGGCGGAGCTCGCAGTGCGGCGCTGGGCGGCGAGTGCGTGCGCGCTGCGGGTGCGGCACTGGCTCGCAGTCCGGCCGCGGCCGCGCTCGCTCTACGTAGGCTGTGTGCGGACTGCAGTGCTCCTGCGGCCGCGCTCGCCGCCGACATCGTGCATGCGGCGCAGGTCGGTACCGATATGTATTTTTTTTATTAAGGAGTTTGGGCTATTATTCGCTACTAAAGAGACCTGTAGCACTGCGACCTGCATAGATCTATTATGCTTCTTTTAGAGTTCGCTGCCTAGACAAAATTGAAGGAAAAGAACAAGAATTGAAGGATATTCTTGACGGTCTTTATCTCCTGAAAATAGAGTCTGTATTCTCCAAAGATATTTCGTTTATGCATGAGTACAACCATAGAATGTGTAGTGGCGTTTCCTGTTCCATTTACTGATGTAGAGACACATCTACATAATACAGCATAGATTGGTTAAAACAACAATAGTAAACGAAATATTATGAGCCGTACCCTAATTTTATGACCCGTACCGAACTTTAGAATAAAAAGGCTTTATTCTTATGAAACATTGGGTTCGAGCAGAGCCGTGCTGGTCGCGGCGTGAGTGAGGGGTGTGCGGGGGCGGCGGCGGGGGCGGGCGGCGAGGCGTGGGTGCGGCGGCAGCTGGTGGGCGCGGCGGGCGCGGCGCTGGCGGCCGCCGACCACGCACACGCCGCGCCACTGCTGCAGAGCCTAGCCGCCACGCTCTACGAAGACCTACAGCAACAGGTACTTAAATAAAATCGTCCACCAAAAATGTTACTAGTAAAAAAAAGCTGCCTTTTACAACACATTCAGGAAATCCAGCGCGCAATCGTATGTGATTGCATTTTACTATTTTTAGCGATCACTCTTTTGCTGTTTAGCGCGTGCTATGACATGTCCAAAAGCATGTTTCAAAATTATAAGTTTAGAATAACTGTGCAATTATGTCTTCGCTCTGATGTCCTTCTTCTGAAAACCGATTCCGGTATGAAAGAGCATACATGTAAATGCAACTATACAATAGGAATAATTAGAATCGAAATTTAAAATGTATTGATCTAATTCCAAAGAAATCATTCACCATCAGATTAGCTATCGTTAGCTCTGAGTAATATAAATTATATTTATAATAAATATATTAAACATGTAGAAAAAAAATTGATATTCCTACTAAAATTAAAAGAAGTAATCCAATCTGTAAAAAAAATTGTCATATGTTATATGTCATAACATGCACAACAGAAAGGTCGAAAATGTGAAAACGGTACGGTTAGTTAGTCAGGTACATGACAAGTGTGTGTGCATGCAGGCGCGCGCCGTGTCATCGGGCGGCGGCGGCGGAGGGGCGGCGGAACTAGCGGGCGCGTTGCTGGCGGCGCTGGATCCGCAGCCGGCGCTGGCCGCCGACTTACTGCGCGCGCTGGCGCCCGCACTACCGCCCTTCGCGCTCCACCCCGCCCTAGTCGAGGTACGACACTACGTCGCGTCATTCTTGTCTCTTCACCCCACGCCATCCCATCTCTTAATCCCGCGTCGTCCTATATCTGACATGGCGCTATCGTCATCGCTTCACTCCGTGCCATCCCCATCTCTTCATCCCGCGCCATCGCCATGTTTTCACCCCGCGCCGGTGGCTCTACCTGCTATTAACGCACCCGAGGTTACGTAAAATATATCTCACTCTCTCACACATAGAACACCCAGTAATTAGAATATATCTATCGGATACTCGTATTGTTATAGGAGTATATTAAAACAACAGTCATTTATATCGTAAAGATCATATACATACACATAGTTAACAATAATTGTTTCGAACACAGTGTTTTGACCAATATCATATTGTCAGACATAAACATTTATGTATGCTGCAACATCACAAATGGTTCTTCTAATATTTTATAAACACGGTATGACATTTAGATGGAACACCTGCCATACATTTTATGTGTAATAATTTATATCTAATTGTTTAACACGCGAAACATGTTACATTGGTGTGCCTTGTACTGAAAATCTGTTATCGTTTTTTGAGTTACATAAATCCTTAATTATTTTGTATTGTTACAAAATTTATATGCAAATATTTCATTACAGCCCATGTTTCACATATTAAAGCAAGCGGTGGTGACTTTGATGATGGACTGCATGCCGATGATAGGAGAAATAGCCCAGCTCACCATGACCGGTTTCGATACTCGGCCCTGTGCATCGGGACTGGACGTTGTCAAATTAGTAAGTAATATTGTGTGACGCCCATTTTAATAATGTGACAGAGGTACGTTCGCGGACGTCTTTGTATGGTCTGCCTATGGTCGTACAATGTACTCCGAAATATAGCAAGTGCTTTATGTGGGCCACAGAATGCTGAGAATTTCTTTGTCTACATTTACATAACATTGTTTCTTGTGTCAATGCGGATTTGCGCGTGAAAGAGCTTACGTGTAAAGGCAGGTAATAGGAAGTGAGTGTGCAGGTGGTGGTGGGTCCGTAGTGAGGGTTGCAGTGTGGCGCGGTCTTTCTCGATCTCTTTGTCTATTTTTACTTATTGTTTACAGCTACCTGCCAAAAAAGTCCCATCACAATCGATCCAGCCATTTCAGAGATTAGCCGCAACAAACAGACAGACAGATAAAAATTGTAGTAAATATTATTTTGGTGTATGTACCGTATTTATATTCATATGCATGTAGTAAAAAACGGTTACTTCAATATTACAAACAGACACTCCAATTCTATTTATATGTATGTATAGATTGTTTTTTGCGTGTAAGCAGATTTGCCTGTGAAAGAGCATACGTGTAAAGGCAGGTAATATGAAGTCAGTGCGCGGGTAGTGGAGGGCCCAGAGAGAGGGTTGCGGCCCAGCGCGGCGCGGTCTTTCTCATTCTCTTTGTCTATTTTTACTTATTGTTTCTTGCGTGGCCCAGAGCGAGGGTTGCGGCCCAGCGCGGCGCAGTCTTTCTCATTCTCTTTGTCTATTTTTACTTATTGTTTCTTGCGTGAAAGCAGATTTGCGCGTGAAAGAGCGTATGTATAAAGGCAGGTAATAACAAGTGAGTGCGCATGTAGTGGAGATTGCAACGCGGCGCGGTCTTTCTCTTTGACTAAATTTACTTATTGTTTCTTTCGTGAAAGCGGATTTGCGCGTGAAAGAGCGTACGTAAAAGGGCAAGTAATAAGAAGTGAGTGCGCAGGTGGTGGTGATGGTGGGCTCGGAGTGGGCGGAGGCGGCGCGGCTGCTGCGCGGCGCGGTGTCGTGCGCGGCGGCCGCGGTGTCGTCGTCGCCCGCCGCCTGCCCCGACCTCACTGAAGCACTGTTCGCGCTCCTCCACGCGCTCACCAAGAAGAAGCCCCAATACATCGACTGGATAGACGACTTGCTGCCCCAGCTCGTCGACCTCGGTACCTCATTATAATATGTTTTTTAAACTCAACAATGCACTACTCATTATTATATATTAGGATTTCCTAATCCTATTCACTGTTAATATAATAATAATAATGAAGACGATTAATCACAGCGCTGTCTAGTTGTAGAACTTGAACTATGGGTTTAATAGCTAGTAGTAACTAATAGATAAACTTATTTTTTATTTATTAATTTCTTTTAGGATTCATGTATATATTTGTAAATACATATATATATATATAAGTCAATTATCTATTGTATATTAGTTCTCTCGACAAATTAAACCATGCGTTGCTCTGTAGAACAAAGAAACGACATTTAATGTTTATTTGTCGATCCTTTTCACCAAAACACTGTTACTTTCAATTACTGTCACTCACAATCCCAGTTTTACAATCCACCATACTTCTACTCCTCTTTAACAATTAGCGCCATCTATTGGAAGTCGATGAGAGCAATTGACGCTCAATAACGCGCCTAAAAGCAAACCTTAAAGGGATGTTAAGTAAGTATTCCTTTATATATATATATATAATCTTTATTACTTATAAAGAATTACTTAAATACATTTTCTTAGATATATTAATTAGAAATAATGTTAACAAAGGAGTACTTATCTCTAAAGCAGATCTCTTCCAGTCCACCCAATAAAGCGGTATAGGAAGTGTTAATATAAAATAACATAAAATCCTAAATACATTATACTAATATATGTATCGCGCGAGGAATCGAATCCGCGACCATCGACCAACCACTAGATTTTTGACACCAGCGTCGCATAAAACATTATCTTTTTATTATTATTTACTACTTGGATGTATCATCATTATTATTACATAGTATAAAACAAAGTCGCTGTTGCTGTCTGTCCCTATGTGTGCTTAAATCTTTAAACTACACAACGGATTTTTAAATAGGTAGAGTGATTCTAGAGGAAGGTTTAGGTAGATAATACATGTACACTCGTGCGAAACCGAGGCGAGTAGCTAGTATAATATATTTATCGTACTTAAATGTGTAGGTTGCGAGTGTGTGCGGCTGTGGGAGGTGTCTGCGGCGCGTGCTGCGTGCGCGTGGCTGGCGGCGCTGGCGGCGCAGCGCCCGCTCGCACTGCAGCCACGCGCGCCCGCACTCACCGCCGCCGCGCTACGCTGCATAGGTAATGCACGTTTTATTGTTTGATTATAATGAAATGATGTACCCTCTTGCGCTAACTGGTTACTGACGTGGAGCCTATGGAGGCTGATACATTGAGCATGAATTCGGGTCAGTTTTTTTTGTGGCTGATAATGGAATGGTGCACCCTCCACTGGTACCCCGCTAGCGTAAACCTTTAGCGCAGGCGGACACCAGTGGAGGATGATAAGATGAGCATGAGGTCAGGTCAGTTTGCCCATCGTGATTAAATAACCAGAATTTAACCACGATGGTTTCCAGGGGGACCTAACATAGTACATTGCTAGCAATAGTAACACTAGACCCTATTACTATCAATTCCCTTCCCCCCTACTCGGGTCAGTTAGCCTATCTTAGAAAATAGGACAGCGGCCCCTCCCGCTACAGCCGCATTTTTAGCAATATATAGAGCGATTCAGGATGTTTATATGTATAATACACCGATACAGTGATCCTCCTATAACTCGGTACTCTTATAACGCATTTTCATATTACACAAATTTGAATCCCCCGTATGACAAGGCTATTTCCCCATATAACAAGGGGATTATCCACATATTTCTCTATTATGAAATCTACATTGATTTGTTCATATTGGTTATGTTGATTTGTTTTGTACTATTCATAATTAGTTTTTTACTTCATATGCATAATTTTTTTTATTTAGAATGTTCATAGTTTGGTTTAAATTTTAATAAAACTTACTTATTTCGTTCTTAATATAATATATAGATTATTCATAATATTCGATTTGCCATTATTTCGACATATTGTGATTTTAAAGTTAACCTGCTGCATATAATATAATACAATTTACCGACACGTACTGTTGCACGCAGGCGGCGCGACGCCCCGCAACCAGATCGAGCCGCTGGCGGAGCTGCTGCTGGCGCTGAACCGCGCGGCGTGGCGCGGCCCGGCCGGGCCCCACGAGCCGGCCGGGCTGGCCGGATGGCTGCGGCAGGCGCTCGCCGTCACCGGCTTCCCCACCGAGCACGCCACGGACCCGCACAAGCACAAGTTCATTGCGGCCGTCGTCAAGTTAGTATACTGCATACTCCCCCGCCCCTTCCTTCCATGCCCGCCATCTTCGCAATTCAGTTCCACTCATTTGTACGAGCTGTGATATTTTAATACATAAAATTTTGTGTTTTAATAGCAAATTTGAAATCTAATCTCGCATAATTTCAGCCACTGCTAGGAAGGTGCAAGGGGCATTATTAAATTATTTTATTTGATATATGGTGGTGGAGGAAAGATAAGAATGTGTTACTAGTTGGCGAAATAAGATTTGCTATTTCACACATGTGTGAAGATTAATTGGAATATGTACTTATGGATCGCTTGTTCTTCTTTATTACAGAGAAAAAAGCAGTAAACGACGACTACTCGAGACCGTCCAGGAGTTCTCATTAGTTTGCCGCGGGCTTATAGGAACAGAGTACGCGCGGCAAACGCTCGCCTCTAGACAGCTTGTAGCATAAAGATACATGCAAATTGTATAAAATTACTATTTATTTTAATTACCATTTATTAATGGCTTCGGTTTTTATGCTTATTTATATCATGGACTGTATTTGAGTTTAAATGGTGAATTGTTCCTCTATATTTATCAAAACAGAATTGTTTGCGCTGAATTACTGAAAACTATTACACCAGTTTCCACATTGTGTTCAGACCCCGTACATACATTTGTATTATGAATATGACAATACTGTATTTATTTAATAATACACCTTAGAAAATTAACAATAATTTCTAACTGTGTTAGTAAATTTGTACAACCTTATTAATAAGTTTAATTTGAGCAATAATAACTCTTAATAAAATTTATGAAGATGCATATCGTGAATCGCAAAAGTATGGATTCGTATATAAAAATGAATCGATGCCCAGTAATTATATACTCCGATAAATAATGAATTGGCTTTTATCGCACTGTAACTGATAATACTGTGATCAATTTTTGAGTGCTTTAGTTTGATTTTTTAAGTAATTGTGAATCTTGTAACCAGAAAGTGTGAGTTTTGTTTTTCAATAAGTTAATTAAATATAATTAAAATACCTTACACTTTATTATATATGATTGGAGGTTGACTGAATATTGGCCATTTCTCTTCCCATTAGGTATATACATATTCAAATCTCTGATTACACACCTAATGCAAAACACAATTATATAATCGGTGCCCAAATAATAATGATTATTTTTAAAGTGAGATCTACAATTGTTACGAGTACGTAACACACAGATACTTGTGATAATACTTTTGCAATACAAATAAATGTACGTACTCCTCCACCGGGACCTCAAGGGCCCTAAAATTATTATTTATTGGTAGTTTAATTTCACGACAATCAAATCAATCAAAATCTGGTTTCTCATTATCAAACAACAAATTATGTTAACACATATACGAATTGAAACGCATTTGAAAAAAATATATACGAATCTAGTGCTTTTTGTTCACTATATATATTCTATTTGTGATCGCACACGAAGTGTTTAGAATAAGTTGTTTGTAAATATCAATCATTAGGGTGTAGTTATAATAAGTGTACGACCATTTGTATTTTAATTATCGTCTTACACGGTTCATTTAAATTCCGAAATCCTGAGGAATATTGACATAAAGATGTAATTAATTAATTTATTGCTATCAGCATCATATTAATTATAGGTAGGGATAGAAATGAAATGAAATGAAATAATTTATTTGCGAAATATTGGTACAGTAGTATAATTAATACGATGCCACATGAAATCCATTGATCAGCAATATTTACCATACAGGCATGCAAATTACGTGAAGGCGCTTGTGCCACTCAAATATTCTTGGACACTGTAAAAATTACCAAGAGAGCAACGTAACCAGATCACATGACCTGCACAGCAACAATTCTTTATACATAATCATCAAAACATCTCTTTGTCTATAGTTTTGTTTAAGTTATTCACTCCAAATGCAAACTTATAGTTACTGCTCCAAAAATTGGCCGTATAGGCGCAGTCCTTTATTTTTGTGGATCTGTGTACAGCAAACAGTGAACTGGTATATCTACTGAACGTAGGATGCTCAACACTGCGTTTAGAGCTGCATTCAGAACACACCTCGTACAAAACTTAGCGAATCGTGCACACGCTATGGTCGACTTTTATAGCCTGCACCTTAATGTGACTTTTCGGATAGGCAATGTGATAATATAGTATTAAATTCGATTATTGACTAGTTGTTGGGATCTCAGTGAGTCAAACAGATAATAACTGTTGTGCATATATAAAGTTTACAATCTACAGTTTAATAAACGTTATTAGTCAGGATACTAACCTAGTAATCAAAAGTTATCATATACTATTACTTTAATTGACATGCCAATTTAAATTTCATACACATTAATTTAACTCTCGTTATATAATAGTTTTGAACTAATATATATAGTAATTTCAAATTCGATCTGAAAGTAGGCACTTCTAATGAGTCCAAAATATTGTAGCGTTATTAAAATGTCAATACATATATTCATGTTTTTTTATTTGCTGAATTACTTCTTGACATTAATATGTAAATAAAATGCCATCTCATTGTATATAATATCATAGAACATTTGAGAGATTGATGAAGAGTAATAAAAAACAAAAAGTTTATAATGTGTTTTATTTTATGAACCATATTTTCTTTAACTTAAATTTTACTAACAAAATAATAATAATGTATATATAATATAAGTTGTATATTTTTTCGTACCTACAGTATTGTACTGATGAGTATGAATATAGAATTGTCAAAGTTAAACTGTTTAAAAAAATTACATATTTTAACACAGTGTAGAAAAGTATATTACACTAATATGAAAAAACTAATGTAGTAGCTATAGATTTAGGATTAACATATTGGGTCAGCACAACGCTGCTACTAAAAACGTAATATATATATATAAATATATACAAACTAAAATAGAATATCTATTCTTCAGTAGATCTATTTCTTATTAAGTTATGGTTTTATCTTATACATATATATATATATTCAATATTTAAACTTAAATTGTTTTTCTAATTCTCTCTCTACTTTTTAAGGTAGGTATCTAAGGCTATGTATTATACCGAAAATAAAGAGATCTTAACCGCATAAAAAGACAATGACATGCTGCTATGTCCTTCTATTCATGCTTATATTAGTATAATAACGAACAATGGGAAGAAGTAGCTATGAACAATATTATGAACACAATATTCCATACCGAATATATCCAAAACAATTGTAATATTTATTAATAATAAAAAAGAGAGAATACAAAGTAAAAAAAAGTTAATATGTTTTTGGTATTAGGTGTATAAAATATACACATTACTGTCAATGAAAAGTGATGTGTAGTAATAGTCCGAGATCCCGCTGCAGAATCAGTGTACCCATCGAGTGTTTGCTGAAAACCAAATTTTTACACATATTTATCATTAGGAGAATTTATATCTACCAGGTTGCCTATCAAAATGTGGCCGCTAGTATTTTTAATTAAATTATTAATAATTCATAATCCGTAAGAAATTTCATTGACTTGTTTTTTCAGTAAAATGTCGTTCACTTTACGGCAACATCTATAAAGACTGTGAAAAATCATGGTTGCCGTTGCGCACCTGGCCGCACCTCTTCGCAGCCAGGTGTACACAGGTATGATTTTATTACATTTATACACCCACAACGTACATTCATAATTTATATATCAAATAAAAGCAAATTTTTTTCTGTTTAATAATTATGTGTAATAATTTGGTTTTCCGCAAACACTCGATGGGTACACTGATTCTGCAGCGGGATCTCGTACTATAAGCAGAAAGTAGATAGTTCCATGATTTACCAAATATTTCCTTATATTTCTATTCATCGCATATAACGTAAGTACATAATTTTGATCTATATTTATTGTGACAAATTAGTGTATTGATGCGCCATCAATACACTAATTTGTCTGTAGATGACTTTCAAGTATTAACAATTTTATATCTGAGAATATATAAACAACTAAATTAATAACTCTAAATCGTTTAATTGACAATTAAACATACTAGACTCAACTTTTTTACATATATAATTTTATAGACGGTCTGACAGCACTATCAGTCATAAATGGCGCTGCTTGATTTAATCTCCAAATATTCCTACAAATAACTTACCATTTCACTTTTGAGTGCATTGGGTGTATTTAGATTTGGGCAGTGTTTGAATTACTTGTAATATTTAAATTCATCTTTAAATATATACATGTATTTATATTCATTAAAATTTAATTAGTAATTACTATTTTTAATACCGCGGAGGTATTTTGTCAGATACGCCCATTATCTCATATGGCAGATGGTAGCCAGAGACATTGTTAACTATCAATGTCGTGGTGAAGGCAATAGTCAACATGCTTACATTTACCTCGGTATTTTTTTAACTTCAAAATACAATTTAATTGTTGTTTTCGTAGCTTTCATTTAGTAGTCTGAACTATTAGTTCAGGTAATAATTGTTCTTGTAAGAACAATTGTTTCAAGGCCGGCCTGTTGTAGGCTGGGAAATTATTTTAATTTTATACCTTGATTTGTTTAATTGCCAATAACATTTATTGGGTCGACACTGCCTACCATCGGAGTGTATTTATTTTGTATTTTAATTAAACCCTAACATGTATTCTGCCCGGCTCTGGGTGTATTCATTGTTCTCTGGACGTTAAAAGTTTACACTTAACAACACTATTTATGACTGGTATAGATACTTATTGATTGTCGAGTACTGCAGGCGCCTAAGTTTCACCCAATCTTAAAATCATAATTATCAAGGTTGTTAACAATTAGAGATCCGTGAGTTTCCTGTTATCTAATTAATAGAAAGGTAATTTAACGATATAGCAAACTATGATAATAAATTTAAACATGCTTATTTAATTAAAGCTTACCAATATAAAACATAATATATTTATCACAAGTTACCGATATTTAAATGCTAGATCATATCGTAATTTTAATTCTATATGGAACACATTTGTATATATTTACAGTCCTTCTCTGACGTACGTTTTGATTATGTCACTTACACACTCGAACAGGGCGTGACAACAGTATCCAAATGCACCATAGACGGTATATAAACAACTTGAAATCCCATGTCACTCTAAAGCAAGTCTGTAAGTGCATAAAATTCGTTTAACTCCGTTCACTCAGAATCGGATGCATCGCCGCCGCTGTCTGTGCTCCCGCACCTAGTGATTTCCACGTTGAAATCTAAATACCTATCTTGTTCGCGATGTCGGTTCTTGAACTTAAGGAAATTCAGTGCTTGGTCTAACGTGAGATGGAAGCAGTCCTGACGGCTCACATTCAGTGTGGAACTCTCTAGATCGCTGTGCGTCACCCTCGCGTATACTAGTTTTCTTGAATTGTATTGACCATTGATTGTAATCTGAAACAATAATAAATATTTTTTACTTAGGAGCGAGCTTAGAGTTGTATTATTGTGACGCAAAGATATGGCCTCATAGTTTCCAAATTAATTAAATGAAGCAATTATTTTTAAATGTATTTGGAATATCAAGTCTTTCGAGGAAAAACCCGTGAGTTGCAGTGGGATATATTTTTATTGGGTTAAACATTCTATGTAAATAAAATATAGAAATTTTATCAACAATCGTATGAATGTATTATTGTAAGTACAATTACGGATGTTAATAAACCTCGAGACTCGAATAAAACTATTCGTATTATAACTCATTTAACTATGTTAATAAAGCTCAGCATCTGTTTCTATACACTCTATATCTATTCACGCCCACTGATTCTTGGGCATTTTTATTTGTCGATGTTTCTGTTTATAATGTATATATGTGAACGTACTTCATATGTGAAGTTCTTTGCTTTACACTGCGGGCCGATGTAGGCGACGTAGATGATGACGCCCCACGAGCGCACGTCGACGTCGACTCGTAAGTGGAAGTATTCATGTAGCGCCATAATGAGCCAACTGTCGTGGTGCTCGAGATTCACTTTCATTGAGAACTCGTGTTTCCTCCCGATCTTCAGTATGTCGCGATGCTTGTTCTAAATGTAAAAATAGTAATTGTTTAGTAATTAAATGAAATGAAACTCATAAGTTATATATATATTAGAAATGACTCGCCGTGCGTGGCGGCGCACAGTGAGGTGCGGCGGTGCGGGGCGGTGCGGGGCGGGGCGGGGCGGGGAGCACTGTACCTGGAAGTGGTGCGCGAGCTCGCCGTGCGGCAGGGGCGCGCGGGCGGCGCACAGTGAGGCGGGGCGGGGCGGGGCGGGGAGCACTGTACCTGGAAGTGGTGCGCGAGCTCGCCGTGCGGCAGGGGCGCGCGGGCGGCGCACAGTGAGGCGGGGCGGGGCGGGGCGGGGAGCACTGTACCTGGAAGTGGTGCGCGAGCTCGCCGTGCGGCAGGGGCGCGCGGGCGGCGCACAGTGAGGCGGGGCGGGGCGGGGCGGGGAGCACTGTACCTGGAAGTGGTGCGCGAGCTCGCCGTGCGGCAGGGGCGCGCGGGCGGCGCACAGTGAGGCGGGGCGGGGCGGGGCGGGGAGCACTGTACCTGGAAGTGGTGCGCGAGCTCGCCGTGCGGCAGGGGCGCGCGGGCGGCGCACAGTGAGGCAGGGCAGGCGTACTTGCGCGCGGGGCAGCTGGCCTCGTGGCGCGCGCGTCGCCGGATTCGAACCTCGCGGCCGCAGCCGTGGCGACAAGGGTAACGTAACAAGTCCGCCACCTGACCACACCATTATACTTTTTACCTTTTCACATAATTGACAAAACTAAAACACATTGCTTGAGCTATAAAAACGGCTTTTGTACATCAGAATCTCTGTTCAGTATAATCTTTGTATAGCATGTTAGGTGCAATAAAGAGTTAATAAATACCTAAATAGAATACCGATCGACGAAAAAACTTTATAACTTTACACCACAATTATTGTTCGGTTACTGTTAGTACAGTTCTAATAATCTACACATTATCAGTAGCTTTCCACTAGTTATCGTATGGACAATTTTATAGCAAAGTATCATGTAAGTATGATTAACCAATGACGAAACCCCATAAATTATATTTTATTTCATGGCATGTGTGATACTCACCCCTTCCATTGCTCTATTCCTCACTGATGAGAAGGTTGTTCTGCAAACTGGGCAGAATGTGAGTCGTTCCCGGCAGCGGGTACAAATAAGATGACCACGCCGGCATTGTGCGATGGGCGCCTCCATCCAATCCATACACACTGGGCACTCTAACAGACGCAGCAGTCTCTGTAAATATAATCATACCTATCATCAGTTAACCGCTACCTACCTATTCACACCACTCACTTCCTATGGCATTTTCTGTGGAGAAAATCAAATCGTGCTTCTACCTGCAATCAACAATATAGGAAGCGCCAGTGAAGAATTATGATTAGGTGAGTTAGTGCAATATGCAGTAATTCACCGGGATTTAACCAGGACGATTTTCAGAGTAACCACGTAGGAATAAACTTGACAATAATGGACCATAAATAAATTATACTTACTTGATTAAATTCGGTGACTGTATGTGGTTCACTATCATGAAGACCTGTAACATTAAATACAGGAATTTATTTATTTATTCATACGAAACAAATTGTGTAGGATAACATAGATATAGAGTAAATATTTGTCTGCAACATAATAGAAACTCAAAAAGGTGTTCCTTACACATCAGGTCACATTAAACGGAGCGCGTAATTTAATTTAATTTTTTTTGAGAACAACTCAAAAAAATTTTTAATAAATTAGTTTCAGTAGCAGTATGATTTTTTCCGCCTAGCAAAGTCTATAATCAATCATGTAATTTTTATCACTGACCATTCCTCTAGAACATGACCGATCGGATTTTTTAGTGGTTTATGGTGGAGGCCCCAAGATCGACCTTCGATGAAATTTTGGTGTCGATCGGTTAAGCCGTTTCGGAGTAGAGAGTATTTCGTAACCAAGAGTGCAAATCTGATCTCGAAGACCGCTCCGAGCTTCGCGCTTCACTTCATTAATAAAAATATACCTTCTCGTTTCCGTTTGGGCCCGCGTGATGTTTGTGATCCTGCAGTCGAATCCTCACCAGTATTTGCAACCTGTTGAAATGAAATTAATGTCAGTGTTGACGATGGAGGTCATCGATATTTCTATTTCTTGATCCGATTGGATTATGTCGTACCGGTACAAGAGACATGTGTTGCTGAGTGGAGCTATCGGTCCCCGGTCCGCCTTCCGGCGCAACCTCCCGCGATGTCGCCGTGCCGTCTTCCATCGTCACCACCTCTTCTAGCACAGCGCCGCATACGGTACCACTAGGCTCCTCCACAGTCACATCTACTGGTGATTTTGTTTACATCAGTTACAACTCACCACACTTGACTAGGATATATAAAAATATGAGATAAAACATTGAATATTCGCATTTTGTTAGCCCAGTTCAGAGCGCAAATCAGAGCTTTGAAAGATTTATAGGGGTCTAGTTTCATTACTTTTATAGGGGTCTAGTTTCATAACATTGAATAAGGAATACAACGTTTATATTTAAAGAATCGCTACAACACGAACATAAATTCTGCAAATTGGATCGACGGCCAAAGAATTATCATCTGCCAGTGACTATCGGGACAGTGCTACGTATGGTGCCGGGTAATCAATGTGAGGCAGTAGAGGACGGCCTCTCCAATGTGGAAGACATTGGGGAGGCCGTACTCTACTGCCTCGGAGACAAAAATTACAATGGATAAAAGTAGTATTTTCTTCCAAATATATTCTTGTAGTGCTTAACAGGGTACCAACTACGGTTCATTCCCGGGAATTCTGGGGAAATTCATGGGTTTTGTTCCCGGTAAATCAAGCTCGAGAAAAGTCGAGAGCTCGAGAAATCATGTAGGTACCTATATAGAAATTAAATTGCCCTTTGTTTTGTTGCGTGGCGGTGCAATAATTTAAGATATTAACGTTTTTGTTTTCTTTCATGTTATTTTTTTTATTTTGTAGAAACTATTTTTGTTTACATTGTTTTTTTTTTATCTAAATAAGCAGCCAAAAATGGTGCTGTCATTATAAATATAAGTCTGAATAATTAGGTCCTAAAAAATTAAAATTGGCGTTTTGTAAGGGTAAAGTAATAACCTGAAGTATTTTTTGTTTTTTCAAAATAAATAATATATAAAATATATTTATTTAATCAAAGTATGTAGCTAGATTTTCCATCATGGTTTCTCAATTCCTGACAATACACATTTGCCGTAATCGTCTGGCCAGATTTAAGAAAGCCGAAGTGAACAACACCGGAAATAGTCCACCAAACGTTCACAAGTAACATTTTTTGAGCCAATTTTCGCTTGGGGCAGGATTTGGTTGGTTCGCCAGGGTTTAGCCATTGCAATGAGCGTTTCCGATTATCGTACAAGATCCACTTCCACCACAGGAAATGATTTGATTTAAAATCCCTTCATTATTATGCCGGTTGATTAATGTAACGCAGCAGGCTACGCGCGTTTGTCGATTTACTCCATTGAATTCATGAGGGACCCACTTTTCAAGCTTTTTCACCTTCCCAATTTGCTAAAGGATTAAAACAGTTTTGTCACTAACACCGCAGCCTGCAGCTAACTCGGACGGGTTTGCGATGGATCCGCTTCCACAATAGCCTTCAATTCTTCATTATCAACCTTGGATTCCGGCCGCCCACGGAGATTGCTTTGTAGGTCGAAATTTCCAGAACGAAAACGTTGGAAACAAAAATGCACGTGTTTTCTTTTGCGAGACCACTGCCATACACATCATTAATACTTCGAGCCGTTAAGCACCATGTAGCACAGCACACCGGGTTCCACAGCGGAACTCGTACTCGTAAATAACGCGATATTTTAAGTTTTTTCATTTTGTATGCTGTGAGTGACCCAAAGTGAATAGCTGTATAAATTTGGAAATGGAATTCCTAACCAAAGAGGAGATATTTGAGATCAAAGTGACCAGTACGACAAAACGCCAATTTCTTATGTAAGGATCAAATATTAATTCTCTATTTAAAAAAAAAAATTTAGACATAATATTATTATATTATTGTTTTATATTAATGTTTTTAAATATACTAAATAAAAGTTTAATTTGATACTTTTATTTGACAGGAAAACCACTGAATTTTTTGACGTTATTGGAACCAAATAATATGAGAAAACGTACGTAAATGTAAATTTCTCGACAACCCGAGAAATTGACCTCAAGAATTCTCGAGACCCGAGAAATTAAAAAGCTCGAGAAATCATGAACCCTAGTACCAACTGACTACCGACAGTCATAGGCGAGAATAAGTCTTAATATGGATCAAGAACAGAAGCACGAAATAAACGTGATATCTATACAGTCAACATTGCTAATATTTTGGAGGGAGTTTCTACGAGCTTGATTCATCCAGTTGGAAGTCATTGCTGAACCATTGGCAGCCGATGGCCAAATATGATTATTTATTACAGCGACGCCAATCTAAAGGTCTACTACTTGACAGTCCTTTTGTATCATCCACCAGAGACGGCAAAAAAAAAGACGATATTGTAAAATCGGCAATCCGCTGTTTATAGCAAATCTGATGGCCGCAATTTTTAGCAACTTATAGGCAGCTATTAACATGGGAATAATGCCTACCCGACTGATTACACAAAAAAAAAGAAGGATATTGACATCGGCAGGAATCTGTGAAGTATTGAAATTAGAATGGCTGAACCATATGACAATCAAAGTTACCGTGGTCCTATTCAAAACACGGATCATCTTTAAATACATATTTGCAGCTATAGCCCACAAACTGATTGCATATACAGGACCACTCACATCAGTTTCCATGAATAGCCAACTGTCAGCATCAATTTCTATAACAACAATACTACATGTCGATATTTTTGTCCTGTAGGTCAAAAACTTACACAAGAGGAACCTGAACTTGAGGAGACACCAATACTATCTCCACCCCGATAGCTCACGCTCGCAGTCTCGCCATCATTTCACACATTCTGTAAAGAAAACATATGAGAATTCAAATACCACTACCGATTTGGCGACAAAGCAAAGCGATATGAATCATCGGTGTCTTCAGCATGAATAACTGATTATGTGTATGCGATTATAATGCTCGAGAACGTTTTATCGTGTACACAGAAACTGCAACAAGTCAAAGAAAACATGATCAAGCAAATAATACTCCAATGAACACTTATGCAGAAAAATCTCTGAAACCACACTTGGGACTCAGACGCTATTGTCAATGGTACCCTACATCATTATCGCTGATATTAAGATGTCGATATAAGATGCTCATCGACAAAACTACCGACCTGTCCGTCCGTACAATTCAGTTCTCTGTCATCGCTTTACATTTTCAGGAACTGTCAAGTTTGTCGAGATATTATAAAGCAGTATCCAGATGTATTACTGCAACAACCAGTACAACAACATGTACAACAAAAACAAAACACAACGTCGTACATCACATTAAGACCATCAGCTCTCTGCTTTAACCCTTCCTCTGGCTCTTGTCCCTGATAAATATAAAATGGTAAAAGAAAAATTTCAATGCGAAATGGGCATCTGCAAATTTTCTATAAGTCTCCGGGCCAGCACACTGCACGTCATGACGGAGTAAGATGGCGGATTACGCGTTTGTGGTGACAACTGATCGTTGTCAACAACAATACTGTAATGTGTGAGAAAAGACATATCACAGTGCTGCCTGTTAATATCACTGAGGCTTCATTAATTATTTAGTTATAATGAAGCCTATAATGCAAATACTTACTTAACGTTGCGCAATCGCTATGCATTACCGCGAGTTTTAGAATTTAGCGTGAAAATGGAGATGAAGAAAAGAAAGCCGTTATAATCTAATTTGGTCTCTTTTCATCATGCCGTTCGGATGAATGCATGTCAAATATTCCAGCATGTTGTGCCATGCTGTTTCATGCAGCATCGAGAGTTGAAGTTTGTTTCTGCTTCATCTACGATATTCTACTATCATCAGAAAATTTTGACAACTTATTCACAAATTACTTGCAAAACTAGACAAATATGGAACAATATAAAATATTGATAAATGTGAGTTTAACAAAGAAAATATCCATTTCTTTGGTTAGTAAGTCCAAGAAAGAAACAAAAGCTACAGAAGCAAGCAAATGAAGCTATACATATCAAGCAATTGAACTAGTTTAACCAGTAACCGATATATATCCGATGCCTCCGATCACAGGCTCGACACGATACTACAACAAAGACACACAGATTACTTTTTCACTGACAGTTTTTACAAAAAACTATTAGAGCCACAGTTTGCCCCTATACTATCTATGATAGAGAGCTCCTGGCAATGTACGTAACCTTCTTCGCAATGAATAGAAGCCTGTGAAGTAACAATTGACATCAACCACAAATCTCTAACGCACGAACTCAGTGTACCTAGATGCCTAACCCGAGATTTAAAGATTTTTAAATAATGCAACACGGTTGTTTCCCGCTTAAAATGAGTTAACATACCACACATGTGGCGCTACGAATACACTCAATTATAGCCGTATTTTAAGCAAGTGAAGTAGATATACTAGGTATTCAGACAAACAGATTTTTCAGCTGGAAAATCTAATAACTAATTATAGAATGCGCCGATGTTGCTCACTTTGGTATAATTGCAAATAAACAGAGAAAGCTAAATAAAAACTTTTAAAAATAAGGAATTATTATTTTCCACAAACAGTCATGACAGCATACAAATAAAAATGGGAAAATAATATTATTAATATTTGTAATATTATTACCATCCATTTCTTCCAATTGTGGCCTGCCGCTAACACTTGAGACTTCGGCCACCAACTGCACCCCACTTGTAGATGGCATTCCACCATCTAAAGGGATTAACAGTAGTTCCACTCACTTTCATTATTAATTTTCAATACACTATAGGCGCACGTAAAAGTTGGAATAAAGAGAAAGTATGAAAAGAGATGTCTTTACCTTCAATTTCCGATCTATCTGCAGCCACATTTTCAGATCTTTGCTGCCTTTCACAAAAGTTCAACGGCATTTCATCTATAACATAATATCAATCTATTAATACATGTAAGATGTGTTTAAAATACGAAATATTTCGCTGACAATGATAAGGCGAATGCTTACCGTTAGCACCATGACGCATCCTGCAGCGCCTGTCTGCGGTCAACTCTTCCCCTTGCCCTTCCCCTGTTCCAGTTCCGTCGCTATTGGGTCTCATGCGTGAATTATCATTTTGTTGTCTGGTTAAATGCGAATATCCTTGCAATACTCCACTGTTGCTGCCACTTGGTACTATAGACGGACATTTAAATAATCTTTCATAATATACTACATTGAAATTTTTCTTGTAAAATTTGACAACTTACAATAAATTATACAATATAGAAAATAAAACGTTTATGGATTTTTTAAAGAGATATTAGTTTTACGTAAATGTTGAATTCAACAATTCATAAGTATATAATATTTTTGCAAAAGTTATCCTGCTTATATTTTATTGTATCAAACAAAGTCGCTGCGTGTTTGTTCCTCTACTGTATCTAACCATACAACTGATATTAATACAGACTTATTTCATTTGAAGGATTTATTGTAACACATACGCTAGTCAATTTATATAACACTAGCTACTCGGCCCCGTTTCGACCGGGTGTACATGTATTATATATAAACCTTCCTTTAGAATCACTCTATCTATTAAAAAACCGCTTCAAAATCCGTTGCGTAGTTTTAAAGATGTATGCTTAATACATACGGACAGACAGCGACAGCGACTTTGTTTTACACTATATAATAATAATGAAGATTACAGTTTACAAGTTAATTATATAAAACCACAAAATACAATGCATACCATATCTCGATGAGGTTTGACTCGGATGAAATCTTTTCGAAATGCCACCGTTAAATAGTGGATTCCTTGATGGTGCACCTACGCCTATAGAAATTAACACAGAATTTATAATATATTATTAAAAATTAGTCAATATAACTTAAGAAAACTAATATTTATTTTTCACTTAGAAAATAAAGATAATTTAATAATTATTTCCACAAGTATTACTGCATAGTTGACATAAAATCGAGAAGTACAGCCTGTTTAATAAAAAATTGTGAATACAATCAATTTAGTTTAGTACAAGCAAATGTGTTAGAGTAACAATGATGTAAAAATTTATGCATTTCATGTACAAACCCATTGAAATCTAATTTATTTAACTGTTGCAAAAATTCAAAAGGTAGTCCAAATAAAAATTGTTCTCAATGTGCACTCTAATCAAAGCACAAATCCCAATTTACAAATTCAATTTTAAAATACGTAATGGAGTATATTCAATGTTACACACCCCGCGTTACAGGGCAAGTGACTCTGTTATTTGTCCTAGCAGCATGAATGGCGTTCAATTTCTTTGTGAAACGTTTGAAAGCGAGCACGCGATCTATATCCGCAGACGAGATACGATCAAGCCGGCCAGCTACACCTTGAGTGGTATGCTGTCCGGACACGCCGGGTCCACCCGATCCGCTAGCACCACCGGTGGCCCCACCCGAACTGCTAGAGCCGCCGCTCGACATCCGAGATAGTGACAACGGCATATCATACAGTCTGGAACTGATTTCATTAATCTTAGGTCATAATTATATTACCATGTCAATATTGATAAATTAGAAAATAATAAATATGCATATGTTTTTTATTATAAAATAATAATAGTTTATTATTTTATATAGATTTATTTAGAAGATATCTCATGTATTTTATGATATATATAGTAGTAGTATAGCAATACATAAATTTACATTAAAGTATTAATTCTTACCGAGAAATAGACACCTTGGTTGGATTATTCAAAAGAGACCAAAACATATGTCGGTCTTTCATAGCTTGGGCTTTTCTTAATGTGGACTGAGTAACTCTTATTGGAGAATCTGATGGAGACGAAGATAGTTGTGGTAGGTCACCTAAGAAAATTAAAATAAACAATAAATATTAGTATGTAATGTAAGTAAAACATAATGGTAATTCTATGATATTAGAAATACTATATTCAACACACTTATATATGTTTTCATATTTTTTATGTAATTATACATTTGACCTTATATTGCTACTTAGCTGTTTGCTGTAGTTCCTTGGTAGTGAGTTAATAAACAAAGCTCAAGTTACTTCTCAAAATTTTGGGTTCAAATTTGGATACTGAGTGAGGTGTGAATGGTTATAAATTTGCCAAAACTGTGCTTCTGTTTTCTTTTGCACATATCAATGCTTTAGAAAGCAAATGTTATAAATGGCGAAATGAGTGTGTAGCATGCACAAGTTGTTCAAGTGAAATATTTAGGGATAACTGCTATCAAACACTGATGAACAGTGATATCAGAAAATGTGAGACCCCTCCTAGGAGAATAGGAAGTCATTGTTTTTTATACAAACTTTGTGACTCATCTGTTGTGTTATACAATTCCAGTCGACAATCCCCCATCTTTGCTTAATTAAGGTCTGCATGGCCACCAAAGAGTTTTCATTCATTAATTAAGATTTACTACAATTTGTTTGAACAAAGAGACAAAATTACCCTAACAAAAATCAAGGAAAAAAAAAATTTTAAACTGTTAAATCTATGTAGTGGAGGTGGACAGGCCACATGGAAAAAATACCAAATGGACAAAAGACATTAAAGAGGATACATAAGAAGTAGAGGTAGATAGATTAAAAGATGGGAAGATGACATTAGGAAGGTAGCAGGAAAAAGTTGGACTCAGCAAAAAGGTTTTTTTTTTTTGTGGATGATAAAGAAATGGTGCACCCGCCTGCACTAACAATTTACGAAGGTTTTTTTTTTAGAAGATGATAATGGAATGGTGCACCCGCCTGCGCTAACGGTTTACGCTGCGGGGGCACCAGTGGATGATAAGATAAGTATGAAGTCAGGTCAGTTAGCTCATCGTGACAAATTTACTGAAAATTTATCACGATGGAAACCACGTGGAGGTTGACCTGACATGGTACATAGCTAGCAATGGGATCATTAGTCCACATTACTAACAATCCCCTTCCCCCCTCCAACCGAGGTTGCAGAACAAGAGACTGAATGCTATGGAAAAATTTGGAAGAGGCCTGTGTCACATCATGTTGGACTATTGACATTCAGATGGGAAAAAAAAAGAGACAATGAATTAATAAATATAAACTAACGAACACAATTACTACCTAAACACATGTAATAATTTGTAAAGTTAACAGTATATAAAGGCTTTCATTAGTATTATTATTACTATTTAATTGTGGTTGCACACCACTCAACATGCTTACATCTGGTTCCACTAGTTCCGGGCTGATCACCAATACTTCTTTGTGGTGAATCAGACAAGTTGCCAGATTGCCTGCGCATCAAATTTAATGGATGTATCTCTGCACCTTGAGGGCTGTTGTTATCAGTTTCTTCATCATCATCTAAATATACACACATACAAGACAGATTATATTTTTTGTCTATTTATTTATTAGTGATGTTTAATATTAAAAAAAAAAAAAATATTTTTAATTACTTTAATACACCGTGGACTTTCTCAACTACTAATATCCCTTATTTCTCCTTTCATGGAAGTTTGTTAGTGTGGATGGATGGATGGAAGTTTCTAACTCTTTCCCTCAAAATCTATGGAATGGATTTTAATGATACTTTATAATAATATAGCTCATACATCAGAATAACACAGGCTATAAATTTCATGTGTTGGAAACCAACAGCAGGCACAACTAGTGTAATTATAAAAAAAACTCTCTTTCAACAGCCTTATTAATCTATAAATCCACATAGCTCAAGACACAACCATAAGTCCACAAATACAAATGCTGTCAGCATTTATTGTTATTATTGATTGTTAGTAATAAATTAGTTAATAAATATATTATTCTGTTTCACTAGTATAATATTTATTGAATGAAAAACACTTTATTGTTCCTCTCACAGAAAGAGTAATTACATAAATTAATATGTACATTAAATAAGAAAATAATAACAAAATAATTATAATATAGAGGTAACAATGGGCGGCCTTATCGCTAAATAGCGATTTCTTCCAGGCAACCTTAGGATGGAGAGGAGTGATTAGACTGTGTCTGGTCGAGGTATAACAATTCGTTGTTGGATGTACAATTTACATATCATATACACATACATATAACTACATAATAATCATTATATATAAAATATACATACACACATATATATACATACATATATACATACAAATAAATTAAATAATATCTATACAATAGCGACGTTACTATGCAGATAAGTTTCGTGAATAATATTTTTTAATGCTCGATTTAAAAGCAGGCAGTGATGTCAATTTACGTATGGGAAGTGGCAGATCGTTCCATAGTCGGACAGCAAGTACCGTGAAGGACATGTCGTAAAAAGCAGTATGATGTACTGGTGTCTTTAACTGGAGATTCTCCGATGACCTAAGATTGGCGTTATTAGAGCTATGAAGGAAAACAAACCGCTCCTTCAGATAGTTAGGAGTTGAAGGGTTATAAAGGATATTATGGAGAAGGGAAAGAATGTGAGTATTCCGGCGAAAGCGAATAGGAAGCCACTTGAGTTTAGTGCGAAACTCGGAAACATGATCAAATTTTCGAAGACCGAAAATAAATCTTATAAGAGTATTTTGAAGTCGCTCAAGCTTATTAAGTTGGTCTTCTGTAAGATTAGAGTAACATGTATCGGCGTAATCAAGTATGGGATGAAGAAGAGATTGAGATAGCGTAATTTTGGTAGCAATGGGCAGGAAATTGCGCAACCTCCGTAATGACCCCAACGCTGCAAATATTTTCCTGCTAACTGCTTGAATTTGCGGTCTCCAATTAAAAAAGCTGTCAATATGAATGCCCAGGTTTTTGACAGAAGTACTAAAGGGAATTACTTCGTCATTCACTTTAATTTCAGCGATAGTCGACCAGTCGATCCTGTTAATTAGCCTGGAGCTGCCTACTATAATGACTTGAGTTTTTGTAGGATTAATTGTTAATCCAAAAGCTTTACTCCAGTTTGTAATGTATGTCAAATCACTATTAACTACGGAAATAGCGTCATTGAAGTTTTCTAGTGGAGCCTGATAATAAATTTGTAAGTCGTCTGCATATAGATGGTAGGAAGAAGTTAGTAAGTTAGAAATTGAGTTTATAAAAACTGTGAAAAGTAAGGGAGATAAAACGCCACCTTGTGGAACACCGGCAAACGTATCACACCATGATGAAAATGTATCATCAATGCGGATTTGCTGCCGACGCCCAGATAAATAATTGTGAAACCATTCAACTACAGGTGGAGATATGTTAAGAGAGCGTAGCAATTCCTCGAGGATATCAAAATCTACGGTATTAAAGGCGTTACTAAAGTCAAGGAGTGTAAGGATAGTTAACTGACTTTTTTCCATACCTAGTCTGATATCGTCAGTGATTTTAACGAGAGCAGTTGTTGTACTGTGACCAGGTCGGAAACCAGACTGAAGAGGATTTATTAGGTTGTTTTTGTTAAGGAACGAGGTGAATTGGTTGTGAATCAAACGTTCAAGGACTTTGGAAAGGAAAGGTAGAATACAGATAGGACGGAAATCAGAATGAGATGCGGGATTGGCCTTTTTTGGAAGAGGGATTATTTGCGCTTCTTTCCAGATTTTAGGATAAACACTAGTTATTACGGAGTGATTAAGGATGTGGCAAATAATTGATAGGATCTGATCGAGGATAGGAAGAATCATATTGCGACTGATACAGTCAACACCAACAGCGCTAGAGGAAATTGCCATAATGCTTTTCTTAACATCACACTCTGTGAATTGATTAAAAACGAAAGGAGAATAGTTTGGAGTCGGAAGTGATGAAAGATAAGAAATTGTACTAGTTTTGTCATCTATATCCATAATAATGGACGACGAGGAAAAATGCTGATTGAGAGAATTTATGTCTAAGTTTCGATGCAAATTTTTGTGACGGATCTTGCCGACTCCAAGTGATCTAAGGAATTTCCATGCTTTAGCAGGTTCCTGATCAGAAATTGAGTTATGAATATAGCGACGTTGTGCATCCCTACACATTCTATTGCAGCGATTTCTGGCTTCATAGTACTTCATTTTGTTATCGTTAGTTGGACGACGTTTAAATTTGGCCTTGGTTGTAACTTTTTTGTGCATAAGTGCCCTAATTTCATCTGTGAGCCATGGAGCAGGAGTATGCTTTATTTTAATGGCTCTTAAAGGTGCATGTACATCATACAACTTAGTCACTATAATGTTGAATTGCATTACTTTGTCGTCAATAGAATCAGCTGCCATAACAGGTGACCAGTCCGTCTCCACGGCGTCACTACGCAATCCCTCAATGTCCATACCACCAAAATTACGCTGAAAAATAATTTTGGGTTTATCTTTAGGAGGTCGGATTTTGTAAGACAAATAAATAAGATCATGGTAAGAGAAAGCATCAGCATCACATTGACCATGTTTTTCCACATGTTCCAAGGAGGAGACGAATATTAAATCAAGAAGAGATGGAGCGGAGTTGGGGAAATGGTGAGTAGCTGTAAGAGGTAGAATATACATGTTACAAGCTTGCACTGTAGATTGTAATGTAGTAGACCGATTATCTCTTTTAAGCAGACATGTATTAAAATCGCCCATTATAATTGTATGACGGAAATTTAGTGTGAAGTCTTCAAGCAACTTTTCCAAGGAGGAAAAATAGTTGATGTGCATGGAAGGGCAATAGTAGACTCCAAGAAGTATTTTTGAATGGGATAGCAGGACTTCAACAAACAAGTGTTCACCAGCATCTGGTGGCGGTGGCTGTGCAGACATGCTAATTATAGAAAATGGAAGGTGAGAACGTAAATATATGGCAACACCACCACCACCGCCGCTGGTTCTATCATTGCGAATAAGTTGAAATCCTGGAAGACAATAAGATGAGGAGAGGAGACAAGGTTTCAGCCAAGATTCGGAAACTAGTATAGCATGTACATTATGCTGGTCGAGGGACGCCAATAAATCTGAATAATGTGCCGGAATACTTTGGGCGTTAATGTGAATAACGTTAAAATTCTTAGGAACATCTGAAAAACAACCAGTCAAGACATCAGACAAACAAGGAAAACTAAACATGCTACTGTTACTGCTTAAATTATGCGATGATATGGAGAAAAAATCGTCTTCATCACCGTCACTATCAATATTATTTAGCATTGTATATGTATAAATTAATGTTTAAATATATAATAAAAAAAAAATATATATATATATATCACACCTAAATATATATATATAAATATACTTCAAAAAAATAATAAAAAAAAAATATAAATAAATATGTATTCTAGAAAGTACTATCATTACATGGGCACTCCACCCGCCAGTTGTAAGAACAAAACGCTAAATTAATATGACAATATATCACATATAATTGAATATAACCATAATTTACTATAACATAAGTGCAAAGAGCTGGTATCCAAAAACAGAATAAATAAAAACTTCACCTACACTTGCAAGATTGACTTATTACACTGTGGTTAAGATTGACATTTAACAATGACAATCGGTTTAAAAATTGACAACTACACTATGCTGTGAGCTGCCATCAGGGTGAATTGACAATATTAAATCTGAGACCAAAGATAATGTATAAAAAAAAAAAAAAAGTGATACAAAAGTGGGTAGAACAAGTGAGTTATGTTGGCAATAGATTAGAGAGAAATATATACAATATAGTTGTTGGATCTAAGATTGTTGAATGAAATTGAAGTGTAGCTAAAATTTAGACAAAGCGAAAATAGTAAACAAGATACATCATTAAACCTATTTTTTAACATTGGCGCGCCTCGTTTTGGATGCAGCAACGTTATCTTTCACCTGTGGGGCTATCTTTTGCTGTTCTGGGACCGGCCGCGGCGGCGCGACCTTTTCTAACTCGGCCAAGCTGCTAACGCGATGTTTAGATCCATCAGGGCACAAAATGTGGATGAAGCCATCTCGTGACCAGCACTTCTTGACTCCAAATCGTTGCCTGGCCATCATGAAGGTGTCATGACGAAGTTTCGTTAAAAACTCCGACACAGTAATGCTTGATCCCTTCAAGTTCGTTTTGGCAAACCATATTTTATCACGAATGCCAGTATCACACATCTTAACCAAAATAGGGCGAGATTTCGCTGAATTTAGTCGTCCCATCCTGTGGCATCGGCTAATGTTGGCAGCTGTGAAATCAATCACTTTCAGCTGGTCGACAACTACACCTTCAACGACTGAGGCTGTGTCTTCTTGCCTGGCCTCTGGAACTCCATGTATGAGCAAAATCCTCTTGCGGCTGCGCATTTCCTGTCGGTCTACCTCGAGCACAAGCAAGTCCACCTGGTGTTGTAGTGCAGCAAGACTCTTAAGGGTGAATTCCTTGAAAGTCGCAAAATCCTCGGCTATAGCAGTCGTGTCGGAATTTGAGGATGAAGCCTTTTGGAGACGTTTTTCAAATTCTTCCATCCTCTGTGCAAACTCTGCTCTGGTGTCTTGTAAGCTCAGTTTTTGATTATACATCGTGGATTTACGTGAACCAGTGAGAAATATGTGATAGTGAAAGTTGGCAGGTGAAGTGTACTCTTACTAGATTATTTTGCACATAAAATTAAAAGTTTTAAAATAGTACTACTATTTTTAATTATAATTTTAAGTTGGAGCACTTTTGAATGTATGTCACCGTTACAATCTCACCAGAAAAAAAAAAAAATATTTATGTTTCACTATTAATATATATACCATATCATATTATTTAAATACTACAATATTTAGATTACACAGATCTGACAAAAACATATTTACTTGAATACAGATAACTACAAAACATAAGAATTAAGATTTTAATAAAATCTCAGTATAATTGTTAACTTTGAAATTTACAATTAATAAAACATTTAAACATTATATAAAATATACAAAAGCTTTTACTTTTCTTATTTATTTATTTAGGCAGTACAGTGGTACCTCGATATACGAGTATTTTGTGATAAGTACCCTAGCAAGAGATTTTTTGCTTTGAGATGAGATCATACGATAACATATGTAATAAATTTATTATTAAACTTATTACCCACATACCTTAACCCTAATTATATTCATTACCTTCAATAAAATTACACAACGAAAACTACTGACAGTTGCAGTACAGAATAAATCATGAAATCTTTGTTTTATTCTGTATATAGCGTAAGACGTTGTTATTAAGTAATATATATGTGACTAATTACATGATAAATAAAGTAATAGTCATAATTAAAACAGAATAGAATGCATACCCGAACTCCATGGATATTCACTTATTATAAGCGAATTCTTTATTTTCTCTTTTCTGCTATCCATGATTTAGAGAAACAAAACTAGGTATATGGAGACACATTAAACTTTATATGAGTTAAACAACTATAGATATCATTCCGAAAAATAATACTAAATAATAAAGTAAACTAAGACGTAGAATACAGACAATTGGTGAAATACAATAATGGAATGAAGTAGAATGAAAGAAGGAAGTCAAGGAAGACAGGATTTGACAGGAATGAATGATTGATTTTAGAGGCGAGGCAGATCTATAGTCATGTTATGGTCAAGAATGAGAAATGTCAAAGTCAGTTGTGCATGCAATGCATTTGAATGAATGAATAAAGTGGGTTAAACCCCACGATCAATGAATATACTACTCAAGAGCAAGATGGTGTAGGTCATGTAGGTTGAGTTTTGCCACTAGTAATAAACAACCATTAGTCTTAAACATAATAGTTCGCGACTAGATCTTTCAATTTAGTTCTTAGAACCACAAATATGGTAATATTATATATCTGGATAACTAGTCCGTTCGTATTCAATTCTAGTTAAAAAAGTATTTTTGGATGACAATGATATTCAGCACGAACCTGCACTATCGGTATACACTGGCAGGATGACAGTGGAAGATTATAGGATGAGCATGTCAGTGGTTATTATCAAGTCAGTTAGTTCATCGTGAGGAATTCACTATGCTGATCTTTAGTTGTTAGCACATGAAAATTCTTTTTTTTTATAAAAGCCAAAAATTATTGTAATTTAAATAATTACATGTATTTTCTGAATATGTAGAGCTGTCGAATTTTACAATTATTCTGTTATAATTTGTGAAAGCCTTTGGGTAACTTAGTTTTCTTTTATATTTTTTCTGCATGTGTACTAATTATAACTATACATTAGTTGCCACCTATATACCATTCCTATATTATAAAATATAAGTAAAAAATGGTATTGTTTTATTGTTATTATTTAAAATAACTTCGAAGTTAATAATCCTTACTTCCTGCCTAATACTCTAAATGCGAAAGTAACTCTGTCTGCCTGTCTACTCATTAAATACAAATTTACATTTAAGGTTTGGAATGGAAGATTTCTTGTTTACTTCTGCGTCGTATCATATTTTCAGGACATTTGAATATATATCTTCATTATATTTTTTATATATTTTTCCTTAAATAATCTTTTTCTAAATTAAGTGAACTAGTTGTGAAGACCGTCTTAGGGAGCAGTCGTTAGAACTAGTTCGCACGCGAACACACTAAGTCAATTGTCAAATGGTATTTTTGAGTTTTGTGGCGCGAATACCGGTCGCTTTAGCTTTCATATTTTTCTGCCTTGATTTTTAGTAATATATCGTGAAGCTATTTTAAAATGACCGATTTACCTTATCAAGTTGAATATGCAAAATCAGGCAGAGCTTCCTGTAAAGGTTGTAAACAAAAAATTGATCAGGGCGTATTACGCATTGCTAGAATGGTGCAGGTTTGTACAAGATCTATCTATGACCTTGAAAATAGTGTTCAAAGTTTTACGAAATTACTGTTATACTTTTCCAAATTTCCTATAAATATAGTAATTAAGTAGTATCTTAATCCGAAATATTATTATTTTAATAAAATATAATGTTTTGTAATAAATACCATGAAGTATACTTACACATTCGTGCGATAGAGGAGAATTAAAATATGGTAATATAGGGGAAAAATATGATGTATATTTAATCGGGAAAACATTGTTCTGCAGTCAGCATTTCATGATGGAAAGCAGCCAAATTGGTATCATGAGGACTGTTTCTTCACAAAGCAACGTCCAACTAGTGTTGATGAAATTTCTAATTTCAACAAATTGAAGAGTGTTGATCAGAAGAAACTTCAGTCTAGGATTGGTATGTCAAAACATTACTGTACTATAATTATTTTGCTAGCAATCTGTTTGGATGGTACATAATATTGGAATAGTGCACCTAGGGATGTTCCACATCCACATCCCCCACATCATCTGTCAACACAGTCCATCCATCTCTTTTTCAGTCTTCCTCTGCCATTCTCATCTATATATAATAATACTTTCTCTAAAATATTTTCTTCATTCCTACTCATTACATACCCACTCCATGATAGACGATAACTTCTCTGACACTGGCACCACTTTCACACTTCCACTGAAGTGTTTGTTCTTTATTTTGTCTATTCTTGTCACACCACACATCCATCTCAACATTCACATTTCAGTTGAATATAGTAGTCTTTCATCTTTTGCCTTAGTATTAGTGCACCTTAAAAACTCCTTAATGCACCTTAAAAAATGCAATGAATAGAATATATAGAGTATAGTGGTGGTCTTATCACTTAAGGATCTATTACTCAAATTTGTTTGAATAGGTTTGTGTTTTAGTTGTCTTAATAGAGACAACAAAAACACAAAAACATTCTTAACTGCACCCATATCTTCTCATTAATTATTTATGAATTGTAATTTATAATCTATATATGTGTTTTTATAATGTAGGCAGTATTGTACACATATTATTCTTTTGTTATAGATTGTTTCATTTTCTTATATATAAAATTCTTATGTCACAATGTTAGTTACTCTGAAATGGCTTGACACATTATTATGAAATTTTATATGCATATTTAGTAGGTCTGAGAATCGGCTATTATCTATTTTTCATACCCCTGATTGATAAGGGTTACATTTTTTTTCTTTTTTTAACAGTGTTTTTATTTTAGTTGGCAAAACCACATTAAATATATAAAAATTAAAGATTGTCATAATTTATCAATAGTTACTCAACAATCTCAAGATACATGATTAAATAACAGTATTCAAAATTATAATGTAACATATGTAGTAGTAGTATGCACTTCAAATCGAATTATACCTTGGCTAATAAGCTACTAGTATCATTATCAGAGGGCATGAAGTATTTATTTTGTCTCATCTAATAATACTAATAACTTTCACTTTAGTAAACTTTAAAAACACATCTTACATAAATGATGATATTATTAACTATAAAAAAAAAATTATGATAATTTGTAACGGTGTGTACACCTTTAATAACACAGAATTATGTATAACACCTGTAACTACTGGTACAGGTATATCCATAATTTTAATATTTAATGTTGTGTATGTTATACCTATATATCATAATGTGTATATTCTATTTTAGTTTAAGTCTAATATATGTACATATGTAAAATGATTATGATTGCTTAGTTGAATTTGACTACTTCCATGTGATGAAGATAGTGGTGTTCATTGTTTACTGCCTTTTTTCATTGTGTATTACCTATCAGTTCAGAAGCGAAAGCACAAAACACTGACAATTCAAGAAAAATGTGATATTTTAGACTACCTAATTCATAACGAATCTTTTAGTAGTTGACATTCATAATGAAGTAATATTTGTACTTCAGAGTGCATATACATACATATATAACATAGAACCTTATCACTGGACCTGTAATTTGTCGGATTACAAGGTACTCTTTTGTAAAAAAAATCTGGACTATAGGGGACCCCTTAGGCCCCCTCTATGATCCGACAAATTCGATTGTGCGACACTACCCTGCAAAACGATTGTTGGATAACCGCGGGTCCACTATAATCAATGTTAAGCCACCATTGACCATTTCTGCACTTTCCGAAAGTTGACTAGTAGATAATGCCTATAGCAATAAGTCTGCATTTTGTACCTAAAGATTTAAATAAATAAATGAATAATATTCTTGTATAGTGGCAATGTCTCGCATAGATCATTCTAGACCACATTCTTTTGTTTACAGGGGATAGCAACAGTGGTGTAGTGTTGCCAGTCGAAGAAACTAAGGGAAAGAAAAGAAAGGCAGGCAAATCATCAGAAGTGACCTCTGGTGCAGTTAAAGATTTTGCTGTAGAATACTCTAAAAGCAGTAGGGCAACATGCAGACATTGTGAAATAAAGATATGCAAGGTAAGGTAATATACGCCTTTATCAAGGTACAATAATAAACTAAATTAACTCTGTTTTAGGATATTTGCCCTAAAGACTATTTCAAATTCTTAATCTCAATTTTGAATTAATGCTATTTAATATTAACTGTGCATATGTGTTGCTTATTAAATGTAATAAAAAATTTACTGGGAAGTCTAAATAAATGTAGTAGCGGTTTTTGGACTAGTTTTGTTCTACTAGATTCCTATCTCAACCATTTGTGAGGTAAATCTGGCCAAACAAATAAAACTTAAGTATTAATTTATATTTCCAACTAATATTCCCATAATACCATTACCGAACTAATTTAATCCAAGAGACAGTGGTAAAAACACCCATAATTATCGATTTAACGTTTGAAATTCAGACTTTTTAATTTCTACAAATAAATTAAAAGTCCACATATCACTTGCATTCCCTGTTGTAGTCTCAGATCATAAATAACTTTGGTAGGTACTTATACCTAATCTGAACCTGACGACCTCGGTGGTCTAGCGGTATAGCACACCGGGTTCGATTCCTCGCACGGCACAAACATTTGTATTCATGAGATTGATTGTTTGTATCGGTCTGGGTGTTTTCTATGTATAATATGTATGTATTTACGAAAAAAAATCTATGTATTTGTATAAGTTACCTAGTACCCATAACACAAGCTTTAGCTAGCTTAACTTGGGTCTAGATGGCGCTGTGTGAATTGTCCTGAGATTATTATTATTATATTATTACAGGGAGAAGTACGTATTTCCAAAACTGTATTTGACACAGAAGTAGGTGCTAAATATGGAGGACAACCATTATGGCATCACGTGAAATGTTTCGCCGAGGCACGAAGCGAGCTATTGTATTTTGCTGGAGGAGAAAACCTTCCAGGGTTTAAGACGCTAAAAAAGGAAGATCAGGAATTGGTTACTAACGAAATAAAGTATGTTATTTTGTAAATAATTAAATTCCTAAATCCAGCTCGAAGGACCAAAATGTTGGGTGTAGGATTGATATTTATGCTAATAAATCTACTGAATTGTTAATTATATATATCAATACATATGTAATTTTGTATGAGGAGCGCGTCTGATGTGATGTTTGAAGTTTAACCATAATTTAGGAATCATTTGACAGTTGCAATTGTGAATCAATGTTACTTGATTTGTATCTGTAATTGATTAATAGGTTCTAAATTATTACAGTACCTTCAATTTAAATAAATAACTCGCACACTCCTCCAGGAGTAATTAAAGAGCTCTATGTGTTACTCTATGATTTAAGTGTTCCAAATTTATTTAATCCATTTTAGCAGGATTGAGTAAGGAACTTTAGGACACAGGTCAGCAAGTTTCTAATAGTAGTAGAATAATGAATCAAATTAAACAGAATGCTTTTTCATCACAATAAAAAACCAGTAATATATTTCTGAAAAACTGAATAATTGTAACTATGAAATCATTACAGACCTTTTCAGTCTAACGAACTACCAGTAAAAAAGCTAAAAGATGAACCAAAAGACCCAGCCGAGATTAAAGAGGCCGAAAAGAAAGAAAAATTAATTGATAAACAGAATAAGTTATATCAGAAGTACAAAAATGCTCTGGCTGACCTACCGAAGAATGATTTACAAGTGATACTTGAAGAGAACTCTCAAGCCGCGCAGAAATTGAGTAAATCAGAGGTAAAAAGTATTTGATGTGTCTTTTAAATTTTTTTACAACCTCAATATGTTTACCTTTTATATCTTTAAAAATACTATTGAAGACAAGATATTAATAATCTGCTGAATTTTTTTAGTTCCATTTAGAACTCTCATCCAATAAAATATGTAACTATTTTTAAGAGTTTTTTTTTTCTATTATGATTGGCTTAACAGAATTCAAGATTATCCTAATCTTCAAATTAACAGCCTTAATTAATATTTTAATTAAAAGAGAAGGATGAACTGTCTAAGTCATTTACCTTTTGTTTTTGTTTGGAATAAAAAGAAACTTTATTTTCCAGTGTGAAGATTGTTTAGCAGACTGTATGGCGTTCGGTGCTCTTGAACCATGCTCAGAATGTAAAAATGGTCAACTTATCTTGGATACATTCGGTTATAAGTGTACAGGTATTAATGATTGCATCTATATATATGATATTAGAAATGGATCTATGTAGCCATTTTGAAAGATATAGTTACTATATGTATAGAGTATATTTAAATGCTATTTATATAAAATATTGCTCTTCTATTTTAAAATAACAAAGTGGTATTAATTACCATTACTTTGTTATGTCACTTTTTTAACAACCAATAACATTTCAAAATGTTAAATTAAACAATTTAACATTTTGAAAGGTACAATTAAACAATGTTGATCTATTTAATGTATACTGCAATTAATATTGTTAGAGTCTTTATTATTAATGTAATAAATACTAAAATAAATTATTGGTAAAATTTCTGTCTGTGTGTTTATGTGTATTAAACAGAAACAGCTTAACCGATTTGTGGTTTTCACTAGTGTATTGTGGTAAGGTTCAAATTAAATTCAATTGGAATTTAATTTACAAACAAAACACTAAATATAAGGTACGAAGTGGCTGACTCAATTAGTTTACAAACAAAACTTCGAATAATTTAATTTAGTCTCGAAGTCAATCTTATGTTAATGGTCAATGCCATTACGGGCTATATTGTTTGAAAGAGATCACGATACACTGTGGTATTACATTTTTACAGGCCATATAAGTGACTGGACGAAATGTTCGTATACGACGCAAGATCCTAAAAGGAAACTTTTGAAAATTCCTAGTTCATATAAAAATAACCCAGCCTTTAGCAAATATAAGTCTAAAGTAGACATTCGCGCATTTAGGACTGCAGCACCGCCTGCCACTCTCGTAAATTTAAATCCGAAATCTGAGACCAGGTACCTGCTATATATTAATTATTTAATTGAAATATCATGTAAATTAATCAATAGTGTTACAAAAAAAATCAAAAGTGTTATTTAATAACATCCAACATTTCTTTGTAATATGTAATACTTATTATTGGTAATTTATTAAATAAATGTTATTTTGTTCTATTAGCGTCAAAAAAGAAATACGAATTCCGCCACTTAAGAATCTCCAATTCTTTATATATGGAATATCAAACAAGAAATCGAAAGAAACATTAAAAAATCGTATACTAAAACTTGGTGGTCTCGTCGTGAATAAACAAACCGAGACATTGGCTGCTGTAATCTCCACGGCAAAGGAAATCGAGAAATTGAATGCGAAAATGGAAGATATAAAAGCTGAATGCATAGAGGTTTGTATTCATTTGTATATGAATTTCACTCTAGTTTTTATTTTCTTAGTATTTTAGTAATTCGAATAGCAAAAAACTGCACTACCATCCCACCTGATGGTAAGTATCACCACACAAACACTCATGATAGCAGTTATGCATTTTCATTAATTTAAGGGGGTCTTCCTATGTGACGGCCTGTTTTTTAGGGATATTTTAGGATTTTTTTTCTACGACCAGTAAATATTTAGAGCTTCAAGTTTTTTATCATTTATTAACACATATTTGGACAGTATAAATATAAAATTTCAGCTAAAAATATTCAGTCAAACTAGAGTTACAGCGCTCTGAACACCCCCGCCTCGAAAAAAAGAGCTCCCACTTCCTCCACGATTCCGGCTGATCGGCTTATCTGAAAAAAAAAAACGGCGTTTTAATTTGTAGGCTTAAAAGCATGGAATGCCCTATAATCAAATGAATATAAAAAAAATTGGATTTTTGATAGACATTTGAAATAAAAGTTGCAAATTAGGCGTTTTTTTTTTTGTTTTTTGCTATAAAAAAATCGAAGTTTTGAAAATATTCGATTGATAATAGTTCATTCCATGCGTTTACATATATTGAGTGTGCCCTGTAAATTTCAAGTAATTCGGTCCAGCCGTTTCTGAGATACAATGGAGGAAAGTTTGAAAAACACAGTTTTGGGAAAAACGCGTTTAAAGTTTCAAGTCCGTTAAAAACTATTAAAATATCAACTTACTCTCAATCGGCGATGCCTGATCCATAGAGTATTCCTTCCTCTTCCTCGTGAAACTCTTTTAAAGCAGATTGTTCAGCTCTTGAGTCAATCCTGGCTTGTTTAACGACATCACTTACGCGCCGCTCAGAGCGTAAGATTCGCTTTTCATCCCGTTTCTCAACATACGCTTGGGCTTCACGACCAATAGGGCATCCCATAATCGACATAACTTTTAAAATACCTTGAAAACCTTCATTAAAGATAATAACTGCTAAGTAGCTAGCAATTTCAACAACTTTGGGACCAGAATGAAGATGTTTAGGAGCGAAAGTCCAAATCAAAGAATTCAAAGATTCGTTATTGTTTTGTGTCTCTGCTCGTAAACAACGAATTAATAATTCGTCTTTCGATAAATCTTCGAAAACCGGTTTGATAGCTTCTTGGACTTGCGGAATTAGAGGTGGTTTATCGTGATGAAATTGGTCCAGTTCATTATTAGCTTCAGCCTTACGCCATTTACACCAACTGTCTTCGCCTTCTGGACAAAATTGATGCTGAGGGTTTTCATCAGAAGAACATTTGTGATAGTACGTTGCCCAAACTTCCTTTCTCATATCTTCAAGCGAATCTGGATGGCGTCGAATTGCTAATCCGTAGAATTTTGTAATTTCTTGGATAACTTTCTTGGATAGACTAAAATAACTTCGGTAAAATATTATAACAATAGAAATTTCTGTTTAAGTCTGTAGAAACGTGTCTAAACTTGTATAAACAAATATATTAATAAAAGGGAGGCCAGGTATAAAGCCGACGGTACACAATAGGCCCGGTCTCTAACTGCCAACTCACCGCTTCGAACCGCTCTTTCTTTTACCTGCTGTATCTTTAAAACGACTTCGAATTTTCTAAAATCGCTTTACTACCGTATTCTAGACATGTTAAGGGAGCAATTTATGAAAAAAAAAAAAATCGATTTTTTCAACCCATCACATAGGAAGACCCCCTTAAATTGTGGGTATCAATAAAATTTATTTTGTGTCTATTTCATAAAATATAAGGAGTAATAAAAAGTTAATGATATTAGGAAACAATATTGTGAGGAATTAATATTCTATTTGGATTTGAAAATGGTAAACATTATGAACTGACTGAATTGAATCTGATGGAATGTAGTTTATCTTTGAATATATATAGTCGTGGATAATATTAGATTTATTTATTTAAACCATTAGAGTATAGTTTGCTGCAATCGTGACTCTCAAACTAGTGTGAGCTATTAGGAGTCAGTTCCTACCCAAGCCAAGGATAACAGATTTCATTTACATGTAATCTTAATTATTATTTTATTCAATTCAGTTTGTGTGTGTGTGTGTGTATTATAGTGAGTAGTATATTATATACATGACTGCATGTTCATACATACATATACAGGGTGTAACGGAAAGGGTATGTCAAGCCAAAGGGATCGGATACAGTTCGTTATTTAAAACTCTGTGCATATTTTCTGATCAAGTATATTACTTTAAACAATATTAAATTATTATTTTTTTCTTTAACTAATTTAATGTTACATCAAAATAAATGTGTCCCAACACTAGCGGTCATTATCGTCATCGTGAATTCAATGTCAGTCCTTCAACGCGCTCTAACTCCTGCGCACTCCTGCGCTCCTAGTTGCGAGACATAGTTTTGTTTGTCACGTGGCGAGGGCTCCACGTGCCATACAAAACTGTGCCTCGCAAACGATTACTCTGTGTATGGATTATTGCAAATTAATGTTAGTAAGTAGGTAAGTAGATTCACTTACCTACGTTTTATAGTAAGGGTTCAAAGGCCTACCCCTGCTGCCATATGTAAGGCTGTATGTTTGTACATGTATCGAAAAAAACCCCGACGGTACACTCAAGCGCATCACATAAATTAACATCCACAGCACCTGTGGATGTTAATTTATGTGATGCGATTACAAAGTATTATATTAATAAATACGTAATATTCAATATTACTTAAGACATTATTTTAAAAATTTTAACACAAAACAAAAACAAGTTGACGTAGCAACGCCTAGAGAGCGACTGAAGAAATAAATATTGCGCATTAGTTATTACAATTCCGGTACGCCTGGTACGGGGAAGATGGGCTACTTGTTGACCGTATCCGTAAAAATACTTTTTTTTGTGTGAAAGAATGACAAATACAAGTGTCTTAATAATGTTAATTCTTACCATTAATGAATAATTAGGTGTTTAACTTGTGATATTATTATTAATTTGTGATAGGCAAGTATTTGACCACAATGCAGTTTGCTTTCTTTTTTTGCGATATTCCAATAGTTTTTTCTATTTTAATGGATGATAATAGAATCAGGCACCCGCCTGCGTTTATGGTATACGCTGGCGGGGCACTAGTGAAGGCGCATCACCTATCGTGATGAATTAACCATGACGATTTCCAGGGGGCAACCACGTGGAGGTCGACCTAAAGGGGGACCTCCCTGGAAACGTGGTAAATTGTTAGCAACTGTATTACTGTTACCCTTTACTAACAACCCCTTCCCCCATATCTTAATTGTTGTTGTCAATCATCTAATATTCACAAAAAAAATTCGCTACCTCAAAAATTAAAACTATAATATAAACATACATTTTTCGTTTGCTAAATCAGTGGTTCATTTTATCCTTTTCCGAGATTTCCCCAAATTAGAGCTCAGAGTTCCGTTTTAATTTTACAAAACCTTAGTCAAAGTGATAATCGTCGTTGTCATGAGTTCCTAGTACTTTTTAATATGATTTATGTATTTGTAATGAGTGCAAATCAAACTGGCATCATTAATTAGCAGAAGAAGTCTTTGTTCTGCAGTAGAATTAAGCTGTTGATCAAGTGTCCGTGTTAACTACAGGTTGACATGCCGTGTGGACGCTGGTTTGTCGGTGTCAAAATAAATATTAAATCGACGGCCTCGGTGCTTTAGCGGTGTGCTTACGCTTTACTTACGATGGTCGCGAGTTCGATTTCTCGCACGGTGCAAATATTTGTATTCATGAGTGTGATTGTGTGTATCGATTTAGGTATTTTCTATGTATATTATGTATGTATTTAGAAAAAAAAACTAAATATTTGTATCAGTTGCTTAGTACCCATCACACAAGCCCTGCTTACCGTGGGGCTAGATGGTTGTAATTGTCCAGTGTTTTTTTATTTATTTAAATACAAGATACGCTTTAAATCGCGCTGTCACACAGTTCAGCGCAACATAACTCATTATTGGCTGTCTACTGCTGAATCGAATGTTACTCCAAGGGTGCCCTTGGAGTACTAAGAGTATCCAACCATCGGAGTAAATTTCTGTGCAGAGTAGACTACTATTATGATGCAATAAAAATACCAGGAGCAATATGAAGAGGTCTTTTATTCCAGTAAATTTGTGTTATTTTTAGGCATTATGATGTCGATGGCCGGGACAGGTGATTGGGCTCTAGTGTTGTGCAAAGTAATATAATTCTAAATTAATTTTGGACGTAGTCACGGTAGTAAATGCATTTTAAGTGTTGTTATACTTCGAAAAACCATCGGAGTTGGTTTGTAGTCATGAGCAGGCCCCATGCTTTTCGTATTGATATACCTTTTCCGTTACAATCTGTATACACTTACATAAATGTATATAGAGTTATTGTCACTCTACTCTGTTTATTAATGTTTCAGTCTCAGTGATACAACTATTACTGAATATGAGATGTTCTTTATGTATTGTAACATGACATAAAAATGTAATGCCACTGATTTTCTAGGTTATTGACGAATCATTTTTCGATCTAATCGATCCTGAGAAAGGTACAGTTACAGAATCATTGCGTCTCATCAAAGAAAATAACATTGCAGATTGGGGTTCTGATGTAAGCATTTCATTATTACATAAATGTGATTAATGTTTGGTTTAAAAACTGTGCAAAATGTTCTATATATGGCACTGTATGTTTAATATTTATAATATTTTTCATTCAATTTTTCTGTTTTCCAGCACATAATATTTTCATATAGATTACTAGTATCTATTTATAATAGTGTCATTTTTAAAGTTATTTTAATTTACGATAATAAGATAATATTATTCTTTTCCCTTTTTTATCATTAAATACACTTTTACAAAAAATCTGTGTGTATATTTTTTTTGCAATAAATACAATTTTCTAATTTTATTCTTAACCAGTAATATATGTTTTGTAGCCCGCTACGCGTGTACCTCAAGATATCATTGATGGGAAATCTATACCAAAGTCAGGAAGCATGTATGTGAAATCAGAAAAATCTGGTTCTGTAAAACTAAAAATTCAAGGTAACACTTTATTCTCATGCGTCAATTTTATATATTACGGTTCCAGTTGAGAAACTATCGGCTGGCAACGCCTTCGCATGGGTATTTAACAAAAAATAATAATTATAAGTTTTACATGTGTTCTCTTATAATTTTTGTATGAATGTATGTATGGTTTCATACATTCTAAATTAATGTTCTCTATAAAACCGTAAGTAGCGTAAGCAATATAAATATTTTTTTGGTATTTTTTCACACGATGGGGTTAATTATCAAAGTTTTCATACGGATCTCTTATGTTTTAGATATTATTCTATCACCTATGTTCATCGGGATATAGTGTCAATATATACATAATTTTGATCCATTGAGTCGTAGTAGACTAGGAAACTCAAATACTCAATTGCTCTTTCTCAAATCAGAGATTTCATTTATTAAAACAAGGTGAAACGTAATAACACACGTTAACACTGCCATAGTGTTAATTTAATTTAATAAAATAACTAAGCCTCATAACAGCGGATCAACTGTTACTTTCTTTTATAGTTTTAATTTAGATATTTAAGGCTTTGTCTCGTTAATATAAATAAATTTGTTTTAGCTGGCAGCGCAGTGGATCCTGATTCAGGCTTAACAGATTGCGCTCATGTATATAAAGACGAGGAAGGCACTAAATTTACTGTTGTCCTATCAAAGACTGACCTAGTTTCCCAGAAGAATTCGTACTACAAGTTACAGCTGTTGCAAAGTGATAATAATAAGAAGTAATGTTATACTTGCTTTTATATTTTTTTCATGTCATTGGTATGGCAAACAAGCTGAGGGCCCACCTGATGGTAATTGGTAAACCTCGGCTACATACACGACCAGCCTCTATACTGTACATAAACAGTAATAAATATGCTGTTCCTTGCTGTTTCGGTTCGGGCGCTTATGACTACCTCTAATCGTAAAATCTAAAATCTTCAAACCCGCTTCAAACGCCGCACGCCACTTTCGTTAAACATTAGCTTCTCAAAGTGGGCGATGACGCCTCGTTGCAGGCCTTCAGAGGTGCCCAGAGGAAATCTGGACTTTAGTTGCAATTGTTTTTAAACATTAACATAGCAAGGTCGTCCCAGCTGGAAGAAGTTTAGAATATTTTTTTTTATCAAATAAACTACCAATAAGTATTACAATCATCAACCAACCAATAATTCAATTGAATTCGGATAAATAATACAGTATTTACAATTTTCTATGTTAATATGTATCATACATTTACAGAATCTTTTAAAATGTAAAAGGCATTTAAAGTGGTCGGTAAATTAAAAAAAATTGAGAAGCTCTGCACTACGTGGTCCTGGAGGCCACGGATGGGTAGGGCCTACCGACCTAGTTCTTTGTTAGTTTGATTGTGTACTTTCATGCTAATGAATGTGTTTTGCCGCACTATAAAACTTTTTCGATTTTGTGTTGAAGTGGGATTAGGTATTTACTGTTTCTGTTTTGTTTTGATGTGTAATCTTATTTGTGAATATTTTATTATTATAAATAATGGAATGTCAGCCAGCACATAATGGATTATTTACATTACCGTGACTATGGATAAATGCTTATGTGCCTAGGTAAGTTCTTAAGACGTAACCGTGGAGTTTCTACGAAAAGAAAAGAACGGCAACGACCGTACCATATTCATTTATGAATATGGTACGGTCGTTGCCGTTATTTTCGCATTTGCACTTTAGTGCAAGCCTTGGTTCACGCCGATTCGCTTCGTCGTCTTATGTATTTGCTGTTAGATGATTAATACCCGACCAGAATACCTACTGTAATTCACGTATTAATAATGTTTTGCAATGTAAATGATACATACGGTAACGTACCTAGTTCTGACGTGTCACGCAATAACTTACAAACCAAATTACTTGGCATATATATTTCTGCAGCCAATCAATTCTTTTTTTTTCCTATTAGTGTTAACTCCTTTTTATAGAACAGATTTTGATGTTTATTTTTATTTGATTCTGATTCTTCTAATTCCACTTCTTACTAATATAAATAATTTTCTTCATGGTCTGATCACGTTATATATGTTACAGATACTGGTTATTCCGCTCATGGGGTCGTATTGGCACAACAATCGGTGGAAATAAATTAGAACATTTTGAGTATTTGTATGAGGCCCTGGATGAGTTCTGTAAGTACTACACAGAAAAAACACAAAATAATTGGGGACCTGGAGAACAGTTCACGAAGGTAATTTATGATCTGCACCAACGAGGTTTACTCCTGAGCATACTATTTTATGAACTAAGAATATAATGACCCTGGCCATTGATTTCAGAAATATGATTTTTAAAAAGTCCTATATCTAAAATCCAACTAATCATGCAAAATGAGACTAAAAATATCTAAAATTAGCACTTGTGGTAATATGCCATTTCGCATATATGGCACTCTCTTATTTTATAGTGGGATGGGTAATATAAATAAAAAAATAAATACTCTTTTAAAACTTTAAACGCTGTAAAAATAATATAATAAAGTTTTTCTTTAAAACTTTTGCTATCAACTGATAACGTCACAATACAATTTATTTGATATAAAAGCTTGTCGCAAAATTTAAATGCTAGTATTTACTGTAATTGATTTTTTTGCATTATTATCAGTCATATCTCTTTATTTAATTTACTTGTAATACATTTAAATTATCTATACAAGTAAATTTCGCCATACAAACATGTGTATGTATTTCCAGGTACCCGGATTTTATTACCCTCTAGATGTGGATTACGGAAATAGTGAGGTAGACAGCAAAACATCTCTGATTATAGATGAGAATTCCTCACTGCCCATTTCTGTTCAAAAATTTATCCAGAGAATATTTGACATTGATGCTATGAAGAAAACTTTGTTAGAGTTTGAGGTATGTACTATACGTACGTAAGTACGTCTATTATACCGCCATGCTTTAAAGAAGCATTAGACTTACCCCAGTACATGAAAATCAGCTTCTATTTTCTATTGTCACTGATAGAGTTTATTTATTTAATTTATAAATTCAAAATTTTTTTTTATTTACCATTTAAAAAATTTTCTATAGTTGGACACTGAAAAAATGCCGCTGGGAAAATTGTCTCAAAAACAAATAAAAATAGCATATGGTGTATTATCAGAACTACTAAAGTACATTGAAAAGGGGAGTACTAGCCAGAACAAAATAATAGATGCTACAAACAGGTAGATATTGCACGAATTAAACATTTGTAGTAGTACTAATTTGTTGACAATTATTTTATTACTACTAAAAACAAGAAATGATCAATAATATGAAGTAATAACAACGGCTGTAGAACTATTTTTCCATGTCTTGCAAGCTACTTAATTGTTTTTAAATAAAATAACTTAATATTCAAATAGTGAAATTGGATTTGTATTGATTTAGATTCTTCACACTTATACCCCACGACTTCGGAGTCAATAACCCACCGTTACTGGACAACACCGAAATTATAAAATCCAAATGTGAAATGTTGGATAATATGTTAGAGATTGAAATAGCATATAGTATGCTTAGTGCAGGTATAGTACATACAATTTTTAACATATATTTGTTTCTGGGCGAGAGGAAGGATAAGTAATTTATTTCGAAAGTTAATAATAATGAAATGGATGTTCACGTAACATTACCTAGTCCCAAGGTAAGCAAAGCTTGTCTTATGGGTACTAGACAATTCTTATAAAAATGTACTCAGATAATTTTTTGTAAATATATACATAGAAAACAGCGGTATGGGTGTCGAACCCGCTACCGTAGGAAGTAAACCGGTGTGTTTAACCGCTAGACCACTGACGCTGTCGGCTATATTATATTTGCTATAAGGTATGTGGAATTTCCAAAACGATCGATAAAACAATGTTCAATTACCTAATTAACTGGTAAATTACCTAGTAAATTCTGACTCTTATAGATATTACCATTAACATCGTTGACATCTAAAATAACTGATAAAACAATATAATATTGTTTAGATATGAGCTCTCACAAGGATGTAAGCGTCCTGGAAGATAGCTACCGTAAACTGAAGACCGAAATAGTACCACTCGATGTGGACTCAGAGGAATATCAGATGATAGCCGAGTACACGAAGAACACCCATGGGGCCACTCACTCTTCATATAAACTGAACATACAGCAGGTGTGTTCTTTTTGTATATGTTTTATATTATTTAACTAAAATGACTAATAAGTTGTTTCGATCCCGACGGTAAGTGGCAACCATAGCCTATACTGACATCACGTCACTGATGAATTGCCATTCCTTTATATCTTCTAACTTTACTATCATATTTAAAAAAATATCAAAGTCGCCGACTATTTCTCGAATTTGCAAGTTGAAGTGGCAGTGAACTAGGTATATCTGTCGTAGAACAGATGGTTGCTGGAGTAGACGTGTTTTAGAAAAAAACACCGCGAATTAACAATCTTCGCCTAGGAAGCCCTGGAGCTCTGGAGCTAGCTCCAGGCTAGATGGAGCGACGACATGCGTAGGGTTTCGTGTAATAACTGGACGAGATAGGATCGCTTAGGAGAGATTAATGTCCAGAGGGGGCTGATGGTGGTCTCACCCTTCAAGAGATGGAGATGGAGTTACCCACACGTACGACTACAAAATCTTTTTCGGTAATTCGCAAATCCATTCGAGAAAATTGATATTGATGTTGATTGAGAAATGTTAGCAAGTACTCTGGTTCTTACTAAATACTATATATACTTATTATATACTATACTTATTTAGGTTAGGATATGTACAGTGTATTTGATTATGTTGCTGTCAGCTATAATTATGTGAGCGGTGTGCTCTCATGCCCGCAATGTGCGAGAATTGTCAAATATAATTGGCTACATAAGTCACATACGAACACATCAACGGTAAAACCGGAGTTGAAGACAGTCGTCGAAATCGGCTGGGATTACATCATCATGTTCATTATAATTGACTTTTCGATTAAATCCATTAAATCTCATGCTATAGTTCTGCATTTTCTGCTTTCTATTTTTGTGTTCTTATTTCATTTATAGGCATTTAAAGTGGTCCGTGATGGCGAGGAAAAAAGATACAAACCATTTAAGAAGTTACACAATCGACGCCTGCTGTGGCACGGCTCACGGGTTACCAATTTTGCAGGCATATTATCCCAAGGTACAGCTACGTTTTTTTGCTATATATAAATATACTTAAAACACAATAACGTCATAGAAACTATAGGCACCTTTGCGGCCGTCTCATACACCCCATTACAGCATATGCGCTGTAGCACGGTGTGGGTGACAGTTTCATTAGATACTGTTTCGTTTCACTCTTAAACCTCTTGCCGCGATTTACAAATTATAACTTAGTATGTCAGCTGTACCACATTGGTAATAAATATATATCAATATATTAAATCATTAAAACCTGTATTAACTTATAGTAATTGTTAAATGTAAAATTAGTAAGTGTCGCCCGCACCATACAACAGCGCACACAGTATAGGATCTCAGGTGTGATTATTAATCGTGATATATTAAAAAAAGTTGTTTATTTTAGTAAAGCAAAAATTATGTATAATTAAAGAATTAAGTTCTAAATTACTTAAGTTTATTAACGTATTTGTATTGGTTACTGAATGAATTTGTATTATTTTATTTAATTCCACTATAATTAGCGTGTGTGAGATAACAAATATTCAGTGTGGAAGGAAACCTTACCATCGCCATCAGAAGTTTACATCTTATTGAATATAATATGAAATATATTTGTAAAGTATATGCCATTCAACAAACTTATACTCGCGCGTAGTAGGGACATGAAACTGAATAACATTTTCGAAATATAATAATAATCTCAGGACAATTCCCACAGAGCCATCTAGAGCCAAGTTAAGCTAGCTAAAGCTTGTGTTATGGGTACTATACAACTGATACAAATACGTAGATATTTTTTTTGTAAATACATACATATCATACATAGAAAACACCCGGACTGATACAAACAATCATACTCATGAATACAAATGTTTGTGCCGTGCGAGGAATCGAACCCGCGACCATCGGTGGTAAGGCGGTGTGCTAAACCGCTGGACCATCGAGGCCGTCATGGCGTCAAATATGAAAATAAATTTTATAAATATAAAGAGCCACTTCCAAAATCGATTGATAACATGTATAATAATGTATAACGTAAGTAATCTATTTATATAAAATACTGTTTTTGCTACAAATATACCTTAAATATGATTATGATTAATATAATATATTTAGTAGTTAGTAAGAAAATAATATGCAGTTAAAATATTTTTATTTATGTTTTATGTGTCAGTAAAAATACAATCGTCGCTTGCAGGTCTTCGTATAGCTCCGCCCGAAGCGCCGGTCACCGGCTACATGTTCGGCAAGGGTATTTACTTCGCCGACATGGTGACCAAGTCAGCCAATTATTGCTTTGCTCACCGGAAAGACCCTGTCGGTGTTATGCTGCTGTGTGAAGTGGCTCTTGGGAACATGTAATTATAACTCTTATACAATTTGACATATGGTATATATTTCATAATCTTGTATCATACCAATATTAAAAATGAAATTAATATTAAGAAAACACTTATGCGATTTTAAACTGTCTCGCCTCTGTACATTTTTAATTAGGCTGCATTCCACACAGGCATACGGCTATTCTTAAATTGATTATTTGAATTTGTATTTCTCTACTCTACTATGTTAACTTTGTCACTTTCTATGTAATGAAGAAAATTGTTTGAACACTTAAATAGGTTTATGTTGTAATGTTTTGAATTTTTATTAGTAAAGCCTGTCAACAATAATGTTACAGCAATAATGCAAATATTTTTTTTTAATATGTTCGGGCATTGGAAGGAATTCGATTCGTTTCGATTGTTTAATTCGAAAATCTTAAGTATACAGAGTGTGGCGAATTAATCACAACGTGTCTGTGATTAATGCGCCACACATTGTCCCGTACTTGTCGCGAAATACGATAACGTAGAAAATATTAGTGTAAAAAATTACATAAGGATTAATAATATAATATGTTTTTAATTTTGACTATTCTATTGGACTACAGGAAAGAGTGCGAGCGTTCCGAATACGTCACTAAGCTGCCGGCCGATCGGCACTCTGTATGGGGGATTGGGATCACTCAGCCTGATCCAGCGCAGGCCCGTACACTGCCCGACGGCACCATCGTGCCACTGGGCCCACCAGTCGACCTTAAAAATCGCAATGTCTCGCTACTCTACAACGAGTATCCTTTTCATAATAACGATTTTAATAGCGCCAAAAAAGTTTGAATACATATTTGAAGACCTAACAACACGTACACAGACTGTGCAATGTCATATATGTCAGCTGTGCATCTTGCTTTGTAAATTGTATCTTTTTAATGGAATGGTGGACCCGCCGCTACCGGTGTATGCTGACGGGGCACCAGTGCATTTACTTACTACTTGTCGGGTGACAGGCTGAGCATGAAGTTAGGTCAATTAGCCTATCATGACGAATTCACCACAACGATTTCCAGGGAGACCTTGTGGAGGTCGACCTAACATGTTAAATTGTTAGGGATGGGGCATTGGTGGATTAAGAGAACAATCCCTTCCCCACTGTAAGTTGTATTTCGTTTGGAGGGTGAGATGTATCAGTAATATTACAAAGTTTGTACCCTGTTTTTGTACAAAAGTGATATTAGTTACGCCTTAAGAATAACAACACTTTAGGACTACTATGGCCGGTATATGAGTACATGATATTCGTGGTGCTATAATTGTTATGAGCGACAGTTTCCACCTTTCACTTTATGGTCCAATGTTATTTTTGGTACATTAAAAATACTGATAGTTATTTTTTAATTATGTTTTATTGCTCTGGATACAAGTAGTTTTTAATCCAAATTTAACAAGTACACTAACTAGAAGTTTTACAAGAGTAGTGTGTTGTGCTCTTTACCTCCGTTACGGAATACCGTTAAGGGGTGTGGCGCCAATCAGTGGCATACTAAGGCCTACAGATGTCCAGACTGGGAGGAATGAGGCTCCCAGTTTAAGAAGTTCATGTAATTTTACAAGCTTTTTAAGTTCTATTTTGCACGGACTCGGATCAATTGGCCGCTAAAAATGTATTATTGTATAAAGTTGATAATTTAACAAGAAATCCATTTTTAAATGATAGGACTTTTCAACTTATTGGAACTCGCAAACAACTTGTTACAGTCATATTGGAAAGCGGACCATTTTTCTATTACTGACGTTGCTAATGTAAATATTTGTAAATTTCCTTAGCAGGACACCTTTAGATTCATCGTGTACGACGTCGCTCAGGTTAACGTGAAGTACGTAATGGAAATGAAATTCGACTTTAAATATTAATCAAATGAAGAATGATTACTTCGCTATTGGTAGTTATTATATTAAGTTTGTTTTGTGTGCTTGTTTTATTTGCATATAATGATTATTAATGAGATCAAATTCACGCAATTGCTCTCATTGGAAAAGACATGTGTTATTCATTTCATTCAATTTTCATGTCATTGAAATATGTTTCTTGTATAATTTTTATTTGTATTTTCATGAGCACACATTCACATTTTTAAAAGTGTACTAAATCATATGTATGCTATTGCATTTATATTAGGATACTTAAATTACCTGATTGTATGACAATCACATCTTTGCATTTTATTTCTCAATAATGATGCTATGTTTGAATTCTTAAAATGAATATTAATCTAAAATCTTAATTTTTAAAAACTATGAATCCCCGTATATATTATTTTAGATACAAATACCAACCTATACTAATAATATAAAGAGATACTTAATTTTTTGTATATTTATTTGCAATGGAAACAAATATGTTAGACAAAAAATATTGTAAAACTGTTTACATATTTATCACCTATATATATATATATATATGTATTAAGTATTTTGTATTAAAAACGGTTAACTCTGCAGGTATACAGCTAATATCTATGTAAATTAGAAGTGAAGTTAAATACTGGTTTTTGAAATTACGATTTTATTTCTAAAATTTATTTTGTTATTATTGGAGCTGGATATCTAATTGTACCTCTCTGTCAATGTACTTGTATTACATAACAATATATATAATAATATTTAACTGCAGACCCACTGTAATTGTTGATGACAACCAATATTCTTGAAAAAGCGAGTTGTTGATTTAAATAGTTGGATATTATTATTACTTTGCTAATAATGCTAAAGAATGTTATTCCTTAGTATATTTTTAATCACATATTCATTAAGAAATATTCCATGTTCTTTTATTAATTATGAATAAATAATAATTACGAAAGATTTCTCATTCATATTTATATCCAAAGTGAACCAATGAGAGAAGTTACATAAATACCCCATTAATTATTGGTTATGTTTGTATATTTTGATTTCTAGGTATCAACATTAGATTCCAAGTTGCAATGGGGTGCTCATATTACTAAATTGGCGAGTTGACTTAGTTCTGCCGCTTTTGCGGTAAGAAGAATTAGACAATTAACAGACGTGGCAACGGCTAAACTTGTCTATTTTAGCTATTTCCATAGCATTATGTCGTATGATATTTTGTTATGGGGTAAAGCAGCTGATATAAATACATACAATATTTACTTTACAAAAGAGGGCCATTCGCTCCATTTATGGTATGGGTTTCAGGGAGTCATTGCGAGAGTGTTTTAAGGAATCAAATTTCCTCACCGTTGCTTCTCAATACATTTATGAAAATATCATTTATGCCAGAAGGAATATAGACAGTTTCAAAAGAGTTAGTGATTGCACTAATAAAAGCTTACGTAACAATAACAAAACTGATTTTACCTAAATGTCGTTTGGCTAAAGTTAGTAATTCGTTTTATGGCAATTGCGTAAGGTTTTACAATAAAATACCAGAGTTGTCAAATAAAACGGTTCCTTTGCAAAAAAGCTTACTATAAAATTGAAGAATTTGTTAACTATAATAATGTTTTTATAGAATAGCACTGACAATATTGTCTGATTACATTAATAATGAGTGCGTAGCGACTTCTATGTTGATTATCGCATGCCTCTTACTTGTTATACTGTAATTATTTATATAAAAAAAACATCTTTTAAAAAGAGCAACACACAAGTTTCTTGCTCATTCTTCTTGTGATGAATTTGCATTCCGAATGAGTGGTAGAATCAAAATATGACTATTCAAAAGTGCTTGTAATGAGTTTATTTGAATAAAGATTATTTCTATTTCTATATTATTTACTTATTTTTACTCTTTTTGCACCACTTACAGAATAAACAAATAGTAAATTTACATTCAGTGTTTTAAAATCACTAGTATCCTGACGACTTAGGCGTAATGCCGGTTGGTCAGGGAGAGAAACACCTCAATGCCTACAATATTCATAATTACCTCTCTTATTTATTTTTATAATAATATATACACTTTCGCTCCAAAACTGCCGCTGCTTCCGTTCAATCATCCGTCATCCACTTGTCAATGTCAAATAGATTACTTTAGCTCTGGCCTCTGACGTTCCGTTTCAGGTTACATGATTATTGACTACCATTTTTAAGTAATGGTGCGTCACACGATAGACAAGTGATACAAAAGGCGATCTTATCGCTATGCAATCTCTTCCAGACTACCTTTGGTTGGATAAAAGATTAAAAAATATATATTTGACTGTCTCTATAGTCTAGCATAGTAGTTTAACGCACGGACGCACCGCATTATGATTGTTGGAGAAGGTTTGCATGTACTTACGATTATACCTTTATATATATCTATAAAAAAAATGCAAGACGCCCTGTAATGAAGAGTTAATGGATTATTAAGATACACCTTATTCAGTATCTCCATATAATTCCTTGTAATTAGCTTACCGTAAATAAGCTGATTTCAATCGTTCAATGTTCGCCTATACTTAAAAAATGTTTTAGTTGAATTTCGCAATAGGGAACCAGTGGAATAAAAAAAACACCAAGATTGGTAACACTGATACAGCTGTCAACTAAATGACAGAGAGTCAGAAGTGTCAATGTCAAATTACTACGATGGATTTACGTTTTCGATAGTGGTCTGCTTATATTTTTTTTAAATAAATTTATTTAGTCCAATGTGAATGTATCAGTTAATCAGAGTTTCTCTTATTGTTTATATTAATAGACTTAAAATTTACTAAAGTGAATTTAGTGCAATGAAAACTTAATTTATTTAAGCAAATTATATTTGCCAGTGACGGCAAGTAATGAATAGAGACTCTCTAACAATGGAATCGGATATTGTGAACTGGAGCAACAAAGAAGTTTTAGATTTATTACATAGAGATAAATTATCAAGTTATATTATAGATATTTGTAAATCTCACGACATCGACGGACAGTGTCTATTATCATTAATTGATCGAGACTTCTATGAATATCCCTTTGATCAGTTGAAACTAGGAGAGAGAAAACGTTTCATACTCGTTGTAAAAAGACTACAGAAGAATAACCGACACGCTATGTTCGAGCTGGGCCTTTGCGATGATCAACTCTCAAATCCATCAACAAATATAAATTTCCTTGGTACCAATTTATCTCATTTGAGTTATAATCTTCATAAGAAAATGTCCAGTGAATTCACATATGAAAGAAATACAGAATGTTTCAATACAGATGTGAAAGCCTCAAAATTAAAACCAGAAATTTGGAAAACTGCCTTAGCTCTAGGTAAATATTATTAATATTTTACAATTTTATCATAACATACAAAAAGAGAAATCTCGGGCAATTAAGATTAAGGTTCATTAACACATACTTCAACACTGAACAGATATAATGATTTATTCTTCTGTTATGTCCCATTTAAGATCTTAAAATTGAAATTTATTTCTACATAAATGATGTACATACATTAATATGGGTCATAAAATATTTGGTTGCTTTTTTAATGTAATTACAATATAATTTACTTTTTAATCTAGTATTTAGTATATATATTATTATTATCTATTATTTAAATGTTAATTGACAGGTCATGCAGATGATCAATGGTAAACAAAATACCAATTAAAACAATTTTGTAATGATATTTAGTGTTAGACCACATTGTTTTGAAAGCTACAGTATTGTGTAAAACAAATCTCAATATAAAGTTTAAAAAAAAACTATTACAATTGATAAGTTAATGTGTTTCTAAATTTCACCTACTATTAGTAACATCTGTAAATGGGATAGTAGCAGTGAATAAGAACAGCATAGCAACCCTGCATATGAATGTATAATGTGTGTTCCTGTACACTCTTTATTCAAGTCATGTCCTGGGAATATTGCCAAAAATGTGTGTTAGTCAACCTTAATTAGGTCATTATGTTATGGTATTTATTCTGGAGGTATTAATTATTTTTGCCAATTACACATTTAAAATTAAAGAATGAAATTTAAAGCCAATGTGTTATTCTGATGTGTATGGTACATTACTGTAAAGTTTCATCAAAATCCTTTTCTGGAATTTTTTATTCCTTCGTCTATGCACGCATACTCACAAATGTTGTGTTTATAATATTAATAATAAGATGTTAATACATTATAACCATTAAGTTGTAAAATTTGATAACTTAGCAATAATCCATAAGAAATAAGATGTTATATATTTGATAGCCTCATTGGTCTCATGGCTCACACCGCTTTACTTCAAATGGTTGCATACTCAATTCTTAGCATGGTGTAACCTTTACAGATATTAAAATAGAAGAACATGTATATTACTTATAGTGTAATAAACACTTTAATACATAAAATATCTATTAAAGTGTTTATTACACTATAAGTAATATACATGAGCTATGGACATGTCATACAGAACCATCCATTCTTAAACAAAGTAGATATAGTCTATGTTCATGAACTATAAGATACTTAATAATGTTACATACAATAAGTAGGAAGTGTATACACTAGCTGCACTTCCATACTTTATCTATTATAAATCGAAAATTTGTCTTTCTGTCTGTTATCCTTTCATTGATAAATAATTGAATACATCCTAATGATATTGAGTATGAAGATATATCATAAGGATGAATTTAGAAAATATATTTTATACAAAAGGCATACTTATAGATGATGTTGCTGAATATATTGGTCATTAGATATTAGTTGCAAATATATTTATGAATACAAATATTAGTACATACTTTGATTGACTTGTTGATTGAACAGTTAGAAGGTGAGACAGTATGTTGAATGACTATATTCAAAAGTTCCCTCAAGGTTATTAACTAACAGTATGTTGACATTAAAAGTGAGTCATTGAGTTAAAAATTTATATTGATGGATAGATTTTATATTGTGTGATAGTGTAATAACCTTATTATATAAATATAATAATAATAAAAATATGTGCCACATACAAGTTGTTTAATTTTTTTTTACAGGGTATGTGTTTCTTGTAACATGGGTTACAGCTGTGGTAATGGTTATTGTTCATGACAAGGTGCCAGATATGAAAAAGTATCCTCCTCTGCCAGACTTATTTTTAGATAATGTACCACATATTCCATGGGCCTTTGATATGTGTGAAATTACTGGGTCCCTACTTATGGCCATTTGGTTGGTTGTTTTATTCTTCCACAAACACAGGTGAGCTTTTACAGTTATATATGTTTTAGCAAATTTCAATTCTATCAGCTTTTTAGGATTCATTTGATTTTTCTACTACCCATGTGGTGTGATATAGCTAATAATGCAGGTAATTACAAGAAGTATGATGCCCAGTCCAATGAATGGCTAGCAATGGCGAACAGTAGTATAATAGTTTAAAAGAAGACTTACTAATACTGTATACCTATTTTAATATTAATATTATTAAATATGACGAGACTCTAGTTAATAGAGCTACTCTAATAATAAGTCAATAACAAACAACCAATTCTAGAAAATTGGCTCCCTGTAAAAGTAAAATATTTTTAATTCTTATTAATTAACATGAATGATAAAAGTCAATAGTAGATTTAAAATCGGTAATAATATAAAAACAAATGTGTATATCGTATGTAGATATAATGTAACAAACAATAATATTGTCATATCCATGTGATACATGATCTTTATTAGCTTTACTCGCTGACGCCTGTGACATACAGAGAGACAAATTTAAATTACAATACAGTATTATGTTCAATAATTAAAATGTTACTTTTGTACTTAGAAATTGTTAGAGGAGGACAACAAAATATGTGAAAACTTAGTATAAGAAGTGAGTTAATAAAGCAACGGAACAATAATGTTACGTTCTTTGTTTAACTTACGTAACCCACTAGACTCGATAACCCTTTACTATTTTCTCTATATTTATAAATAGTACCTATTAAAAAATATTTCTATTCATGCTTTACCAAGAACACTCGCTAGGGCAACCGAAGTCACAGTACCGAGCTACTGTTCTAAATTTAAAAATTATTTTTGTGTTAACTAGTCTATTGATAAAGGAAGGCATATATTACATCACGCTGCAACCCATATATGTGACACTGATGAAGTTGCGTGGGTCAGCTGGTAGTTAATGTTACTATATAGTTAATGATGATATGTAGGAGACTAGTGTTCGTAAGATCGAAACGGCGCCTTTTTATTTCGTTATTACTTATCTATTCTGTAACCTTGTAACACGAGTGGTATATCAATTTCGGCAAAACCCTAGCTAAACATTTTTAGACGCATATTATAAAATGTTTTTTTAATTTTCCAATAATATTTTTGTGTGACCGAGTATTTAACATGAAATTGGCAGATCATGACGATGTACGAGAAAGTTTAATCATTAATTACATTAATGTAAACTGAAATTAATTAAGCTGATAGAGCAATGAAGCAGATAATAATATTGGAATTTTCATGAAGTACTCATAAAATCTTAACGCAGTATAGCGGGACAATGTTAAACCGAAACCATATGTATTGCTCGGTCTATAATTAAACGAAAGAAATATTGGAGATGTAAAGGAAAAGCGAGCGAACAGTTCGCATGATTTAATTTCACCTTTAGATCTTTTCATAAACACTTCATTGGATAGGATCCAATTGTCCTTTAGAGAGAGACTAGTTAAGTGCGCGTCGTACGTTGAAGGTTACAAATATACCTAATATAAACAGATTTTATTTTCTTAATACGATGATAAATAATATTTATCGAAGTATGAGCTAATTTATTAACGATTTGCGATAAAATTGGTATTATATCTACAAAAAATTAAAATCAGCAAGAACTTTAATTATTACATTAATATAATTAGAGTTTTTAATGAGTTTTTAAAAACTATAAGGATCATTCTATAATATTATATTATTCGTGTAATGTTTACATACTTTATCAACAAGCAATTACTTGTATTTCTGATATTTCGCTTTAAGAACTTCGATCTGCCAACAAATGAAACACGTATCGATATACCTACTTTTGATAATATCAATATGAATCATTCAGTAAATAAATTCAAAGTACACGCATCATATTATGTAGGCACATGCTCCGATAAATCGGAGTAGTAAAGTAACATTTTATACGATTTTTATTTAACTGCACAATTGATCGAACTAAAATAAAAAAATGTCGGTATAATAGAATTATTTATTCAAAAGAAACTGCACTTTAATCGTGACATATAGGTAACGCGATTTCTTAATTCTTTATTTGCAACTGAATCTGCGTTACGAATGAAGTTATTTCTATTCTGTACTAAGTCATTAGCTTTGATTGCTTTCAAGAGATTACATGAACTTGTTTTTGTGGATTTTTTACATTGTTTTATCATAAATAATGGGATAAAAATATAACATTTCGCTTAGTAATTCTTTAAAATTTTATGAAGGCATTTGTTTCTTTCTCTTTCTAAGAATTTTTAGTGGTTCTAATTCTACGGACAACTCGATTCTATTGTCTTTGCTGTTACAAAACTATTGATACTCTTTTTTGATTTGTTCTACAGATTCTTGTGTAGAGATTAATACGAAAAAATTGTAACGAATACCGGACGTGTGTCACCTGTATTAGTCACTAAGTAATTATTGTCTGTAAATAATAACTAACACAGAAACTTTACTTCGACAATTACCATAAAACACGACATGTTTTTACAACTACAGATTTTCTTCTTACATAAGTTATGTTTACTGTTAATATTGTCATTGGTTTTTTTACACTTTTATCTATTTCCACCTTTGGCCAGTTTATTAACTGATTCGAAATATGTATTTAATTGATTACACAATCCTGAAGAATTTTTAAGTATGCACCTTTTTTGACGTACTTTTTTGACTACAAATAACGAGCACGTAAAGTTAAAAAAAAGCCTAGTTTAAATATGTGGAATTTGCATCTAAAATCGATTAATTTCTTTTATTAAATTCCAACAGAGTATGATACAACCTACAGTACAATAAACTTTGATAATAATTTATTGTGCACTCGATCAAACAAAGCAATTGTTCGTTTTTATGTCGTATCGAACTCAATTCCACTGGTTGTTTATTTGTATTTCTTGGAACAACGGATATGACAATACACTTTGTTCCTTTAACAAGATCCTTGTTAAGATGAGCTCTTATACTCTTTTATTTGAGTATGAGACAGATTTGACGCAAAAATATGTTAACGGAAGTAGATTTTGTGCGAAGTAGTTTGTGTGAGTATAATTGTCTCATCTATTGCAGCTGCCGACCAGCTTGACTTGTAAGATGCGTTATTATTAAAGGATGAGATAATGCAGTATAATTACATATACGGAGGCATGGCATCTTAGTCCTATGGATTGGCAAAGCATTAATCATGAGTAGAGCACATGATAATATGACGTCCATGGTGGTGTTTATGTAGGCCACGGCTACCTACCATCAGGTGGGCCGTCATCTTATTTGCCATTCTAATTATATAAAAGAAAATTAAATGTTCATTAATCTTGTAAAGTATAAATTATACCCTTTCGGTTATTTCCCAACAAAAAAAAATGTGTGTACATGTACTCGAGTAATAGTACTCAAGTACTTCTACTTCTACACAAGTTGAAATTTTTCTTATTTAATCTGCGTCTAAAGAAGGAAATTCTCATTTAAGCAGTATATTTTTTTATTTAAATGTTGGCAATATTTTCACAAGTTTGGACACCAATTCTATGATTCTCCCGTGTTAGTCTAATACTAATTCTGCAGTCTGGATTTTTTTGTGGCATAAAACCTTAAATTGATTGTCCTTGCCAAAGTTTACTGTCTTAGGTTTATAAGTTTATAAAAAAGGCCATCACGTTTTCTTTAGAGTTTTGTTCATCGTACAGGCGCCATTTTTACGACTTCCAGAGACCGGTATACATTTTATATCAATATAAGTTAATGTTATAAAAACTGCATATAAATTGGTAGATAACACAATTGGATTTCAATCACTAAAGTTAAACAATGTTTTTAGATGGGTCGCCCTAATCAATATTCCTTAACAATTTAGTTCCCTGTCCTCTTGATGAGCGCATTACTTTAATAAAAGTGGTAGATAAAAAGATATGTAAGTAGATAATCTATGGTGAGGTGATAAGAAGAGTACAATGTCTGATCTTGCAATATCCGCCATTCTTTTTCATTCACACATTTCATACGTAACAGAGGAACGCGGAAACAAAACATAATATATCACGAACAGGAGACCTCGTAATAAAACTCACCCTAACCAGTCGTTATCTTGTCATATAATCGTGAGAAAACTAGCATTAAATCCTACTACTGGTTACTCAAACAACCTTAAAGGAGCAGATGAATTGGAATGAAATTTTACAAATATAATAATATAATGGTGGATTAGCCAAAAGTAAGTAGACACCGGCGGGGCACACTGGCCAGTAAATTATGATAAGATGAGGTCAGGTCAGTTAGGCCGCCGTGACAAATTTGCCAGAAATTAATCACAATGACTTCCAGGGGGGAGGGCATAGAGGTATATTAGGCCTACCTCTAGGCTCCAATGCTTCCCCCCTTCCCACAATACCTAGATTAGCTCATAGGCTAGTTGTTACACGAATTGACGATGTCAGTATTTCTTTGTTTATTCTATCTTGGTGTATTAATTTGTCTAAACATAGTTTAAACGCAGCATCCGTGATGAAACAGTATTATTCTACTTTTTATCGTAGTCACGCGGGTGAAGATGCGGTTGTAACATCGTCATAAGTCACAACTAACCGAGTTTGCGAGTTCACTGTACTATTTGGAATAACAATAGTTTATAACTTTTACTTATATGTTTTATCAGATTGGTGTAAAATAAACATATTTTTTTAACTGAAGCTTATCACAATAATAAGCTATTTCTGATATTAGCATTCACAGAATTTAAATTCTAACAATAGTTGTTTTGGTTTCTGTTTCACTGATAAGGTCCCTCAATAATAAATTTTCTTATATATTTTTTATCTCCAGACAGCAGTCGGTTATGTCATAATAGTAAGTCTATTACCCTTTGGAAAAAGTAAAGTAAAATGGCGGCCTCGTAAACAGAAATTTAAAAAGATCCATACTTATACAGACGTTGAAGTAATAATATGTTACAATATTATCTCCATTGCGAATGCAAGCTGCAATTTATTCTTTTATCTACTCACAGATGTTTAGATTGAACTCTCAACTTCCTTTTCAAGTGATGTCCATAATCTCTACGTCATAACTGTGTTATCGCATAAATTTACGCATTGTCCATTTTCGTCAACAATGAATACGTACATTATAAACAAGACTCTGTAATATATGCGATACAGTGTTATAAATATTTTTATTTGACTCATAATTTACTTTTTATGTCAGTTATAATCAAGGTATTATCTTAGTAAAATTATAGTAGAATACTAGAGTTTGTACAATTTTGTCAGCGAATGTACCTATGCAGATCTTTCTTATCCATGTTAGCCAGCCGCGTAGCAGCTTTAACTTGTATTGCTGGATGGTAAGATACAGCAAGGAAATTACTGGGTACAGAGGTTTTACATCTCAGACATATTGTCCGGAATTACATGTTGCATAATTACGTGATGTACTTGGCGCTCTTTATGTAATATAGGCGACGGTTGCCACAGGGCCCAGGTGGGCCGTCCGCTTGTTTGCCATTACAATTAAACATTGTTTTCATTTTAAACCTCCTTGATGATTTAATTGTATTTGTTACTCTGTAACAAGGTTTTAAACGAACCTGTATAGGGTGCGCTATTATATTAATAAGTTTAAAATGTTGTTGATCATTAGGAAATAACCAAATATATATTTTTATCCAGATTCATAATCTTGAGGAGGTTTTTTGCACTGGCGGGCACGGTGTTCCTGCTCCGGTGCTTCACGATGCTGATCACGTCACTGTCAGTACCTGGATCCCACCTAAAGTGCGAGCCACGTTCGTACCCACCGGCCGACGACCTGACGGTGTGGGGGCGCCGCCTGCGACAGGCTTACGACATCTGGAGCGGCGCAGGCATGTCTGTCCGGGGAGTGCGCACCTGCGGGGACTACATGTTCTCCGGGCACACGGTCGCGTTGACATTACTTAATTTCTTCATCACGGAATGTAAGTTTTTAACATACAATTATTACAAAGTTGAATCATACATGTACATAATACAAATTTGTATTCACTATATTGTTTATATTTTTTTATGGATGATGATGATGATGGTTTACGCTGGCGGGGTACCAGTACAGCATGATAATGATCATGAGGTCAGGTCAGTTAGCCCATCGTGACAAATTTACCAAGAATTAATCACGATGGTTTCCGGAGGGAACCTCGTGGTGGTCAACCTAACATGCGAGGTTCAACCTAACATGGTACATGTTAGGTTGACCTCCACGAGGTTCCCTATTGCTGGCAATAAGATCTTCAATCCACGTTACTAACAATCCCCTTTCCCCCCTATTTATAAGTATCTCGAATCAGTTGTCGGTATACATAACATAGCTTTGCTTAGCTTGGGACTAGTAAGCACAATGTGAATTGTCCAGGTCGTTATTATTATTAACAATATTTTATCGATAGATACTTATTCATTTTGAACGTTAACAAACTATTTTGTACCATTATAGGGATTAAAAATAGTCTACATCCGTCTCATACATAGTATATGTATATTCTCCGCTATCTACTTTATTGTAAACAATGCATAATTTATAGCTATGTAGAACACTTTATAAAAACAGTATTTTATTTATGGCATTGTGATAATTACACGCAAAACGTCATGCTTGCGTAAGCAGAAGTCATGACTATAAAGAATATGATAATAAATAAGGAAGCCGTATAGGATTATGCAGCTGCCAACGAACTAAATTAAATAATATAGGCATGATAATAATATCAGCTGTTTCGAAGGGTTCCGTTAACTATATTTATTTTTTATCTGTAGCCCACAGCGAAATTATATTATCGCTTACTTGCAAGAGGCTAAAGAGAGTAAGGGCTAGAATGCTGTTTTTCACAACACATGATGAAATGACTAACCTTTTGACCGCCGGGCTATCACAACATTACGTGTGCTGTGTGTGATACGTAGGTACTCTGTCTACGTCACATTTTGAGTCGCGTGATCTCACCGGAGTATGCCTCAGTGAATCGCAACGAACATCCGACACACGATTTATTTATACATTTTCTAGCCAGACGCGTTTACGGTAATCAGTAGCAAATGGGGAGCTTTTATTATGTTTTATAAATTATAGATAGATACGCTTTTGTACTGCGAATTAATTCTATATTCGCACATTTTTACGTTTTCTAATGACCAACAATTTAATGTCATATTAACTAAAACGTGTAACAGTAATGTTCATAATTATCACTCCATAGTAAAAAAAGTTTAATTTTTATTACAAATTTTATAATATTAAACATTACATTATTTTTTCACGGAATATCTAAGTTATAGTGGTAATTTTGCATCATGGAAAAAATAATATGAACACAGAATTATAATTGTGATACAATTGAAAAATTTAATTTGTAATCTTGCTGCATAGTGTGGGCAAACTATAACTATCTGACTCATAAAAGTTGACATGTTACGCAAACTTCAAAAATTCCCACTCTGTTGTACACGACTGTATTCTCAAGGATTCTACTTATAATGACACCAGTCGTCATAACTGAGATTTAAAAATACCCCTAAAAGACGTACAGACATCGATTATGCATTTGATACTGAAAAATTATTTTCAGGCCTTAATTCTGTTGCATGTTGCCACTGCGCTTCTAATATTTAAAGAGAAACCTTTATGATAATTATTTGACTAACGACTATTACGAAGGCAGTAAGTACTTATCAAGTATCCGTGTAATGTCATAATAGGTGAAAGCAAATATTGTATGAATATTGTTTTCATGTAATTTATATAAATATATGACGTACAATATGAAACAGTATATACAGTTATGCGTAAACAGTTATGTTTTGAAGAATTTAAATAGGTAGAGCAATATTCACATGTCTTTTATTGATATAACGGTGTATAGAATACACAAGTACTTTGAATAAAAAGATTTTTGTGTCATATTTGGCGGATCTATGCCGTTAAACCGTGGTAGCGTAACAATTAAAGGAACAAACTTACTTTCGCATTTATAATGTTAGGATTGTACGGAATTCGTTTGATGTAAGAAAAGACGTAACCTTGTTTATTATTTCTAATTATACTATACTATAATTAAAAGATTGTTGATGATAAAAAAAAGTTTATAAGGTGTAAAAAAGTCCTATATACCTAAATAAATTATGTTTACGTTATATATTACGAGTTCTACTATATATATAAATATGAAAAAGGAATTTACGTGCACGTAATTAATATCTTTACTGTATTTTCCGCGTCCTGGCGATAAACAAAGTTTCCATTATCATACAATGTATTATCATTTATCATGTTATGACTGTAGTAAGGGAAACCATGTAACCAAAACGTATAATCTCAAGGTTATGTTTACAGCGATGCTGTAAGTATTGTTATTTTTAAAACTTATGTTTTTAAATATATTCATATACGTAGGAATATTATGGCACTAGTAATTTTATAACTATATACGAGAATTTAATGAACTCAATACGTTGCGTCTTTCGCGATAAATGTTTCGACTTTATCCGGAAGTCTTCTTCAGAGTGAGTTGTTTTTGTAACAGTGTCTACCTCGTACGGAAGACAGTACAAAGAACATATTTTTGTTAATTTCCGCACATTGTTATAGTTGTATATATATGTACATGTATTGTATGTAATAATATCCCTGAACAAGTCACACAACGCAATCTAGGACCAAGATAAGCAGAGCTTGTGTTATGGGTACTAGAGAAGTGATATAAATACTTTAGATATATATCTTGTAAATACATACATAATAATAAAACAACCAGACCGATACCAACATTTATACTTATAAATACAAATTTTTGTACCCACGTGTAGGAATTGAACCCGCTGCAATAAGAAGTAAAGTGTTAAAACCCTAGACCGCAGAGGTCAGCAATATATAATCTCATTACTAGTAATGTACCATGTCGGGTTAACCTCCACGCGGTATCCCTTTGAAACCATCGTGGTCAATTTCTGGTAAATTACGCAGTATGGGCAAATTGATCTGATTTATGCTCATCCTGTCATCTTCCACTGGTGCCCCGTCATCGAATACCGCGCAGGCTGGTAAAACATTCCATTATCATCCCTGATTAAAAAAAAATCATTTTAATGTATATGTTAATATTCTTACAGACACATCGCGCAACCTGTACCTGCTCCACATCCTCACGTGGGTGATGAACATGTTCGGCATTTTCTTCATCCTGGCAGCTCACGAGCATTACTCCATCGACGTGTTCATAGCTTTCTACATCACGTCGCGATTGTTTCTCTACTATCACACACTGTCCAACAACCAAGCTCTTATGCAAAATGACTCTTCAAGGTATATATTTTATTAACAAGTATGTTTTTTTTTCAAATTGGCGCAGTTTTTATTATGTAATTAGGATAGTAAAGAAGCTACTGACCCACCTGATGTTAAATAGTAACCGTGATCATATAACGCCCGTGCGTTGCCATTCCGTAGGACTGAGATGTCATGCCCAGAAACCTCTTGAAGGGAGGGCACAGCAAGATGTATTTCGATACATCTTGCTCGACTTGGGGCGGCCCGAACTGGCGTAGTACCTCCACCAAGCGGAAAACCACAGCCAAACAGTGCTGTACTTTGTACTTGCATTACACAACAGCACTGTGTTCCTGTGGTGAGTAAGGTGACCAGAGCCCCATGGGGATGGGTTGTGCTGGTATTGGTGGACCTATGTGTCCAACAGTGCCTCGGGATTACATAGGCGCGACGTGGTGCCGCGGCGTTCAGGGAGACCCGGTGAAACGGCTAACCGCTGGCCGCCCGCAGGTTGTTGGGTTCCCGAACCCAGGGATTACATAATCTCCGCCCTGGGAGGCTGAACCGCCGCCTGTGCATAATCCCTGGTGTAGTAGTCGTGCCGGAGGAGGAGACCGGAGTGGACCCGGCTGCTACACCAGTGGGGGGACCGGGGGCCCTTCCGGCCGCCGTGCCACCAAGTCGCCCAACCTGTGCAATGCTGGGGTGCGTTGATGCACCTTTTGTCCTTTCTGATACCGGCGCAACCATTCCCCTTTAACCTTAAAAAAAACTGCCTAACTACCATGACCAGAAGCAAAAAAAAGAAAATTTAGTACTTCAGCGGCACCCCAATCCACATTAGATATGGATTTCTGTAATATCAGGGGACTTCACGGAAACATCAATGCGGTCCACCATCACCTTGAGACCGCCAAGCCGACCCTTTTATTCCTTACGGAGACGCAGATATCCTCTCCGGCTGACACTTCGTACCTGCTGTACCCTGGGTATAAACTCGAGCACAAATTTGTGCGTCGTGCCGGGGTTTGTTTATACAAACGGACATACGTCCGGGAAGATATCTGCTGACCAAGAAGGCGTCTTGGTCTAGAAGAAAAAGACCTGTCTATCCTATGGGTTCGCATTGATCAGGGTGACTACACCGGCATCTATGCGTGCCTATACAGGTCTCATAACGGTGACGAGGATACGACTCGTCTGTTTGAGCACCTTCAATTGACGTCTGATAAAGTTCTTGAGCAGTATCCCTCCGCAAGTCTAGTGATACTTGGAGACTTCAATGCCCATCACATCGAGTGGCTCCGTTCTCGGCTCACCGACCACGCGGGGAGAACTGCTCACGAGTTTGCTCTGGCCTATGGATTCTCGCAACTGGTTCATTCTCCAACGAGAATACCTGATATCGAGACCCATACGAGCTCCTTACTGGACCTTCTGCTGACTACACGACCGGACGGATATTCAGTGACCGTGGAGGCACCACTTGGTTCTTCAGATCACTGCCTTATCCGATGCCAGGTATTGTGCACAAAACCTGCCATATCCCGACCTCCTTGTCAACGTCGTATGTGGCATTATAAGTCTGCAGATTGGGACAGATTGCGAGAATTTTACGCATCGTACCCATGGAAGCAGTACTGCTTTGCATCAGAAGACGTCGATACCTGTATAGCCGTTACTGAAGTCATACTTGCGGGTATGGAATGTTTTATTCCAAATCTGCTTGTTTCTTCAGGGGCGAAAAAGCGACCGTGGTTTAATAGGTCATACAGAGAAGCCAGACAGGCTAACTGCTTATCAGGCTTGGACCACGACTCGTTCCAACAGTGATGTTGACGTATCTGATGCAAGGCGGAATTTAAATGCTGCATCCAGGTTTAGTAAGAGAGTAATCGCTAAAGCCAAATTCGACTTTGTCAGTAAAATTGGAGAACGACTAGCACGACATCCTTCTGGAAGTCGTGCCTTTTGGTCGCTTGCCAAAGCTGCCGAAGGTAACTTTAGTCAGTCGTCCTTACCACCACTACCACACAAGCCGGATGATAAATTGGCAATCAGTGCAAAAGAGAAGGCCGATTTGTTGTGCGCTCTTTTTGCCTCAAATTCGACTTTGGACGCCGGGGACATCATACCTACTACCATCCCATGGTGTGGTAACTCTATGCCGGAAATATCCGTAACGCAACGGCGTGTCCGGCGAGAGTTACTGTCTCTTGACGTCCACAAGTCGAATGGGCCAGACGGCATACCGGCATTGGTGTTAAAGAAGTGTGCTCCGGAGTTGTGTCCCGTACTCACGCGCCTTTTCGCGCTTTCGTACTCCTCTGGGCAATTTCCGTCTTCATGGAAGACCACCCTTGTGCACCCTGTGCCAAAAAAGGGCGACAGATCAAACCCATCGAACTACAAGCCTATCGCTATCGCATCTCTACTCCAAGGTGATGGAGCGTGTAATTAATACACAGCTCCTGGGATACCTAGAGGATCACGATCTATTGAGCGATCGTCAATAGGGCTTTCGCCATAATCGCTCAACTGGTGATCTTTTAGTGTATCTCACACACCGTTGGGTTCTTGCCATCGAGAGTAAAGGTGAGGCATTGGCAGTCAGCCTTGACATGGCGAAGGCATTCGATCGGGTTTGGCATCAAGGTCTTCTATCGAAATTGCCCTCGTACGGTATACCAGAGGGATTATGGGTCGCTAGTTTTTTGTCTGGCAGATGCATCAAAACCGTAGTCGACGGTAGTTGCTCCGATAGCATGGACATTAACGCTGGCGTCCCGCAAGGCTCCGTTCTGCCCCGACACTGTTTTTGCTGCATATCAATGATTTGTTAACTACAGTTAACATTCATTGTTATGCGGATGACAGTACTGGGGACGCATTTTACACGGGCCTTGCTAATATCACTCTTTCCGTTGTGGAGGCAAACCGCGAACAGCTTGTGTCTGAAATCGAGAGTACTCTTACCAGTCTCCGATTGGGGGCGACTGAACTTAGTTCAATTCAACCCTACCAAGACACAAGCCTGCGCGTTCACCGCTAAGAAAACCCCTTTTGCTGTGGCTCCGCAATTCCAGAACACGTCCATTACCATCTCTAAGAGTATTGGGATTCTCGGTATCGACATCTCTAGCACAGTTGAGTTCCGTAGTCACCTCGAAGAAAAGGTTAAGCTGGCGTCCAAAAAACTCTGTGTGCTCAATAGAGCGAAGCGGTATTTCACTGCGGACCAGAGACTCCTCTTATATAAGTCTCAAGTTCGGCCGCACATGGAGTACTGCTCTCATCTTTGGGCAGGAGCACCTGGATACCAGCTCGGTCCTTTTGACTCGGTTCAGAGACGTGCTATGAGAATTGTCGATGATCCCAATCTCTCTGACGGTATCGAGCCACTTAGTTTGAGGCGAGACTTCGCTTCGCTTTGTGTGTTCTACCGATTATACAACGGACTGTGTTCTGAGGAATTGTTCGACATGATGCCTACGGCCACCTTTCACCATCGCACCGCTCGCCATCGACAGGGAATTCATTCCCACACGCTGGAACCTAAGTGGTCTCGGACAGTGCGGTTTCAGAGGAGCTTCCTCCCGCGTACATTTAGATTGTGGAATGAACTTCCTGCCGAGGTTTTCTCACGGGACTACAGCATGGGGTTTTTCAAGAAGGGTATATTAAGGTTTCTTAAGGGTCGGCAACGCGCACGTGACACCCCTGGTGCTTCAGGCGTCCATAGGCTACGGTAACCATTTACCACCAGATGGGCCGTGTGCTTGTTTGCCACCATAGTAGTATAAAAAAAAACCTGTAATTGAAATGCCTCAAAGTCAGATCTATGCAATTAAATTACAGGATTCGTGAACCAATAAAACCAATAACTATAGGCATAAACAGCGCCTTGCATTGCCAAAACTGCATTTTCATTTCCGAAGCTTGGGCGGTCTGATGTATCTATATATAAATAAAAAAAATAGTGTAATACTATACTCCATTCCAACAGAACTTAATTACAAAGAAATCATCAGACGCTATATTATAGTGATACTTAAAGTAATCTCAATGAAACATCAATATTGATGTTTCATCTTTCAAATTGTTTTACTAAATGAATTACGTCATTACAAATGCGTTAGTGTGATTTAAAATCACATGTTTGCAGAATAAAGTAAAAAGCTAAATTAAATATAATAGAATAGAGACTTATAAATATATATTACTAACGAAAAACAACTTTTTCATTAATATTTTTTTCGAATAAATAAAACTATTTATGACTTAAAAAAAGTCCTTATTATTTCTTTATTCGATTATTAACCTTTATAATGAATATCTAAAATTTTTTTTCGTACACATTACAAATAATGTTTTTCGATTATGTTATTTAGTAATATAGTTAAAGAACCCATATTGTTATTATAAGAAATAGTAATATGCAGTTAAATCCCTCAAGATTCATATGAATTTCATACTATTTCCATTTTGTGAATGCTCATGTGATAATTTTGACGAATGTTTTATAAAATGCTATTGGAACGGAGTATACCTAGTTATAGTACGCAGTTACTACATTTTAATTCAAAATGACGCCACTTTGATTTTAATTTAGATCAGATTGTAGTTTGTTGTGCAAGGTTTGTTATCGGTGTTTGTTTTTCTCACTGCTGATTCAGTTAGAAATATAATATGACAAGCAAAATTATTGATGTCAGCCGTATTGACGACCTTTTAGTCATTAAGCCACAACAATGTCACAATAATTGTAACAAAATGTACTTCTTAAATAATAGGTATTTACAATTATATTTACACAATGACCTGATGTCCTATCTGAATTCACCTGATTAATCATATCGTTGTTGACCTATAGACATCACATGAGACACTTTCAACAATTTATGTTAGTAATAAATGATTCAACTCATCCTTTGTTTGTTAAGCTGAACTACGATTATTACAGATTTTTAATTACAATCCTACTCCTATAATAAAAATAAAATTGGCTATTATTTTATTACTAATACCGTCTTTAGGCATGTTTTCTACCAAAGATATGATGAGATTATACGCTATTTTTATTCTGGTTTATATAGAAACAATTATTCAATTTCAGAACGCGTATATGGTTCCCATTGCTGTCGTTTTTCGAATCAGAAGTTGATGGCATCGTACCCAACGAGTATGAAGGACCCGTAATGATAATGCAGAACTTAAAACAATGGTGTGTACAACTGTTGACCGACGTCAGAGAATCCTCGATGGCTAAGATCGCTGGCACCAAGCTACAAGAAGGAGCCGCTATGGGCGAGTACTCTGTCGTGAGGCTCGTAGACGGTATTAAAAAAAACCTAAGTTTGGTGGAAGAGTTTAAAAATTCCCGCGAACGGTTGGTCACCCTAGACAAAAACATTCAAGCGTGCATGCTGGATGAACACACGGACAGTGAACTCCGTCACAGAAATTTAGCAGGGCTCGCAGGCGATTCACTTTTGAAAGAATTCAGCAATCCTCCGTCGCCAATTCTGAAAAAAAGTATATGAATATACTGCACAAAGTTACTAGACTAGAGGCTGTTCTTAGATATATTCATTGTAGATGTACTATACGATGAAGTGAATAGAGACCTGATGTTTACATTTCCATATAGATTTTATATCGTGTTATTCCATATTTATTTAACTGTAAGTTAAATGTGTAATAATAAATTAATAAAAAAAAGTTTATTTGCTCAAAATACATGAATAATGAATAAACTAAATTTTCGCTTACACTATGTTTTTCTCTTCAACAGTATATGATGTAGGTATCGTGGTGTAAACATGCTGAAATTTCATGCAAATACATATGTATACAATTAAGCTGTGGCAAATTATGAAAAACACATCACATTTGAAGTTGTTTCGCGGTACTTTTAAATAAGGCCAATTCTTCTTCAACAATTTTAACTTTACCTTGGTACATAAACTGTAACAAGTTCCTAAACGCAGAATGACTAAACATATTAAAATACTATAGGATATTTCTTTAGGTTCATTATAGAATATACTTATAAACCTGATTTGTGCGCCTGTAACAACCGGCCTGCTGACATATTCATATGGTCATTTTTCCAACATAATGAGAATTGTTCGTTCGTCGCCCTGATGTTGTCTAAAGGCGCACCTCTATAAACAACCTTATTCTAATTATAAATAATTAATGGGCTCACATAAAATAATCTTACTCATTACTCCAAACAATAATAATAATAACTCAGGACAATTCACACAGCGGCATATACATCCAAGCAAGACCAATACAAATATAATTATTTGTATCATGCAAGGAATCGAACCCACAACCATTAGAAGTAAGCCGGAGTGCTCAACTGCTGGACTTACTGAGGAAGCCACTGATTGACTTTAAGATAAATAGGTAGTGAAGATACAAACAAGTTTATAATTATATCATTTTTATATAATTCATATGAAAATTTTGTTAAATAAAAATTGTCTTTAATATTAATTCATGAAATAAATTTTTAACAAAAGGTAGGTTATTACCATTCTCTTACAACCAAAAACTGTAAAATTACGAATGTTCATTTATGCTATATTATTTTTAGATATAAATCTAGACAAGAAGCACCTATTAGGAAAATTAGCTACCAGTTCGTAAACATGATGTAGGTATGCTAATTTCATTACTATCGATAATACTACAGCAAAAAGGGACATTCAAAATTACTCTTACAATAATAATCTTAGTTCATATTTTTATATGTAGGTATATCAAATTTGATTAATTTATATAAAAAAAGAGATGATTTATTAATACTTTAAAAATAATACAAAGCCTTATGAAACAAAATTGTTAAATAAAAATCTTAATCAGTAACTTCATAAAAATTGATTAAAAAACCTAATGATATAATTATGATAATATAGGCCACTTTATAGAAAACATATATGACTACACTGTCACATAACACAAGTTCCCAACAATTACTTCTTCGCATTATATACATTGACTAATCAGGCCAAAGAAGTGAATGATGCATCATAAATAACAGAACAGACTTAGTGATAGTGCTCGCTTAGTACTAAATGGGCTTGATTTGAGCTGAGAAGCAAATGTCCAGTCTGGGCCATTATTCGGCTGCCGCTGCCTGCTCACTTTGAATCAGAGCTTCTGAGGGATTATCTTTTTTCCTATCCACAGATTCAGTTTCTTCCTCTTCTTCTGTATCTTTCTCCTCGGACTGCTCACGAGAACTAACTGTACCATTTTCATTTACGGATTCTTCTTTCTCTGGGGTATTCTCTTTTGATGATTTTTTAGATTCTATTTCATCTTCACTTTTAGGTGGAGAGCTTTCTTTGTCGACTGATTGTTGCCTCTCTTGTGGCGTTTCGTCAGGTGTACCTTCCTTTGATTTCTCTCCATCTGCTGGAGTAGCTTCTCTAGAAGGTGTTTTATCCTTAACAGGTGTTCCTTCTTTAGGAGAAACACTCTTCTCCGTTTCTCTTTCCTGTGAGTTTTCTTTTGATTTTTGTTCTTCAACATCCCCATTCACAGCCTATAACAACAATTATTGAGTCATTAGTAATATAGTTTTATTTTTCCTCTTATGTATACATACATGAATTAGTTTAGAACACAATGTATAAAAATTCTGTATATGCGTTTATTAGGTAGGACACATATTATAATCATTTAAGCTTGCATTTACCATACAATAAGTATTCATTAAAACAGAATAAAATATACATAACACATATAATCAAAATTTGCTACAAAAATATAATTTTCTATGACAGTATCTAACAAATTAACACATAAATGTGTAATTTTCTCTACCTATCTTTTCTACATTCAGTTCCACTGGTGATACTATCTACCAATATAACTTTTAGGCTTGTTTTAAAGATTATAAAGTTATCCAATTATTACCAAATAAGAGTTTCATAAATATATGTTATAATATTTTTTAAATAGAGTCAGATTGTTATTAAGCAATGAGCATCCCTTATTACACCACATTAGCATCCTACAACAGCAGTATTATTATTAGCATTATTTTTTAATATCTAGGGAATCTAACTTTCACTTAGGGAATGTAACTGGATGTCCTTCATACAGGTCATTATAATGACCTAGTAAGGACAGCAGTGACATAATGTTATATTGAGACTTAAATATTGTATCTGTTTCTTCTTTTTTTATATATACTTTTTAATATACAATCGATTTGTCTACATAAAAATTTTAAATTAGTATAAAAAGTGAAGTTATATGTATATACAGTAGATATAGAACCTTAGCTAAGTCCATTTTTGTAACTGTTTTTTTTTTTTGCACAATAAACTTATTATTATTAATATTATAAAGAGAATAGATTTTGTGATGAGAGACTCCACTACCATTAATATAATTAAATAAATTCTTTCATTCTTTGATAGGCCCAACATTCCAGTGACACATGTGTTACTGTACAAAATTCATAAAATTCTGAGTACCTGGGCGAAGCCAGACTCGTACATAAAATGTATTTGTATTCTTAGGAGATATATTAGATGATTAGACAGTAACAATATGTGAATATTTATGTAACTAGCATTACAAAAATTGTTTAGTTTAAGGAGTTTAGAACTCTGAATGAATGTCTCTTGATAAAAAGTAAAACATGCATGTGAATTTCCTTCAGTTAAAAAAAAAACAGGTTTTTGTTTACAAGAAAAACACATTAATAATGAATAGCAACAAATGCTTAAAAGTTTACCTTTTCAGTTTCAGCTTGAGATGTTTCCTCCTGCAATGGCACTTCTACTTTAAGGAATTGTTCCAAGGTGTCTACTTCATTGGCTAGATCAAATTGGTCATAATCCTGGAAGTGAATTACATTTATCCATTACAATGCTGCTGGTATTTAATTAAAGAATGAAATCACAAATTAAGTTTTGTACAAGCGCATTAGTCAAAAATTCATAAAGATAATTCAATCTGATTAACTTGTTGTTGTTATTGTCCGTAGTGACATATTACAGGGAGGATTGCAATAACAAATCTAATATTAGTGGTTGTTCAACTAAATTTTATTATGGACATCTTATCTGTTTACAAACATCAGTACTCACAAAATACAAATAAAACACATTGAATGCAATGCTTACCCCACAGTATTCCTCGTCATTGAATACTTGAGGCGGTAGAGGAGAGCGCGGATTAGGATCACTAACCGTACCGCCGTTTGACTTGGCATTGTTTTGCATAAAATCTTTATCATCCTCTCTTCCAGGTTCCGTTATATCAATGACATCATATTTTATGTTTTTCGAATCTAAGATCATTAAAACACGCTGTTGTCGTTTCTTCACCTGTAATTTCGGAAAGTCACGTAATCAAAAACAATCAATTTGTGAATCAGCTCGTCAAAAAAGAACGAAAAATACCCGGCCAACCCAGGGATTTTCTAATATTAAACTTACCTCTTTATTACCAGAAATACCACTAATATATATTTTGACAACCATAGCTGTAACTTAACTTCTTAAACTAATATAACAACAAATAATAACCACACTCACAATTAAATTAGAAAAATAGGCTTGGCCATTAGTCAATCTGTACAAAATTATTCCGGATTAGTGACAGTTCCTGTGTGACCATATAAATGTGCACATAACTACTATTTGTTGTAAAAAATATAAAAATTGTTTCAGGATTTTAAGAAACAAGAATGTTGATGTATATTCAGTAAATTTTCATGGTACGGTGGTATCAATATACCATTTACATCGAAATATAATTTATAATACAATGGCGACATTCTACTAGTCACCTTTCTAAGTGACTTATAAGGTAAATTTAAAATAAGATGAATGGGGATTGGACTGTAAAAAAATACATTCTGAATAAAGAATGGAAACTCCTTTGAATTTATTTATTAATTTATATCATAACTTCATATGTCGGTGATATTTTATTATTAACAGTTGTTTTTATACCTTCATATCTTTCGGTATCTTGTGTAGGTACTACGATGTTTTACTAAATTATTTACCTGTTCCTGCAACATAATACGTGTATGTATACTTGACATATTTACATATACGTGTACGTATACGAATACGTACAAACATATATATTACTGAAGTTATTGACTTTAGGAACATGGTATGAAATGTATGAATATGAAATGTCAATTGACAATACCAAAGAGTGTAACTGTAAGTTTTATGGTTTTTTTTGTTCCTACTAAATAATATTAATTAATAGTGCTGGGAAACACTGAAATCGTTCCGTTTTTGTTATGTTAACTATTATCTTCGTATGACTGTGATATTATAAATCCATAAGTTCAGTCCTCACCTAGGCACGGTTTAAGATAGCCATAGAGTTTATAAATCGTTCTTGAATACATTTAAACGGTTACATTTATCGGTTAATTAAAAATGAAAAAAAACATTGAAAAAATGTAGTTTGGTACGAGTTCGATACTCAAACTATAGGAAACAGGATAACCGCGATCATCACTACTAGGACGGTATCGGATATTGCAATTATTATATAATTATAACGATGAACATATTTAAACCAAACACAATCTACCGCTTCAGGGCCGTTTCTTAAATACACCAAGTGAAAAATCTTGTCTTATGATGTTCGTAGATTCGTTATCCTCACAATATATATAGAGATTCATAAGTATGTGCGTGTTTTACTGCGTCGATGATTACTATCAACAAACCTACCTGACTGTTATCCAAATGGGACAGTGACATTGTCACCTGATGATGCTGTGATGACAAAAACACTTGACATGCTTAGATTTCATTCGGTATATTTAAATCCAAATTTAAGCAGGGAGGCGAGCCTGCTGTTCTCGGATTATTGTTTTAGTTTGTTATCAGTGTTTACATCTTTGATTCCATTCCGTAAAATTTGGCCAAAGCCCAATATTTTTGTGTATCAATTTACATTTCTGACTGACTATGTAGTAATGGCAATGGAGATAATATTATCTCCATTGCCACCTTTCAAGCTACGACCGCCTTTCAAGTTATAGGTAAATATATATTTACCTATAACTTGAAAGGCGGCCGTAGGCTCACATCTGTTACTTTGGATTCATATTCATATCAAGTTTTGCGTTCACCACCGTCGACAGTTGACGATGCCTGGCGGTTCAGTCTTCATTAAACTGTCATTCCCTTAAGATGTATTTATTGCTTGTAAATAAAGAATCCTAAGTGTAAATTATTTACTATTGTCATTTATTACTAAGAAAAAATAGATACAATTAATGCTCTATGTCGGGACTCTGGAGCTTTCACGACACAGAAACTGGATTAGACAATACCCGATTTAGGTAGTGCATGGCGTGCAGCACATTCTTGAGGTCCATGGTTTTATTTTGGAATTTGGCCGTTAAAGTAGTATTAAAAAAAACGACACTAACTTTAAACAACACAATTTTTTTGTTGTACGTTCAAACAGAAATGGATGACCGGGGTTTAGGTTAATACGGCATATTTCGACACCGGGTTTCGAAAACATTGAAGCACGTACAGTAATATAAATTACTATACCTACTGTATAAATATAGAATTATAAATAAAATACATTTTCATAAGTACAAATTTATTACAGTTCATAATTATAATACGGAGTTGTATTGTCCTGTAAATATGAAAACAATAATACTTAACTACTCACTATTGCGGCAATTGTAGGTACCTATGGCAATGCATCGCGGCACGCGTGGAATGTGATGTATTAAAATAAGAACAGTCTTAAGAGCCAATCAAATGAACGTCGAAAATCAATCTTAAAGCATTCGTTTCAAATACATATATAGTATCTGGGTTAATAAAATATGTGGTGTACGGAACGTTCATAAGTTTACAATAATATTGAATTATATAAAATTAAAAAAATATACAAAAGTTACATAGAAAATAACAACGTCCAATTCAAAATTCGAATATATTGACAAGTTAAAAGTAAATTAACTCAATACGGCTACTGAAATGCTAAGACCTAGCTGTCTATTCTATTTATCTATTATCAAAGTGATTAGGTACTGAACCAGTACCTAATCACCTCGATAAATACAATTACTAAAACTTCAGTTTGACTCTATATAACTTTACATGTAACTGTTATAACGGACCCAAATCCAGCCGAGCGTATTACTGTGGAAATCGGGTTTCATAAGTGTCCTTAATTTTGAAAATTTATGGAATGATTTTATAAACAATTTTAGAAAATGATAATTAACAATTATAGTGTATTATTTCATCATTTATAGTTCATCATATTACTAACGCTCTCCCACATCAGAATCAAAACTATAACTATCTTTCAGCATGGTAGATATTTAAGCTAACTGTACATATTGCCTCATTTAGAATATTTAAGCTGACTGTATATATGGCCTCAGTAGTCTATCGGTTCAGCACACGCTTTTTACCCCGATGGTCGCGTGTTTGATTTCTTACACAGTATAAACATATAGAACGTATGTATTCAGGAGTTAAAATGCGTAGATACCAAGATTGTTAATATTGGTATCTACGCATTTTATATAGTATGTACACATATTTAATGTCATTTGCTACATATACTAAATTCTTTTATACTTAATTATTGTTTTTGTACTAGTATCTAGTACCCATAATACAAGCCCTGCTGGGACTAGGTGGTGCGGTGTAAACAATACTGGATTAATATAATTATATGGACATAGACGTTATAGCAACCATCGACTGATATATGTACATAATGCGTAAATGTTTGTTTCCTGTCGTAATTTGAGAGTACCTATCAGGGTCACATTAAATAATGTTAATTTCTTAATTCTATTTGTATAAGCAATGAATGTTTGGGTGTTGTCTTGTTAGTGATGTGCGAAAATATTACTGGCAGTCATCCAGAGCATTACAGTTGTTAGGTGTTACGTTGTGATATGCATTTAATATTATCGTAGTTTCAATTAACGTCTCCTCTAATATATTGCTTCTCTCTTACTGCGGTCAATTTGTAGTAAATTTGTATAAATTACACCGTTGTCGTAGGAACAAAACAGAAACACAAACTTTAGATATTAGTTTCCATAGTTATTAAGAGGAGCAATAAATTAGTTCAAGGTTTCTGGCGCAACATATCCGTGTTTGGAAATAGTGAGAAGGATATAAATAGCTTGAAGCAGTCCATTTCATATTTTATACTGACATATGTAGTATAATTGTTTGTAGAAAAATTAAATTATAAATACGATGATTAGAAAAAAAAACTGCTTTCCGGTCCAAAATTCCAAATAGAAGATAATATATTTACTGCAGAGGCATATGCAATTTTATTGGCTCTTGAATTTTGTACGCTTCACCAATCTAGAGTGTGCACTGTAGCAGAGCATATCGGATATATACATAGCAAATAAATATATATATATAATATTTAGATTTTGTTGTGATTTCGGCGTCAGCGCCTAACCTTGTACAGACGAGGCGACATGACTCTGCGAATGCACCTTCCTCGCTTTTAATAAGACTTCCGGATGAAAACAATACAATTGTCGCGAAACACGAAAACATTCAAGTACTTTAAATCCCAGATCTCTATTAGGTATATTTACATCCTGTTTATACTAGAAAACAACCGTAGCGTAGAATTATGTTTACCTAATACATAGGAAAAACATTATTCTACATTAAAAAATAAGTTGCGATTGCGATAAAGGAACAAGTAAAAAGATTATATTATTAAAAATAAATGGAAGCATATTTAATGGAAAAATTAAACTCATTTCTATCTAAAATCAGCAGCAGATTACAGTATAAAAACTGTATTGATTATATTCATTAGATTATTCTGATTACAATCTAACTATTACACGCATAAGCACGAATAATCTAATATATATATTTGTTTGTTACACATTGGCGTCTTAACGACTCGAACAGTTGTCATGTAACTTGGCATACACATAGTGTTTGGGATTTAAAATGTTTTGTTGTGTATATGAAACGATTCGTGCCATTAATTACCTATAAATGTATATTTCATGACTAAAATTCTAATCTGAATATAATAATTGAACGTAAAAAAATATTCCCCTATTTTTTTGGCTGTTAATGTGGAATAATATACCTTTACACAATAATATCACTCTACGCCGGGTGTATAATCAATTGCCAAAAAGAGGGGATTTCAGCATGACGGAATGTCTTATGTATTTGTTTAGAAGATATCTTTGCCAAAATTGAAAGGATACCAATAAGTATTATTGCAATGGGCACGAGTAATCCCTGCGTTGAGCTCGTAATTCCCATATTTGTGTAAATGTTATTTACATACATATTTATTTATTTGTATATGTTGTAATTGTTAGTAAATCGTCTAATGATATAGCTATTCAGTAGTCGATATTCCATTTACACAATCCATATTATAAGAGTAAAATATGTAATAAATATATTAATAACTTGTCCATGTGACTATAAAATAAATTTTTGGACATTATTGCATTTTATCATACTTTTTATACATATAAAGTTATAAAAATAATTAACAAAATCACAATAAAAAATAATTAAATTATAAATATTTTTTTAGCGGAATTACAATTAATTTTTTTATCTATATTCTAGCTACACTACAATATATTATAAATAAAAATAATCACTATATTTAAAACATGATATTACAAATCCCTTCACGGTACCTGTATGTTAGGCCATAACTAATTCAATTAAGATTAATAACGGTTGTTCTTGCATAAAATTAGGTAATAATTTACTGTAGTTTTATACCAAATCAAATGTTACTTATTTCAATTTCACTTTCAATGCAGAAGGACTGACACATTCTCGTCATTATCACAAAAGCATGCATTTATTGAGTAAATGTTGCCTACAACTTGTCATGACTTATTGATACTAGTTCATAATTACTTACTAGCATAAAAGCATGCTTTTAATGAGATGTGTATCCAAATTTCGCTTCTTTATTGAAACTCGGCTGATGCCTAGGCTCCCTTTTTTATGTTTTAACCAATGTCAAGAGAGTAGATACCGAAGGCTTGCAAACCTACATTATGTCCCAGATTTTCTGTTCTATGAAAGAATGTAAAAATAAAAAACCCGAAAGAAAACAGGAAGTAGTTACAACAATTTTAGAGGTAACTTGTATAAATATCGTAATATCCTGCAGTGAGATCACTTTTTAAATAATTAATATTAATTTATTTAATTGGTTTTTAAAATTGACATGTAGTTGTAACATTTCGGTATCAACCTCTTAATAGAAATAATCGAGTCATTATTATCTATGCTATATTAATATATATAAGGTGTCTAGAAACGCCACTTGACTTGAATTATAACAGGATTTGTAAGATATAATCCATCGCTGAAACTATAAGAATACTATATTATAGCTTAGTGATGGTTTATTAAAGTCAAGGAGTGAGGGAAGGGCGGTTATACAAAGCAAATACTATTATAACGAAAGTATAGCGGCGTTAATAGGGACCCAGAGGTTCCAATACGTAAAAGACGGCCCCAGTACATATGTAATACCTTTACGGGTGAATCTCAATAAATTTCATTCAAATACAAACATTTTTTTATATTAATTTATCTTAATTTATATATCAAAATATTATGGACATATTTTCAAGATCCAAGACTGTGTTATATCATTTACATGAATTGTCTAAAATCCCTGGGATAATTTATTTATAAAACATTATTTAGTATCAACAAAAATTCCTAAAATCTCATGATATACAATACAATAAGGCATAATATGCCTCTATGAGGAGATGACAACGCGTTGAAGCGAGACGCGTGTAGCAATAACACTAATTTGGTACTACATGCTACATTCAAACGTTTGTCAAAAATAATAGGTACAGAATATATTTGTATACTAATATTTTAACATTATATTATTTTTAGGTCGAGTGCCAAAAACATCCACAATATTTATGCCAAGAAAGAATATTACAATATATAAAAAAACACAATGAAAATAAAACATAAATTTATCTATTTCATATTATGGTTATAAAAGGTTAGTCGTACAGGATATAAAGTCAAGAGTCAGTCCGAATACCAAGTTTAACTCATTTAACTGTAATATTTTCAAATTTTAATTTATTTGTTTGGGAACATATTTTTTACTTTATTATATTTAGTTGATGCAGACTTCTTTTATACATAAAAAATATGCTTGTGCCAGGAGGCTCCACTCTTCCGCAACTTATATAAGTGTTTATAACACTTATAACTATGTATTAGCATGTCTAAAAACCCACAGCGTAGATATGAAGAATATATGTGATAACTTACCTTTTTCTCCCGCAATGTTGGTATACCTGTTCGACACCGGCATGGTGCCGTTGCACTGTATTTGTAAAACCGTGGTAACGCTGCATATATGTCAACTTGTCATAGCGTTCTGTTTGTTGTAAAAACAATGTAGTAGTAAATATTAATAGAAAATTTAAGTACAAGTAAAATGAGTGAGAACTAGTACTCCACAAAGAATAGAAAATTAACCTTTGGTTTCTCAGCAAGTTTTACTCATAGAAAATCGGAATTCTTCTTCAAATGATGATAGTGAAGATACCAATTCGTGTTCTGAAAACGAGTCTTCGTTCCTACTGAATAAAATACTAAAAACAAGTATTAAAAGAAATGGTTATGAGCCATGTCGACGTAATTATAAATCAAGTAAGTCAATTAACAAATTATCTACAGAATAGTGTTCCCATGTCTTTACCTAGCACATCGGAAATTGGATTTTGGGAAATAATTGACACACACACAACAAAAGTAACTGAAGAAGCCTTTCAAGATAAAATCAATGAGTTAATAAAATTACAACATTTTAATTCACATGGATGGAAAGAAATTGAACATTCGAAGGTGCTAAAAACTGTCTTCGTCAAAGCAGGATTCACCGAATTAAAAATTAATAATGAATTCTGTCATCTGATTAAGCATTAATGTGCGGAATGTATAGCAACCACTATTAATGTGCTCAAGTCAAATGTTTACCTAAAATCACTTTACGACCTCTGCTACATAGTGTGGTAAAGCTAAAAGCTTTGTTAAAAATTAAGAAGAATGTAAGACGTAGTAATAACATTTCCTTTAATTCCAAAAATAAAAAAATATGATCAGCCGTATATGTGGATATGTATATGATATGTATATGTAATATGATGCCATACAACCATTTTCGAACCCAGAAGGTCTCACAGACTGCAGAAATTGTGAACATCTTAGAGTCCTTGGGTTAGCAGATAAACTACCTAAAATCAATGAGAAACCCAAAAAAGGAGCTAGAATATCTAGGACTCCCTTGGAATACAAGGTTAAACAAAATACTTTTGTCAGAAGATAATTATTTCGAAAATGTTACGCATCCATCAATGCAATTTAAAACAAACTGAAATAATGCTAGGTTATTAACCAGGTTAGGTGAAGTCATTAAACTTCACCAGCTTTGTAATTCCAAGAGGTACTTGTCAATTGAGTATCAATACATGTAGTTTTTCTATTCATAGAAAAGCGAAGTTAGTCATACCACTCCGAGATAAACTCAACTAATGGGGAAATGCAGTCATGAACAACTCTGCTTAACTTAAGCTTTTGCCAAGCTGAAGACCATGTATTAATGAAATACCTCCTTTGAAAAGTATACATTTTATCCTGCGGAGACAAGAATCTCCTTAAATTTTTGTCCCTGATGGGTAGCATATTCCATTATGGTATTCGTAACTTTGGAAAAGCGAGCAGAATAATAGGTCGTAGTGCTATAGATCTAAAAGTACCTGGCAGTAGCTCAATAAAAAAAATCTCAACATCAACTACTATGTCAATGTTGACAAACAGCTACTTCCTGTCGACCGATATGTAGCAATAAGTTTTGTGTTCGTCACCACCACATATCAAAATATCTTCATATCGTCGTTGTGTGTTTTAGAACAAAAAACAATTTTTTTTAATGAAAGTGAAAGAATAACAAACATTGTCGTTGCTATATCTTCCTGGTGGTAAATTGAAGAGGTAATACGCAGCGTTGCCACAAATATAGTACTTTGCAAATATAGTACAGCGGCGCTATGTCAGTGGCGAGTAGGTATTAGTAAACCTACTACATTGCGGAAGAAAAAGGTAAGTTACGTAACGTTGTATGATTTTATCAACACATATAAACATGTTTTGTTGTAAGTCAAAATATTGTAACTTTATAGTTACATTTTTCCAGAAACAAAGTGGAAATATGATAAATAATATTGAATTTAAATTTAAATTTTAAATTGATCATGTGACTGCGTAGTAGTAAGGTACAAGATTTTATTTTCCCTTTGCTCCTCTGGCAAAGATATGCAGTTTCATGAATCAGTAGCTTTCGGCTTATGAACATTAGTGACGGTACGATATAAAATAATAAGAAACGCCTACCGTCCGATGTGCAATATTCATGAGAGTGTTTGTAAGTATATTTTGTATCATAATTAAAAAAGATATACAAATATAAACAATTCTATTACGGCATGTGGAGTTATGACCCACCTGTTTTATGTTTATTCTTCATGGTTGAAGCTGTATTATCTGCATCAAAGATATATGCATGCGTGATCTAGCGTTGTGAGGTCTAAATGGCAGCGCAGACCCATCGTAAATGGAAACGTGAAGAGATAATGGCGAACGGCGAAGGCTCAAACTGGGGTACCGAAGTCGGGATCTCCGTCGCCGGCCAGAAGCCGCGCCGGGAGCTTACCACGTTCTACGTCACCGTTCGTCAGCACGCTATCCAACACTCTTCGCGCTGATCCTATCCTGTAATAAAAAATTACTTTAAATAAAGAGCATTTTTTCTAGTTGAACCAACAGAACGAAATCAATTCTTTGAGGATTTGTAATATCAGTTGGGAAATGACAATCCCATGCTAAATAACAAATCGTTTCGGTAGCCCGACATATATTTACATTTCATTACAATTATGCATCTTGAACATTTTCCTTGCAAGTAAGTTCACCATAATATGTGGTAGTGTAACCATGTACAGATAGAAAGCATTATTTGAAAACAGAATTACTAAAACTGTATTTCTTCATTCCTTTAGTAATCACTAAATAATGTGGGACAAGTCCAGAAAATTCGTGTGTTTTTGAAAATATGATTACGAACATAAACTAAATTGCAGAATTTATGAATGGAGTGGAAGTAAGATTTTAAACTACAACTTAAACCACAGATAATGCACGGCATCACAGGTAACCTTGTAACCCAGTAACCAGGTTACATGGTTACAGAAACGCGTACAAATTATATGGCAGCACATATACCTGAAGCCTTTGCTCTCTCTCCTGAGCGGCCTGGCGTCGCCGTTGGGTTTGTTCAGCTTGACATCCGGCTCGACGGAAGGCGGAACTTGCTCGGCCGCCGGCGGGGACTCCGGCACTAACGATACGACCATTTTGAACACTAGCAGTAGCAATACTTATACGGCGAATATGCGATATGTGAAGTTACTAATGATTTTATGTATAGTGTAAGATTAATTAACTACTATACTCTGTGTCATATACTTTTGCATGTAGTTTTGGTAGTAATGTTAGTAATGACTTTAGCAAATCAACATACTGTTAATTACTTATTATTACTACTAATGAATATAAAGAGTTAAGTTTAGAGCAACAAAATGCAATCAAATATCCAACTATTCCAGTAACCACATTCACACAGTTCACACTAATTGGACATTTGGTTCCACTTTAGATTTTGTTGCACTGAATAATATATTAAAATGTTATATAAGTGTGTGGGTTAAATGTTAAATAATTGAGAGAACTGACTGCCGTCTGAGATGGTGGTCGCGTCACTGGGAGCCGTAGGAACTGTGGGGGCTGCGGGGGCTTCAGACGCTGCAAGTGCTGCGGGGGCTGCGGGGGCCGCGGTAGCTGCGGGGGGGGCGGCGGCGACGGCGGGTGTGGTGTGTGGGGTGCGGGGCGCGGGGGGCGGGGTATCCGGCACAGGCGCCTCCGGCTGCAGTGCTACGTATGTGCCTTTCGTACGCCAGTCCTATTGTAAAAAAATATACAATTAATTAAATCAACAATCCAGTTTGGAGATTAGTCAGATTAAATATATTGTTAAATAATGCAATGTCTAAATATGATGTCAGTTTCAAAATTATGCACTGTTTGCTAGTAATATTATTAATTGTAATAGAAAGTGCATTCATAATAAAATTTATTTCTTAGACTATAAAAGGTTGTAGTATGAATAAGTTGGTAGCATATAAAAAATGATTTTAATAATTTGCTGTTTCCACAGTACAAAAATTAATCAGGTAATACCACTATCTATAGGCAATGCATAGCTTTCAAAATGTTTGAACTATTATCACGAAGATTAGTTTTCACTCACAAAGAAAATTCTTGGAAAATCTTTCAATGAAGAACTAAATAAATTTTTAATAAGTTTCTGAGTTGCAATTATTATAAAAGTTACTGTCTTAAGATGATACTTAAGACAGTAACTTTGTATTCATATATTATATGTATTGGAAATGGTAAAAGCGTACTAGGATTGTTAATTGCTTAAGTGATTTTATTATAGTACATATTTTACAATTACAAGACCAAAAAGCATACATAACACGACTGCATCTGATTGAACCAACGGTTTAGAGGAAAGGGATTATTAGTAATGCAGATTAAAACCCTATTATACCTTAACTCCATAACCCTAGCAATGTATGTCAAGTTGACCTCCTCGCGGTTCTCCATGGAAACCATTATGATAAATCACGATTGGTTAACTGACCTGACCTCACGCTCATCGTACACCATTAACGCAGGCGTATGCGCCAATCAATTATAATCCTTAAAAAATCTTTATCGTTTTCTAATATGTCAAATTTGAAACAATATAAGCACTATGTTATTTCTAAATGGGTATGCAAGGTATACCTGCGGTGTGTGATGCGGTGCGCGGGGACGCCGCGTGTGTACGGGCGTGGACCGAGCCGACCGCACGCGCGGGACCTACATACACACAATTGTCTCGTACATAAAGTATAAGCAAATTTAATTGACAGGAATCCTTTTGGCACTTGCTTTAACAATGATTTATTTTTTTACATATTTGCATGACTGCTACTCTGCAACCCACCCTCGGAACCGCAGCTGACTTTCACTGAGCTTGATATCACAATTTTCTTAACCAACTTATAAATTTACAACCGAGAGGAAATAATTGACGAAAAAAGCTTCTGACCCGTGGATATTACGTAGCATTTAAGTGTAAATATGTTTAACATATTTAAAATATAAAATCCCTTAGTTGAACAACAAAGTAGGCTTTATTAAATTAATAATATTTCTTATTTTTTTTATAAATACATTCTTCTCTATTACTAAATTTAAATTACCCCGCCCGAGAATCGAGAAAAGGAATATGGTTCATGAGTAAAATTTTAAAATGTTATTAACCTGGTAGGTATCTAAATCCAGACGTGTTTCAATCTTAATTGAGTCATCATCCATATCGAGTATGGACAGATTGTTGTTGATCGAATTATAGTCGGGGTATGCGACCGGCGCGCGGTACTGAGGCGAGGAACACTCGCTGCCAGACCTCGATCCAGAATCCGACCTTGACCTCGATCCTGCATCTGATTCTGCCCTGTATACGAACACCACATAATTACTTAACTATAAAGAAACTTGGCTATAACAGTTCACGCAGCGCCATCTAGTCCCAAATTAAGCAGAGCTTATGTTATGCTTACTAACCGTACCGTGCGAGGCAAGACGGTGTTCAAAACAGTTAGACTGCCGAGGTAATCAATTAAATTGTACAGATTTTTACAGAAATCTCTAAAGACAGTACCTACATATAAAAAACTTGAACTTTTTTTATGTAATCGGAATGTCAAATAAAACCATCGCCAATATACATAAAAATCAAAACGAAATCGCATCAACACGTGACGCCCGTAATACAACTTATACCTTGACATTGTCTCTTGAGTAGTAAAGTAATAAAGTCTTAAGTAAAGAATAGTAAAGTCGTGCCTCCATTCAAAAAGCCCACAAAGCAAACTATTTAGTAACAAAAACAGATATGACATACGCAGACGTCTTTCTACATAAATAGTAAATACACATACAGTGGAAAAATTCGTGTTTTCGGTAATCTTAAATACTACATATATACAATGTGAATTATATGAATGATAAATGACCTGTAAGTATACCTAGTGTAGTCGGGTGTTCTTGGGGCTGTGGGGGTTGCACCCGAACCATCCTGTTCACCCCCGAATACCTCTCCATCCTCGGGGTACAGTGGGAATCTGTAAAAGTATATCTGTATATGTAATTTTTTCTTGGGGGCAAATATACTAGCTACATATAATGTAAAACTGATATAATATCATCATAAGGAATATAAATTTTATATTAAAAAATGTTATATATGAAAATGGTATTTCTTTTACCAACTTGATGTACAATTTTTTAACAGTACCAAACAAAGAATGTTATAAAAAAAATAGTAAAACTAGCTGATCCGCGTAACTTCGCCTGCTTCACTGTTACTTAATCATTATATTTCGCCCAATTTACTTTATATTCTTTTAAATAATAGCGTATCTGTTATTTTGTTGAATAAGCTACATTACAGTTTATGTATAGTGTCACAGTTTCATTAAAATGCCTTCATTATTTATTGCGTGAAAGTGTAACAAACATACATCTACCTATCCATCCAGATCAGTAATTTCGCCCAAGTTACATTACATATTTTTAAATTATAGCCCTTGTATTATTATGCTACATTTACTGTGTTTCTAATATCTATAATATCACAATTTCATCACAATCCCTTTATTAGTTATTGCGTGAAAGTAACAAACATACACTTTACACATAAACATCCACCCATCCATCCATACTCATAAACTTTCGCGTTTATAATATTAGTCAGATTTACTTAAAGTAAATATATCGTCCTAATATCACAGCACTAATTGTATAATTTTATTAGCTCGTGACCTGTGTAGTTGCAGTTTCACAAAATTACGAGTTAAGTTGATGAGAACTGTATAGATAAGAAGCTAGTTACAATTACCTGTAGTTATCTTCTGACAGCCTGTCATCGTCGTCGGTCGCTATAAACTGAACGCAAAGCGCGCAATCCCCTTTAACACTCTGTAATGCTTGTACTGCTTCTTTGTGACACGCCTATAATGTAAATATTTCATATTAATTATATTATATTAAGAACGGCTATCATAAAAGTAATAACAAAAGGTTTAAATACTGTTGATTTAATGCATGCTGTATAGCGCTTTCATTACTGTTTATAGAATACCATAATTAACTATAAATAATCACAATTTACATTAAACTAGTCACAAGTCTACGTGCGTATCTCAACGCACTTTACAATGCGACAAAGGAAATTTATTTTTACGGTAATTTCAAGTTACCACTTTCCAAAGATATTTCGTTTATACATGAGTGGGCAGATATGAGAAGGCGACAGAGAATATTAAAATTTAACACACGACAGAGAATATTAAAGTTCTCTGTGATGGTACCTGCGTAAGGTCGAGATCGTTGATGGCTAGGATGGCGTCGCCGACGTATAGTTCGCCGGTGAGAGCAGCCGGCCCGCCCGCTTCCAACTCCGAGATCAGGATCGGCACCCCGTGCTCACGACCGCCCTGCCAGAAATATCAACGACCTTAGGATTTGGAAATATTTATGTAAAAAATATAATATAATATACATATAAACACACACATACTTAACACATTTTTGAGGAATCACCCAAAAAACCTAACGACTTCCAAAAAGAGCTGCTAATAAGTTCAATCATATTCTTTTCAAATGTTTCACGTAAATAATTATACAATTTACGTGAAATATTTGCTAAATTTAGTTTAATCGAAACTAATGTTGATCTTATTCTTAATGAAAATTGAAGTCGGTAATGGACAAAATCATATATTTCAATTTATTAATAACTGGATATTGTTGGAAATTATCTACTTATATAATTCCACAGTTCCGCGTTCTAATGGTCTCGTCAAAACAACAAATAATTCATTGCGTCGTGACTAATAAGTATCCGGAACTTTCAGAATGTCTAACTAATGGACTCTACTTCACTCATTGAGAATCTTTCAAATGCTTTAGAAAGTAAACAGTGGTTTGAATGATGCCAACATTACGGTTGTTAGGAAGACAAGGCTGTCGCTGACAGCAATGAAACAGTATTGTTTTGTTTATACATGCATACTTATACCTGCGTCACACTTGTCGTCCATTGGGGCGGACAATCATTATAGTCCAGCTTTTAGTATTATGTTAATGAGTCACTAACTCTACGGAAATTAAACCAGACGAAATACATCCATAGTTTGTAACAATGGGTTTAAAATTAGCATACTATACAAACAGTTATATTTAGATTATAACATTTTTAATAAACAGGAATATCATTTAACAAATTCAATTCAAATAGACGCTCCAGGTAGTCGAGTAGTTTAGCACATCGTTTTACTTCATATAGTTGCGGGTTTGATTTCACACACGACACAAACAGTTGTATTCAGGAGTATGATAGTTTGTATCAGTCTGGGTGTTTTCTATGTATGTATTTACAAAAAATGTATCTAAGAATTGTATCAGTTGTCAATACCTATTACAACTCTGGATAGCTTGAGACTAGATGGCGTTTTGTGTAAAAAAATCTATGTGACAAGAATAACAAACAAAAAATATTTCTTATTATTTTCACTTTCCTCATAACAGTCATATTGAGAATCTCGAAAGTGAAAAATGTCTAAGCACATCGTCACACGTGACGTCAACTTACCGTGACAGAGATGCCCAGCCCGAGATGCGGCGAGCGGCGCACGCGCACGGTGCGGGGGCGAGCGCGGTGCGGCGCGTGTGACGGGTGTGACGTGTGTGACGAGTGTGGCGGGTGAGGAGTGTGCGTGTGAGCAGGGGGAGCGGCCTGGGGAGGAGGAGGCCGCGCCGGTCGCGGGGACACTCCGCGGCACACGCGCACTAAAGTCTTGTGACGCTGCAGCAGTATCTCCGCTTCTACCTGCAGAATCAGGAAATAGTCTTGAACCAACTTTGGATATAGGACCTCCATGCTCACCTTTCTTTTGTTTTCTATAAGCATTGCGTCTCGTAACGATTACGAAGTAGCAATTTCAAATATTTTGCAAAATACCATATGTTGTAGGTTCCAATGGGCAAATATTATAAATTTTGTATGTATAAATATAAATTATCTGTGATAACAATTCGAGCTAGCGGCACGTCGTCCACTATTATATGTAAGAAAAAAATAGTTTTTTTTTAAATATATTAAAATATTATTATTTAAAAAAAAATTGTCTAATTTTTTTGAAATAAATGGTAACAATAATATACCTGAGCCCATAACGAGTCTCTAAGTTCGGCGCGCATGTCCCTCCCGAGTAGTTGTAACTGCTGAATTCTTCCAGCCAACTCCTTATCCAAATACTTCGTAGCCAGTCTGAAGGGTAAAAAGTAAAGATTAAAAAATGAAATATACACAAGATGCTTTTATTTATTCTACTGCTGCCATAAAAAGCTTTGTTCTTAATCATTTATATTGGTTCTATCGATCCTCTAAACTTCTTTCTATATAAATTTTATAACTTAGGCGTTAATATCTAATTATAAAACTGACTCGCTAGGTATCCGCAGTTGCAAAATCTATTTATATCCGTATTCGTAAGTTAATCTAGAATATTGTCTGTCTGTGTATATATAACTGTCATTCAAATCCGCTCAGCCGTTCATGTGTCATCGAGTTACAAACATTTACACAAACTTTCACATTGATCATGATAGAAACAGGTAGGCATTAAAAATGAATATAATATACAATATTTTTCAGGGCAAGTAATGTCAATTACCTAGCACCAAATAGTTCGGAATGTAAAGCTAGTACAGTCTCCCGTAGCGCGGCGTTTTCCCGAGCCAGTTGGTTCGCCTCCGATCGGGCGCGTGCTGCCTCAGGCACATTACCCGCCGTATCTCCACCATCCTGACATCTGCCTGTACATTATAAATAACTTATACTCCTTCATTGAAAAGCTATTATTTCTTAGGTTCATAACAGTTAATTTATCCACAAAGATATGCATAGAAAAACAACGATTAGTTTTACTGTTCACTGAAAAACAAACGATGAATCTAAAGTCGCCGTTTGTTATGTCGTTGCATAAATTGCATTTGCATGCTACCACAATAGTGTTCTTATTATGTACCCGTCTTAGTCTTCATTTATGTACCTGTATATACTCATATACTATTAGTGTAGTAGTATATACTACTATACTAATAGTATATGATAAATGACATAGTAATTATAGTGTAATGAAATATGATGTGATAGCAGTCACATCTTATTTCAGCAGTCATTGCTGCGGGAGAGTTCGATTAGAATACTGAAAATGATTGGAGACAGCATGGAGTCAAAACTAATCACGTGAAGGTGGGAGATAATCTGAAATATTAGGTTGTATCGACATTAGTTAGATTAAATATCCCCCCCCCCCCCCTCCCCCCCACTACAGCTACACAAACTACACAAACGAAATCTGTTCTAGGTCGGAACAGCACATACAGGCGATTACCGTTTTATTGTATGTATGGGATATAGCATTGTGAGGGTACAAAGATCCTTTGTAATGGATGGTGATATATAGTCTTGAAACTAGGTTTATAGTGCTAAAACTAGATTTTACAGTCAAAACCTAACTCTAATTTCTGTATGTTCCACTTCGGACGAAACCGAAATATTGGTGGCACACCACTACCTAGTATATTTCCTTTTATTTGTATAATTACAATATAGATTTAAATTGTATAACTTGTATGTAGGTAAATACTTACCAGCAGTCGACGCACGTGCTTGCACCAATTCTGCTCTCATATCCACGAGCTCCGCCTGCAAAAATGGAAAAGAAATATGATACAATATTCCGTTTGACAAAGGGAGGTATTCTATTACAACAGCGTATAGTGTCGTATGCCATTGCAAAGATTGGTCATGACAATAGAATTTAGTTTGCACTGACACCAAATCGATGGTGGCGTAAATCTGAAGGGACAATTGGAGGGCGCGTGTTGTCGTTGCGCAGTCATAAATCGTCAGATTGTTACACCCCGTACCAGTCGATTTACCCTCATTGACTCTTAGTATTCTATCTTCCTGCTAATCGTTTATGATTTATGTGTACAATTTGAAGTTAGTACCGTGTGCCTATTTAATAAATGCTGTTATATTGTTTACTTTTGATGGATATTAGATAATTTTATAAAATCGGTGATATCATCAAAAAAACTCAGTTCACTTGTAAAATTGTTTTGTTGTTGAGATTAATACTTGTTTAAACAAAAGTAAATTACTTAGATTACATTTAACAATATACACATACAGTTGATGATATCACCGATTATAATTACGGTAATATAGAAAATATATTTATTAATAAAAAAGGTCAGCTCGGGGTCCTCGAGCTGAAGCATTTACTGAGCTTAATGTGTAGAACATAAAATAAAACGAGTAGACGTTGTTTTACTGTCGTGCGTGTCGGTGAAAAATTACTGCATCACTCACAATGTCGCCTATCCAACCATATAGCAATCGGCCATAAACTCAACAATGTTGCAAATGCGTTAAAACCAGCATCTAGTCTCTGGTATTCTTTGTGATAACTAAGTAGGTACATTAAATGTTGAGAAGGTAGGCCTATGTTCTACAGGAGCTAGATATAAAATCTCTTTATAATATTCGTGTCAGCAAGACGGAAGTGTAATGGTATCGCTTTAGCTGCAAGCGAGTGCAGCGGCGATCTCAAGTGGATGCAATGCGAGGCACACACACGTTGCAGCCGTGCGTGCGCGGTGGTCTTTACTTGGCTGATATAGAATAGCTGTCTTTTTGAGTTAGGGTTTGGATATAGGAATTGAAAATAACTTTTCCAAATTTAGAATGATTTCTTTTTTACATTTGCTATATATCTGAGAAAATATTAATGACTAGCTAAGCCCGCGTCTCGTACCTTTATAACTTTATTTTATTGAAGCTTACCTTAAATCAGTAGCGAAAACCATACCCAAATCGATTAAGCCGTTTCTAAGATTGCTTTACACAAACACAAAGACAAACAGACGAAAGTTTTATTAATAACTGTTTCGAGTTCTTTTACATTGATTAAGTCCAGCAATAATTGTATTTCTCACATGTCTTCTATATCATGAAATGTATCAGTTATATTTTTTATATTTATAGACGTTGATTGTCAAGCATGGGAACAATTTATACAGCCATTGAAAACAAATTGCGAAATAATACGTGTCTTATCGTCGTCTCGTCCTCGGGCCTAGTCGTTACCCACATACTGACTGAATTCACTTTTAGCACCACACCCTTTGCCATTTTCCTTGGCACACTAAACATCTAATACGCGCAAACCTAAATATAGTAGTACTGTCTACTTTCTGCTTTTTATTTACATTTGTATTTAGTTGAGATCCGCCTCGTAGTACGACGTCGTACAAGACAACTTTAGTCAATAAACACGACCTACGCGGATTCATTCAAGATCATTATCGTTTGGATACTGAGTGGGTGTCTGTTGTAACGAGCGATTGTGAATATTATAACAAAAACCTATCGCATTCACGTGGTGCATGCAATATAAAACCATTATAATATATATACAGTTAACTTGTAATCGAGACAATGAATACGGTTCATTAGGGTCTCAATAAAATGAAGAATAACACTCCCGAAAGCCGCAGGCAATCTAAATAGCATGTTCGACGACATACTTAAGTTACCAGTTATTCGAACAGGGGGGAGATTGCTACTAGTGCACCGCCATATTAGGTCGAACTCCACGTGATCCCCTGGACCTGCTCATATTGTTTTAAAGCTTATTATATCATTCTGTACTGCTCCGCCCGCCAGCATATACCATTAGTGCAGGCGGATGTACAATTCCCTTATCTCCCATTAAAGTAAGCTATTTCGAAATGTAGGTAGGAAGTTCTCAAATACTATATAAATTGTATTTGTGAATTGTAGTCGTGGTACCAAAACATTTGATAAGTCCATATTAATATATATCTAGACTATGTGATAGTGGACGAGCCAATTAGCCCAGTCCTAATAATTTGGTTTAATATCAGTGTATCCAATACCGTAGAATCTTTTAAAACTTCAAAACCACTAGGCTACGAGATTCTCTATGAGTTACAATTTAAAAGCAATATCAGCATTACATAGTAGAATGCTAACTAGCCAAATCAAAATATGAAGCGGTGTGCTTGTTGAGAACTTGAGAGATCGACGAAAGCTCTTTCATTAAAGACTGTGTGGGCGCCGATCCTAGATAACGTCCAACAGTAAGAAGATTGATTCACTGCACTGCTGATATATCACTGCACACATCTCAGATACATGAGTGATCCGATGTCTTGACACTAGCGCCACCATCTATACATCGACTTGACAGTTCGTCTCAGAAAACAACAATAAATCTGTATACGGTGTAGTTCTAACTGGTCGCTTGTTTTACACTATAAAATTTGATACTCGTTTGTGTAATGAGAATGATATAATATTATTTTAGTAGTTGTATATTGTAAACGATTAATGTTAACTGCGACCACATAATATGACAACATAGAAATTATAATTGCCTTTTTGAACGACGTTTCATGTTACAAAATGTCGTAAATATAAATAATTATCATTTAACAGGTAACTGTCCATTTAATATGCAACACCGCGGAGTCTCAATAAAATGCATAAACTATAAGCACGATGGGAAAAACACATTAAATTTGTATTCAGAAATTTTATTCCAATAACGAAAGACAATAATATATTTTATAACTAAAGCGAGTGTTAAAGTTATAATTCTCTATTCGTCCATGCAATATCTACTAACATTCACGCAATGTGTTTTGTATTATCTACATATGAGGTACATTTTGTACATGCAGTCTCATCACGCTGCGGACCTCATTGCTAGTCAATATGCTAAACATTGTCCTAATAGTTATACAATACAAATTATATACTAATCATACTGAGATTTAACTTACGTTATTTCTGTAAATCCAGACATAAAGAGGCTTGCCTATCATAAATAATAAAAATATATTTATTATATTAATTAAGCTTTAATTAGTATTTATACAATACAATATAATTTTAATTCAAAACCACTATTAACTCAATTTATAAAGATCCATAAAGAGTATTCAGACAAGGACAATGCAATATTTTTAAAATCTTAAAAGATCTTGCGAAGATACTTAACCAATGTCAGTCTTCGCTGTTCTTTTGAGTCTGTTAAAAATGTAATCACAAATCGGTCATACAATGCTCGGAATCCGCTTAGGTACGGCTCTTCCTCCTACCCACGCCACGCGGCGACGACACTCGACTCAACGCTTGTGCAACAGCCCCTAGACTTGTATTGGAAATATACGGTTACACTTTCGTATGCTGCAATGGATGCATTACCATAAAATTTATTTTCATCCGATCACTTGTACATGAAACCCTCATTGTGAACTATTATTGAATAGTCGGAGATGACCGTATGAATCTATTATAAACAATAGTGAGAGTCGGAGATGCAACGAGATGGACCGCCACCCAGGAAACGGATGTTATCGGAGAATGAATGGAGGATGAACACGCGGCGGGGGCTCGCTTCGACCATTTACACTATCTACCGCAAACGTTACCGACAGAATCTACTTTCTATACTGGAATCAATTTATTTTACTTAGTAGATAGACACTGAGTTAGATTTAATAAATTGTGAGTAGATAACCAGTAAAACAAATAAAACCCTAAATACCTACTCATTAAATACATATCTATAACAATAATATTACTAGGTACTACTACTATGTAGATACTAAAAAATATTATAATGTTATTTTTTGTTTCTCGTTCTCTATACACGTAATATAATACAAATAAACGAACTAGTAAAGTGCGAGTTAGTCATTTTTAAATAAATATAATAATTCCTATATCCGTTATCCCGCGACTTCGTCTACTTTTTTTGATATAAAAGCTAGACTATAGAAGTTTCTAGAAAAGAAGTTAAGAAAATTGTGCAGAAAATTTGTTAATTTTAATCAGAAAACTGTTTTAATCAATAAGACAGCACAATGCTATTCATGTCAGCAAGGTGACTATAAAGTGACTATAAAAACAAGAAAAAAACTAAAGACATTCTAATACAGGACGTAATTTTAGTTTAATATAATAAAACAAATGTATAAGTATAGCATGCATACGGTGCCTTTTCTGTCTAGTAAAACCAAGTAAATGTACATAAACAATCATGGTAGATATACGACATAGAGTGAACATTCCACTTATAAATAAGTTACAATTTTATGGACTGAAGAATTTTCTGTATGCCTTTTCATTTTACGACGCTGTTATTTCGAATTCAATAAAGTTCAAAACTTCAGTAAAGTATTTAATCAAATCAAATTATGCTTATTCCTGTACATACTCAAATTACCACTAAATAAACTGTTTAAGTAGGTAGTAAGTAATTTTATGTGAACACCGGAATACATTCGTAAATCTATATATTCTTGTACATATAACATCTATCTAGAATAATAATTAAACATCATTAAGCTGAAGAGTTTGATTATTTGGTTGGACTCGCTAATCCTGGGAACTACTGTTTCGAATGAATAAATATTTTGATTTTTGGAAGGCCCAGTTATCCAGGGAGGTTACAGGCTATAAAACATCACGCTACAATTAATTGGAGCGAAACATCAATGTAAAATGTTGCAATAACGTGGTCTGTTATAAACGCAGACGAATTTGCACGGGTCAGCATGCACATACATTTATTAAATATAATGTACATTTGAGTATGGATACATATA